CGAGGTCGCGTCGAACGTGTACTTGAACCGTTGGAAAAATTAACTTCGATAAATCGTGGATACTCTAAGGCACTTATCGCGTAAAATCAATGCAACAATTAATATTTCTAAACTCGCACCGCACAAGGATTGATATATTTGAATGGAAGACTTGTTATTTGAAAAAGAATAGACCGGTGCTTCGAGTTGACAACTTAAAAATTTTTAAATAATTCAAGTACGTTAAACCATTCTTGCTCGACAAGGAAAACACTCTGAAACACGACCATTGTGGAAATACGAGTCTGCAGGCACTCTGCAAATTAACGTGGTTGCTGATCACCCATTCGGGCGGATGTAACGTTAAAAGTAAATAAATAATAAATATTTACATTTGAAAAAGCTCGCTGAAAAATGAAACGAAACGAACGTACGTGATTCGAGTGTACAGAAGCGCGGGCTACAATGTAAACATATTTTTCGTTTATATTTTGACTGAATCGAACGTGCACCGCTGGAAAAGCATGGCGGACGAATCTCTGTCTCGCTTTTCCCTTCCACGACTTTTCTTTTTTTCCGCTGCAATCTGACTCGCGCGCACACGAATATTTCCCGATAAGTATAATTGACTTTTCCGCGTGATCGACGAAGTAACCGCGGCTAGGTATAATTACGTGAACGATTAAAACGCTGGAAACGCGAACACGATAGAAATCTTTGGTGCATTTCCTTGGACGACACGAGGAAAAGAGAGAAACGCAAACCGAGCAGAAGAAGCCTGTAGCCCCGAGGTAAACATATTTTCTGTTTGCATTCTATCTCAATCGAATCGAGGGAACGACGCACGCCCGTCTTTCGAAGTCATCGGCCACATCGGTTTCTATCCCATATTCCTTTCCTGCCGTATCTTTGCCGGGTTCGAGGCACTTGGGAGGGCAAAACGAAAACGAACAGTAGGGGAAATAGACGATAGTGAATAAAGCACGAGTCGCTGCGTACCGAGCGTAAATTTCGCGCTTACCGCTCGTAATATGAAATATAAGGGAAAGATATTTCAATACCGGTGGGTAAACACACAAATAGTTTCGACGTTTCTGTCAGGTTGCTCCTTCTCTCGCATCCCGCTGTACGTTCTCCGTCCGCGATATCTTTGTACATATTTATGCCGAGACGTACACCCGTCTGTTGTCGTCCCTCCGAGGAAGGGACTCGAGGAAAAATGTTTCCTTCTTGCCTACTGACAGCTGAAACGTGCCCCTGCCGTCCTCCTAAAAATGTTCCGCCATTGTTGGCACGGCGAAGAGACCGACTCGCCAAACAGCAAAATCTACCGCAGATATTTGCCAAAACCGGGGCAAAAAACGAGGGGCTGGAAATGTTCAATTTACGAATCACGCGGGGAGTTCGTTTTAAGAGTCATCGCTGTACTGCATTATCCGGTTATAAATAAAATACTGTTGAGAGGGATAAAAACGTTCAACTTAAGAATCACATCTGAGGCTCATTTTAAGAATCATTACTGTAGTAGAATTCCAGTTGAAAACACCAAATATATAAACTTGGACACGCGTTTCTAAACACTCGAAAAACAGATAGTAAAATTAAATTCGTTATCGAGACAAAGAAAAAGTTAAAAACAGCAAACTCCAGAGGCTCATATTTTTTAAACAGATACAAAAATAGAAAAACGATGACTCGACCACCATCTAATTTCATACGAATCAAAACATAATTCGATATCACGAAAATCGCTGACACCGGGGTGCAAAAGTAATCGATTTGGCACGGAACGACCCATGCGTAAATGTTTCGACAATGGGCCGCGACACGAACTCACGATTGTCTCTTGAACGAGCTTGGAAATCTCCTAGATCGTCGCGTCGTTTTTTACTTCTTTTTTTTTATTTGTTACTGCGAGAAACGAGCGTCGCGATAGATTTTCATCTTTATTCAATTTCGCGTTCTTTGTACGGCGAAAGAGCCCTTTCGTGCGCGTTGACGTTATCGCAACGCAAACCTAGATAGATCGTGTACACCACTTGAACGTCATCGAGTTTTATCGGGGACCCGAATGGAAGATACGCGCGTTACACCGTTGCGTCGACGCGATAGAATTTGTTCCCGTCTCGTAACTAGACCCGTACGAGTGTCAAAGAGGCTCGCGTGCGATAATTATTCTGAACTCATAAAGAACCTTCCGGTGTTTCGCGCGCGGAACGTCCAATTGCGTTTGCTGACCGAGACCCACCTCGCGTTTTCTACTTTACGTTTAGCGGACCACATTAAAAGCACGATCGTTCGTGCAAATTTGAACCGATGATGGTCGAAAATTCATGTCGATGAGGGTAAACAATACAGTGGAACATCGTTTAATTGGGGATGATGAGTTAACAAACTCTTTGCGCGGATAAAAACCGGAAATTTGTACAGGATATTCCACTCATCACTAGCTCTCGTCGGTAGCAAAATTATATTTTTACATTGAATACGTCATAGTTTGTAAAAAAATTCGGAGGTTTTCACTTTCAGCGTACATTTTGCCAATTTTCGATATACATGATTTGTTTTAATAACGTATAAACGTACTAATTAAGAATTTTTCCGATATTTCCGTTTTAGACATTTAAACGTGTCTTTATCGAGATAACAGTAAAAAACAATTACTTAAAACTATACAAAAAAATGTTAATATGTAACTAAAATTTAGTTAAATAGACCTAGTAAAAATCACAAAGTTAGACGTAACATTCGCTTGAAAGAAATTAAACAAACAACCCCTTAATATTTGATGAAATCGAAACAAATATAAATCGGGGACGTTCACCTTACTGTTTCCCCCTGTGTCTGTACAAGCCATTTGAAACGCGTAGTTACTAATCGAAAGAATTTTCCCGGGGGAGGGGGAGGGGGAAATATAGCAGAGCCAGCGTTTCAGAACAGGATAGAACGAAGGGATGAGCAACGGTTTCCGGCGTTCGGCTGTTCACGGCAATCTAAGTTTTTCACAACGGTGCTAACAACGTGCACGTGACTGGATGGGATAACAATATGACCATGCGTTCCTTCCTGGTCAGCTTACTGGAAATTGTAGATGAGACTCGATTATGTATTCCGATCGTACGTGATATCAAACCGCCTCGGCTTCTCGCTCGTGATGGAGTGTTTTCTGCCCTCGACCCTTCCCGCCCCTCGTCCCTCCCTCGATTCGCCCTCTTTCTTCGTCGCCCGGGAGTCACGTTTACAACGATACCCTATAAATCCGTACGAGTTGCCAGCCACTCGTAAGAAAATATTTAAACCCGACGCTCGTCGAATATCGAAGCCTCGACGTTTTGATTCAATTCGCCTTCTTTCCCGTCGACGGTTAAGGTTCCGACAACGGAAGGAAACTGTTGTACGACGTTCTCCGTTCTGAACGCGGCCATTAATTACCGTCGTTAATTATCATCGTCGTTCGATAAAACGTCAACGTCGAAACGATGGAAAACAAACCCCCGTTGATTCGTCGTGTTTACATTGGGAACCGAGGGATCGGCGGCGGCCGGGAGTCGGAAGTCGAGAAACGAACAGGGACGCGAGGGAGGGAAACAGAGAAGGGAGCAGAGAAGGGCGGAGATATCCAAGGAGGGGTTGAATTATACCGAAGGAGTGACGTCTACGGAGATAATCACACGCCTCGTAACAGCTAGTTCATCATCGTGGTATCGTGCTAAGGGGCTTGATGCATCATGGAAATCGCGCACGAACCGGCCAGGCCAAACAGAAAGTGGAATAGACGGCCTTTGTAACGGGGCTTTGAAACGGATTCCCTCCCCGGTCGCCTCTATATACCATTCCCTTCTGTACCCTTCCGCCCTCCATAGAAGCTTCCTCGCCCTCGTCGCTCGACGCGCGTTCCTTGCCGCGTTCCTCGACCAGCTACCAACTCAATTAGCGGCGGAAAAACCGAGCTAGAGACCCGCAACGACCCGTGTAAAGTGTAGACACCCATTGGAGAGAACCAGTCCGTTGATATTTCATTTGCCGCATTTATACGCGTCGCCGGACGCGTCCCGGCGGCTCCACGCCCCTCGCCCGCCACCGGTACTTTTCAAACTTTAACCCGAAACGATCGTCGGATCGGGAAGCGTCCCTTTGGACCGAAAATAACTTTCGAGGAAACGAACGGATTAAAATGTATACGAATGGGGCCACGCGGTACCGCGATAAAAACGACCCCCTAAGCTTTTCTACCTTTAACGTTGCTCCTGGGCAAATTTTATTTTCGAATAGTTGTCTGAAATAATCGTTTCGATCTTTCATTTTACATCACGTTATTTGAAACAATTATTTGAAGTAATTGCCACCCAGTTGTTACCAGTAAATATGTTTGTTATTTTCGTTTGAGGTTCTGACTATAATTCAACTAAATCGGTTATCGTAATTATATATTTATTTGGTAACTGATAGTTTCGTGTCACCACGCAATATGCCCGATATACTACATGATATACGTAAACACGTTAAAATGCATCGTTTAATAACGTCGTTTTCATTTGTCATCTACATATAGAAAGTTAATAACATTTTAACAAAACGTTCGACTTATTCTCAGCTATACGATATGGTGACAGAGTTTGTGTGCAAATCTCATGGACACCCTCTATGTAACAATAATACTATGCATTCGAAGTTATAAAACTATCAATGAAGTATATTCATTGTGCTAATTTCTCTGATTTTTTTTCATCTATTGAAAGACCATTTTCTAAACATGTCGATTATTCCAAAAATATTCCGAAAGTTATTTAACAAAATAATCGTGAAATTAGATAACCTGTTATACGATATAGTATTTCGAATATGACCCAGCCTGCTTCGACATATGTTAAGCGCGTTCTGTTTCCTTTGAAACGTATTCCGGGGCCATCGTTAGGAATCATTAACGAATAGAACACGGGACCAAAGAAAGGGTGACTGCGTCGAAGGGATCGATCGAAACAAAAATTTTAAAGATTCTCTCGCTTTGTGCGTGTTCCCAGGCGAGCTGCAGATTACTGCATCCGAGGAGATGGATCAAGGAAAATACGAGTGCGTGGCGAACAATTCTGTCGGCACCGAGTACTCCAAAACGGCCATGTTATACGTGAAGGGTAAGTTGAAATTTGATCCGAACATACAGCTACGTGAGGAACGTTTGAAACGAAATCTCAATAAAGAGGTTCTTATCTCTGTTGCCGTCGACTACGACGAGGCTTTAAAAACGGTGCGCGAGTTCAAGCCTGGTCCGGTAAACCCAGTCGTTTTCCTGGTTGTAATTAAAATTAACGCAACGTAATTAAACTAAGCTGACGGCACAAAGGATTCGCATGCTTGGAATTGCATTGCAAACGTTACACAGGAGACAGGACGTTTCTCGCGATGACTCGCGTAACGATTTCGCGAAATTTGAATATCACAATGTTATAATTTCTGATCATTTAATAATCAGTAATCTTATAGATTCTTCGTAATAAATTTTATCGGATCAATTTTGCCCTTTGCTATATCAGCAACCTTGCCAATGTTGAATCTTGAGCATAATCGTTGGCCTATCGTACCGTTAAACAAAGTTATTAAAGGAGCAACGAGTCTCTTGTTCCAAACTTTCGTTATTTTCCTTCTATATTTCTTCTGTCCTCGATAACTGCAATCATGTTGACGTTTTACAAGTACACGAACCTTTAAAACAACATTCGATGTAGCCAATCGCAACTAGACGACGGATGTTCCGTGCAAACGCATATGTTTAATCCGAAGTCGAATGGATACCGATTCGGATGTTGAAAGATTGCACGTGGTGTGCCGATTAAACTAAGGTTCGAAGGACCACCCCTTCTTCAGGGGACTAACGAGACTGACTGTACGAGAGTGGTTGTATTATATTTAAAACTCAACAAAATATACACGTGACCGCGCTTATACATAGACTATGGAAGGCTAGCGCACTATCTGATAGTTGAAAATGGTAAGGGCGAAATCACGGCATGCCGCCGTTTTTATATTGCTAACTTCTTGTGGCGGGGGTGCAGCAATGCCGACGTAGCTTGGCGTCCAAGGCGGAGGGTGCTACGTTTGGCAACTCCAGGGACTTTCCACCGCGTGCGTCGGTCCCTGGGCCTGCGTGCAAAACTAACTACGAACAAGGGAGGCCCAGGTATACGAATCCGAGCACGTGTGGGCCATCCGACAGTCCGCTGGAGTTGCAACCACTCGAGACTGTCTTCGCTGACCAAGTTTATGACATTTTATTCGATAAATGAAATTCTAACTTTGCCCATGTTGGCCTTGACAAAAACGCGGTCTTTGTCATAAGCCTGGTCGTCTCACCGAAGTCCAAACAGCATATTTTTATTGAAAACAGATAGAAAAATGGAACTTGGGCTGAAATTTGTTTCGTAGTTAAAGAGGTTCGGAAATATAGTTTATATTTTGCATATTTTTCACAATGCGTATGATTTACATATTTTAGATAAATAACGTATATACGAATGTAAACATAAACAATTCATTGAAGAAACGAGATTTAATTCTGCAAAAAAGAAAAAACGATAGTTCTAACCGTGACAATAAACGAGCCAAAAATGAACTGAATTTATAATTTTTCGAGTAAGTGTTACTAAAATCGATAAGAACTGTTCAAATAACATCCCCCAGCTTATAACGCTTCGTTTGGATCACATGGTAATGTTGTTTAACGATAATAATAAATGGATAAATAATAAATAAATAACCGTTTGCCCCCCAGTTCGCCGCGTCCCACCTTCGTTCTCCATTCCACCACCTGCCATGAAAAAAGTAACGCTGGGCTCGTCTTTGAACTTGACCTGCGTGGCAGCCGGTGCTCCTATGCCCTTCGTCAAGTGGAGAAAGGAGCCAGCGACTGATTTAACGCCGGACGACAAACTGCCGATCGGAAAGAACGTTCTTGTGCTCACCAACGTCCAAGAGTCAGCCAACTACACGTGCAAGGCCGTCACCTATCTCGGGGTGATAGAAGCTACCACGATGGTGAAAGTTCAATGTTCGTATTTAGATGGATCGAAATCTCACGTAAATCCAGAGATCACATTAGCGGGCTAACAGACTACGTAATGTACAACGATCAATCACGGTCGTTGGTCATACTCCGCGAACCGTAGCACGCGATTCTGTTTCGATGACTAATCAATTAATCGACTCGTGTGTCACGTCGAGAGGTTAAGGACAATGTACTTTGTACGTTTCCTTGCTTCGTTTGTTCTTGCTAAACACCGTTTCCAACCCGCTGTGACGATCGAAAGTTTCTCACAGTGATGATTCGTAAAATGAACGTTCATTTTAAGAATCGTCACTGCATCGCGAGCAAATGCACGGAAGTTGTATCAATTAAAATCGTTGGTTGCGCGATTGCTTTTCGGTTCCAGCTCTGCCAAGCGCTCCGGAAAACGTTCAAGTCTCCGACATCACCGCGACGTCCGTGAAGCTCACATGGTCGTACAAAGGTACCGACGAGCTGCTCTACTACGTGATTCAGCACAAACCGAAGCACGTGAATCAGGCATTCGCCGAGATATCGGGCATCACGACGATGTACTACCTGGTCCGGAGTCTCAGCCCCTACACGGAGTACGAGCTCTACGTGATAGCCGTGAACGCCAACGGGCGTAGTCCCCCAAGTGCCCCGGCGATAGTCACCACTGGCGAGACGAGTCAGTACAACTTTCCGATTAAGAATTTCTTTTCTTCCTTCCGTTAGCATCGGCGATATCAACCGGCTTCGCAATAATCGTCTGTCTTGTCGATTCAATTACCGCTCCAGGTTTTTTTCAGGAGCGTTCTTCATGCGCACAGAGGGTCACAAACGCGAAAATGTTGCTAAAGATTGTTATAAAGATATATACACAGTTACTCCCACTCGTATTCCCTACACTATTATGATGGTGATTGCACATTATTGTACGCTATAAATGAAAAGCAACTCTCTTATGAATTCTCTTTGTACATATATGTATACATATATTTTGACCAAATGTTGTTTATTATTTTGTAGTATTAGTATATATGATAGGGAGGTATGAATAATATAAAACAGTAAACAAATCAATCATATCGTGATCGGACCAAAATCAGTGTTTCTAACATGCCACCATCATTGATAAGTTTTGTTTAACTTTGTCCCATTTATAGCGAATCGCCATTACAGTGTATGAATACAAGTGAGAGCAACTGTATATACATATAATAACAATGGACAGCACTTGAAATGATAAAAATAACATACGTTGATTAAAAGAGCGAAAGCGACGATTCCACTAGCCAAAGTCAAGGTACTAAAGAGAAAGTTATCACTATAATAATCAAGTAATAAATGTGAAAAGAATTCTTGTACAATTCATTAAAAACAATCGTGTATTATCTCGGTTTTAGCCACTTTCTCAATGTTTCTGGCCCACTGTGCTTCGTCGGGATCCACACCAAACACCTTGCCACATCATTCGAGTCGACGGATTCTTTCGAGACAGTTTAAAGTGCATTCATAACTATAAACGATTCGACTCGTCTCGAACGAATCTCTGTCCACGACCAAAACGGTAAACGTCGTTTGCCATACGGTTATTTTGAATCGTATAACTTCGCATTTAATTCGTACGTCCCGTAAAACATGCGAGCCCTCGCATGACGAAAAGAAGAAAACAGCACGAGCGGCACACGTTGGGTTTTCTCGCGAAACGAAAAGCGAAAAACGATAGACTGGTGTATCAATACCGGCAAACGCGTACGATATTTTTGCACGTAGATAATATTTTTTGCACCACAAAGGAGGAACAAATTTTGACACGTTTTTTGAGGGAAACTATACCTTTTTTTCCATGCTGTCCGCCGTGGACGCACGATTTGATTCATGTAAGTGACAAGAAAGTTTTTTTCCACCTATCACCAAAAATCACCCCCCTCTATCTGTGTTGCACCATGTATTAGTGTTTTTGTCGGATCGTATTCGGCGCGTCGCGGCTTCGACGTCTCGTTTTCGCTCTGTATTTTTCCGTCTCTGTCTCTCCCTTGCCCCTCTGTACCATCGACGTCTCTCCGTCTCTTTTTCCCGGAAAAGAGAAAAACCAATACGCGGAGAGACAGCACGCGAAATTGCACCTTTCCTGGATATAGTAGCGCACTCTTCACACCTCGTGAAAATACGAACCGGCCGCAGACCGCAGTCCCGCTATTCGTATTTTCACCGCGCATAATGCTATTTATTCGTTGATCATTGAAAATAATCGTTCATAATTTTTTTCAATAGCGGAATCGACAAATGGAGGTGCCAGTAAGTTCAACTATATACTAAGAGTGCTGTAGCTCATCTTTTTTTTACTTTTCTGTTCGTGGTGGTTTTTTTTTATGTTTTTTTTTAATTTGATTTTTATTTTATTTTCGTTTCTTTTATAAATATACATATATATATTATACATGTATCCTCCACTACTTTTACCTACTCGGGAAGCACGTACACGTATTCATCGATCATTCGCACACACGCACACGTTCACACCTCTGTTATTCAAACAATTATGTACTTGTAGCTAATCACCTGCAATGCGATATATGTACATGTGGTTTTTTCTGTTTCGTATTTTTCATCGCAAAGTTACACCGTAGTCATGATACCACGGACATCGTAGTAAAGGCAACCATTGTATACCTTTTTCTTTTTGCCTACTTGGAACGAGTGTTTTTTTTTTTGTTGGTTATTATGGTATTCTTTTCTCGGGGTTTACTTGTACTATCCTCCTGTCCCGTGACTAACTAGAATGGCTTGTCCTTTCTGAGAATGCGTTCCAAGAAGTATCAAAAATCGTTTCTTCGTTCTAGAACCTGGTACTGCGCCGCGCAAGGTTCAGGCCCGACCATTGAGTTCCAGCACGGTGGTCATACAGTGGAACGAGCCAGAGACACCGAACGGTCAAGTGACGGTTAGTTTATCATTCTTTTTAAACATTTTCTATTGTCGAGCAAAAACAAAAAACTGAATCCTACGTATTACAAAATTTTTACGCCTCAAAATAGTAACGAAGGAACTTTTTCTTCCGTTGTCTTTACTAAATTTTCAAATTTGTTGTAAAAAATGATACCAGAAATTTATTGAAATATACGCCACTTTCCGAATGGTTGTTATCAATTTAATTTATGTAACTTGTATTTGTTACTGCGGTCCAAACTATTTTTCATGAGAAATTATTAAAACTAGAACGTTTTAAACTAGGTGCAAAATTTTTTCGCCATAATTAAAAAATTTCAAATAGTTTAAAAAAAATTATTTTTGATTTCGGGGATACAGTACAATCATTTTTGATGAATACACATACCCTCAAAATCCTACGCACTTTCGAGGAAAAAATTCTTTACCGAAAATACAATGTCTGACCAACGTTGATTCACTCCCCTGAAATTTCGGCGAAAATGGAATATTTCAAATTGTTCTAGAAAAATTATTTTTAGTTGCAGGGGTCAAGTACAGTCATTTTTGGTGATTATACATACCCCCGAATTCCTATGCATTTTTTAGGAAAAAATTCCTTACCGGAAATATAATCTGTGACCAGAAATGTTTCTGTATTATGTTTTCCTGCCAATTCCGTGAAATAAAATACAAAATAAAAACATTCAATACTTTCATAGGGATATAAAGTATACTACACGACGGATTGGAATCAACCAATGGCGTCCTGGGAATATCAGATGGTGGACAACAATCAGCTAACCACCCTGTCGGATCTAACGCCGTACATGATCTATACAATCCGAGTGCAAGCGCTGACGAGCGTCGGTCCCGGTCCTCTGAGCCTGCCCGTTCAAGTAAAGACGCAACAAGGGGTACCGAGTCAACCGGAAATGTTGACGGCGGTAGAAATCGGGGAGACCAAAGTAGTACTCCAATGGAGTAAGCCAGCTCTTAGCGCGGAAAATATCCTCAGCTATGAGCTATATTGGAACGATACTTACGCAAAGGTAGGAGCGATTCAGCGAAGTTGCTCTTCTCTGCCCCATCCTCAGACTCCTCCCCAAACCCGCCCCTCGTGTCTGCTAGCCGAAAAGGTGATCGACGACTCGTCGAAACTTTATGATCCGCGAGCACTCGTTGTTTTCAGGAGAAGCATCATCGAAGGATACCCGTCGCCCAAAACTACACGCTGATGAATCTCTATCCGAACACGCTGTACTACGTTTGGCTGGCCGCGAGAAGTCAGAGGGGGGAGGGAGCAACGACGATACCATATCCGGTTCGCACGAAACAGTACGGTAAGCAGATAACCAAAGACCGGCAGAACGAACGAAAAGAAAGAGGCGAGTTCACGCAGCGAGGAGTGCCGTACATAGGTCGATTCGCGATCGGTCGATAGCACCGTGGACGATGCTAGCCGGTGCAAACGATGCTCACTTGTCCCCCCGAGGATGCTGTCAGACGGGATCGCGAATCGTCCTGGCACAGCAGGTAGGAGGTGCTGTAGCGCTAGACGCTCCCGCAAGTAGCGTAAGCTATTCACATTGCGCGCCACCTTGTAAAGAATCAGTTGATACACGAGTAAATAGACATCCGGCACCGCCGATTTCATTGAATAGGAGGGGGTGAAGGGGAAAAAAAAGAAATACAAGAGAAAGACGGGAATAGAGAGTATCGTTGAACCGTGAAGTGTGGGAGAGTGAGAATGATTGCATGCGTTGCAAATAAGAAAGCCGTTTTTGGATGCCACTTTATATATATATCTCTATATATATATACGTACATATCATACATATAAATTGCACTAAGCACTGCATTGATATATGTGTGCATTTTGGGCACCTCTTTTCATTCTCGATAACGAATGGTTTACACGTCCGTTCTTAAGTTTTTCATTGTCTCGTTTCCTTGTGAAGTAAGTTCTACGCACGACGATCGTTTTAAACGATCGTCATGGCAAACGAAAAAAACAAATTTACTCTAATCACGTACTTTTTCGACTGTTCAAGGATCGACTTATGAGTTTTTCCTTGAGTGATTCACCACTCTGAACCTTGACCAATCGTCACGTAATGTTTTTTATTTTCGTCCCCCCGCCGTCAGTCGGGTTCGAACGTGGCCTGGCTTCGAGGCTCGCCGAGCTCCTCGAATCGAGCACGCGACGATTCGTTCACAGTGTTTGCCTATTTCGAAAAGAAAAGTTACCGACACACGATTTCCGGATAAACCGAACGCCCCGACGAATTCTCGCGAATGCTCGATTCGAGGCTCGGTAACCGAAATTCGTCGCGATCGTCCGACGGCTGACGATTTCCCTACCTCGTTTTCGTTTTGTTTTTCCCCCCTATAACTGAGTGTTATACAGTCCCCGGGGCTCCGCCTCGCAATGTAAACGGACGAGCGACCAGCCCGACCTCCATATTGGTAACATGGGAACCCCCGCTTGCCAATCAATCGAACGGGATGATCGTGTACTACAAGCTGCAAGTCGTCGAGAGCGGACGCTCCGACTCGGAGGCGAAGATTATCAAACTGAATGACACGCGATTCGAGTTGGACGAACTGAGAAAGTGGACCGAGTACCGGATTTGGGTATTGGCCGGGACCAGCGTAGGTGACGGGCCCCCGAGTTACCCTATCACGATCAAAACTCACGAGGACGGTATGTATCACTAACGTTAACTTAACAACCCTTCTACGTTCTCACGAGGCTGACGAAGAGTGGCGCATGAAACCACCCCGCACAGAGAGAACTCTCACCGAATCTACTTTACGATCGTTTGGTAACGATGACCGAAAACGGACTCGATCGAACGCGTAGAATTTCAAGCGCCACGCTTCGCGTGTAAAGATACTCTTGCGAAGGCGACGTGTCGCGATACAAGAATCATAGAGTTCGTCGCGCAAGAGCCAAAAATATAAAAGCCCGCCAAAAATCAGTCCGAAGAATAAATCGCGCGATTACTAGTGCGGGTTGCGATGACACGCCCTGTTATTATCGAGACGGCGATAAACATTCGGTCCGCTGTTAAATTACACATACATATATTAAATGTATTTTCGATTTCAGATTCCGCTAACGTCTCTTCGAAACCTGTCTCTTCCTATACGACTACACAACAACTTCTATCCCCTCTTTTACGATTTTACGTTTCACTCTGTTTTTCTCTATACAATGATTTCATATCTCTTTCGACAGATGTTTTCCTGTGTTGCCGTTATATATTACATTATTATCGTTGCATTCCATTTAAATTTTCATTCGAATTGTATATTGATATTGTACAGATACGTAAAGCTTTCCCTCTCAGGCCACCTTTTGTGATTCATTTACGCTTTCGAGGAACGAACATGTCGAACGTCAGACCCTTGTCTCGCGCGACGAACGACGCAAAACGCGGCCCTTTTTTTCGATTACTAATGCAACCATTGATTTTTGTCGCGCGAACGCAACTTTTGAACGCGCGAACAAATTTTTGTCGCGTATATTCTCTCCTTTTAAAACTGGTCCATCGCTCTCCTATCGCTTTTCTGGCACAACCCACGATCTCCCACTTTTTTGGACGGGACGCGGCAACCCAACGCGCGGCGAGACGCGAAAATCATGTTGGCCCTACTTTTTTGGCTGGCGAGATTTTATATTTTTGGGATTTTTGCGACAACAAATCTCCACGGATTTATTCTGTGCTCCCAGACGCCCCGAGATCCCCGCCCACACCCCCCGGCCCCTCTATTAGTGTGTCCCAGACATTTTTTCCAGGTGCACGCAGCCACGGATTTTTCAGAAGCTGATAACCGATTTTTGAACTCAGCTATACATTTGCAAACAGAGAAAAAAAAAGATAAAGTTGCAACCAAAAAAAAAAGAAAAAAGAAAACCGTATTTTCTAACTATTTTTACAGGGCCTAATCGCAACTCTCCCTTTGTTCGTTGCCGTTGGTTTTTTTAACCCCCCCGAGCCCCACTTTTGAAACTTGGATACCCAATTTAACACGCTAACTAATGTTATACTTTAATTATACTCACTCAAGTGTTTTTGTCTTTCCTTAAAGCATTTGCAGGAGGATGATCCAGGTTTTGAACAGCTAGTTTTTAAGATTTATTCGCACTAACGTATTATATCGACTGTCTAATGATATGTACTCATTCACGCTCAATGTTCTTTCTGGTGGTTACCGTGGTTACGTCAGTAAAGATGTTTCGTTTCTCTCTTTAGTTCGTTGACTCACTCTTGCCACGTGTTATGGAGATAGAGACCAAGCTGACCGTCCCGATACATCTCTACAGCATTATTTTCACCGTTGCGGAAAAATACAAAAAAAAAAGAAAAAAAAAGATGTATGGAAACGGTTATTGCCGGCGAGCTTTCGCGTGAAATTACAAGTTCGGTCGGTCTCGAAAAATTTTATCGGTTGGAAATAATGACTGTGTACGAGGGCGGCAGCTTGCCAGTGAAACGCTTACGTATATATATAAAAAACTATAGCGTATGTATCACACACAAAAAATATATATATATAACGCACTTTTTTCACTATATACATATATACATATATACAATACACAATATATATATATATATATATATATGTATATATATTTCTATATCTCTGATATATAAGGCTCTTCTGTCTTTAGTTAAAATTTAGTTCTACCTATTGTTTGCACATGTTTAGAGCATGCCTTCGTTTGTTTAACAATTCCTCCGATTTCACCAATCTCTCTCTCTCTCTTTCTCTCTTTCCCCGAAGATCATTGTCTCGAACCCCCCCAACATCACCGTGACTACGAATCCATTCCACAACGATATTTCCCCGCCACCAAACCTGAGAAAACAAACCGTCGAGCTACGTCGAGTCTGCGAAACCATAAACGCCCCCACCGTAATCACGATTAAATCCTCGTATCCAATGAATGGCATGCCGATGCACGAAGAATTTTTTGCTTTTCGTTTCATCTTCTTCCCGACCTTCTCCTCTGACGGTACCGCGCGACGGTACTGCCCCCCCCCCCCACCAAAAAAAAAACACCCTGCATGGTAAAGATTTTTTTCGCCACTCTAACCACCCTCGCCACTCTCTCGACTAATCTCCTCGACGAACAAAAAGAAGCATGGACGCGAAATCGTACGACGATACAGGCAATATTAAATGGTATCGGTGAGAAGGGACACTTTTTCTCTCGGGCGTCGTACGACAAACAGGAACGATCGTTTTCCCCGGGTGAAACGAAAAGCGAGAACAAACGCGTAGAATCGCGCGGAAAGACAGCCGGTCGTGTATAGCCGCGCGGCGCGGTTCTTTTGTCTTGAAAAATAATCGAAGACCTTGGTTGGACGCGAAATCGGAATCATTTGTTGCGAAGAGCATTGTCGAGGCGTCATTGTCGCGGGAAAAGTCGTACGAACGCGTCTCTAACGACATTCCCTCGAACCTTTTGCACTCGGAACGCCCGGGATCCTCTTTCGTTTCACACTCGCCCACACACCGTCGCCCCCACCCCGCCCACGCCCCCTCCCCCTCCCATCCCCCGAACTTCCCAGTTCCTCTCGTGCATTGTCCCGTTCACGGACCGACCGATCCAACCGTCCACCCTCTAAGAGCAGACTCGGCAAAGCGAGGCGGAACGATAAAAAGCACTGCTGAAAGCACCCTGCCGTGTAAGCTCGCACATTGTCAAGCACAAAAGTTCACCGTCGTGTATACGTATACTCGTTCGTTATTGTTATTGTCGCCGCTAGTACCACCACCACTATACTATAATTATATTATTCTAAACGTATTATCGATCTGCATATATATATATATATATATATACAATTACTCCCTCCACCCCACCCCCCAACCCGCTCGTGTTCGTATGCTGTAATGGGGGTGATTCGCTACAAATGAAAAGAAACTTATTTTTACCCGAACGTTGGTCATTACGTTCCACTTCTCTGTTTACGAAGTTTGTTTCTTTTTTTTTTTATATTAACGGGCTAGCAACGGCCGATTGCAAAAATATAAACACAGTATACTAATGGTCAACGATAACGCCGGTATACCTGAGCTTCGTTTCCCAACGATGCACGATCGTCGACAAGTTTTATTTTGTAATTTATTCATACCGTCGCAAGTTTTTATTCGTTTAGCGAAATCGACATTACAGCGTACGAACGGGAGCGGGGAGTAACCGTATATATACATATATATATTTTGTATCAGCATCACTATGAGTGTGTGCACGGGGCACCGGTAAATTTATTATTTTAGTCTTTTTTTTATCTTTTTTAATACGGGCACCGTTTTCGATCTCGCACCCATTACGCACGCATGTAAAGTCGCACACGCGTGTCGCGCACGATGAAAGGGCGTAGAGCGGATAGCTGGAGGGAGGATGAGACCGAGTATTTACGCACCTACGCACAGAGCCACACGCAGACGCACGCCTATCTCACCGTATACGCCCCCAGTAGAATGAATATATATATATATACATATATCTATCGCCACCACTGCCACGCACTACTTGAAAAGCACCCTTCGCTTCGAGTAAACAGCCTAAAGGCACTCGCGTGCACGCATGCACGTAGGTCGTGTGCGTGGCTGAGAATGTGTGTGCGCGCGTATTTACGAAGCCGACTCGTTCGTGCGTACGCGCGCGAGCGACTACACGCGCGCCCGATATTTACTCGCTCGACGTCCACGTATCAGCTAGCACCGTGTACGGCGCGTTACATGCATACATGTACATATATATGTGTGTATACAGACGCGTGTCTAAATATCAATTGTCGTCGCGATAGTCGATGCGATATATCGTGCCCGAGCACCAGCACCGAAAGCACCCACGAAAAGCACCCCTCCCCCACTGTCGATTGCCGTGCAACATGATTCGCGCCCTCTCGAGGTGATCTCGAAACGACCGCGAGTCTTTTCGACCGTCGACTCGCGATTGCTCGTACCGTTATCGATTTTGGTCCAGGACCGGCCGGGGATCGATCGCGTCGCGTCGAGATCACGACGGGCGAGGCGCGCGTGCGTGAATGTATGAGAGATTGCGTAAAAGAGAAGAACGGGATGCAAGAGTAAACGACGCGTTAGAAAAAGAAACGCGTGGGGAAAATACGTGGGGTAACAAGAACTAGGGTGAAAAAGATTCGAGGAATCGGGGCGGCGACCAATCGCGTACTTCGATCGACGAATGCGTTTACATCTCGAAGAGCGCGATCGTAATCGGGCGACGAGCAGCACAATCGTGTCGCGTGGGATGGGGAAGCACCGCGTTGGAAGAACGTTTACTTTGAAACATTTGAATACCAATATCCATACGATCTTCTTCATTATCTTCATCCGTTTTAGTCGACAGCCACGAGTCCAGTGGCGGAAGAAAGGTATTTCGGTCTCGATCCGGAGAGCTTGAGCCGTGCTCGTCAACGGTGATCGTTTCCACCGGGTAAAGATTAATTACTATGGTTTTTTGTACGTCTGACACATATTCCTGTGTCGCGAGACCGCAAAGTTTTTGCATATGTAAACGATCCGGTGTAAATGAAACTCCCGTCGACGAATTGGGGCCGATTAATAGGTTGCCGCCGGATACGTTCTCTCCGGTCGATACCGAACACCCCGATGGATCATTAACGCGGTATTTCATTAATTTTTTACACTCACCAAAGCTCGTTGGAATGATATCACTCACACCAGCCCTTTCTATATATATTGTCTATACGTGCACCTTCGTTCTCTGCATGCGAAACACCGACCTGTTTCTCCGTCTTCTGCCTCTGTAAGTTAACCATCGTAATCTTTGATATTGAATTACTATTTTTAATCGATATGTATAATACGTTCTTTGTATCTAACGTATACTGCGTATTATATATACTATTTTACATTTATACGTATTACATTTTTATATCGTGTATTGATACTTGTTACATATTCTTTTAGGTATCTAGAAAGAGTACACCTTGTATATGTATGTTTTTTTTTACGTTTGTATTTAAATATTCCAACACGACTTGCAGTTAAAGTCGTATCTCTTTCTACGTGCAGTTACTCCCTTATAATGGTGATTCGCTATAAATGGAAAGAAACTCTGTCAAGAATTCTTTTTTATATGCTGTTCGTTACACTGTGTGTTACTTCTCTATTTACGAAGTAGTATTTTTAATAATAACGGGCAAGAAGTATTCAATTACAACCCCGATAGAGAAGTATAAATACTACAAACAATCTACAAATACCACCCATCCCAAAGTACCGTATTTGATGTTTTAACTTCGGTTATCAAACAAGAATGTTTTCAACCTGTTGACAAGTTTTCCGTTTAAATATCTCAATGTATGAAAAACATGAACTTACACCCGTTTCGAAAACAATTAATAAGAAACAAGTTTTTCACCCCATTTATAACGAATCACCATCGTAGCGTACGAATACAAGTGGGAATAACTTTACGTCCGAATATCGAGAAGTTCGATCATTACGGAAGCCTCTTCTCCATTTCTGTTTTCAAAGATCCAATTGAAAAGCTCCCAGCTTCCGAACGAAACGCATGCTTTCTTTCTCCCCATCTAGATTCCTTTTCGAATCCGCTCAGCTGCATCGATAAAACCGACAACCGAAAAAACCAATCCGAAATCCGAGTACGTATCGCGTATCGTGCACGCTCGATCCGACCCGATCTAAACGACACGCGTTCCGTTTCGCAGCCACATCTACGTGTGTTATTTTGCGAAGAATTTTGTGATTTTTGCCTGGGTGAATGCGCGGATGGATGCTGCTAGTGAAACAGAAAGGTATCGAAAGGGAAACGGAAATATTTTTTACCGTATTCCCGGATATTGCCCGGCCCTTTGCCTTTCTGACGATAAATCTCTTCCCAGCCGACGTTTTTTGCGGGTGACTTTTTGGCGCGGCGAAACAGAAAAAGACGAGAAAAAAAAACTAACGAACAATTTTTCCCACCCCCCAGAAGACATATTCTTCCGCCTTGCCGACTCGTATCCTCGTCTTTTGTCCGTGAGTTTTTACGTACGAAGAGGCGCAACCGCGAATCTTTTTTTCATCCAACGACTACTTCTCGATCGCTTCGATACGATGACGATAGCAAAACACACGGAGATCCTTAAACGGTTCATGCGTCCCAAATCACAACGAGTCCCAGCAGTAATCCCTTCTTCTTACATATTATTGTTTTTTATCCTTCCTAGCTTTCTTTTCAGTAGACATTTTATCATAGGTCTTCCCTCTCGACGCCTCGTGCCGCGAGGGAAAGAACTCACCACGGGAACGCCCGTTCTCCGCGTGTTCTATCATTTTTTTCGTTTCGTTTCTCGAATCCTTTCCATAATCATTATTAGGATCCATTTCGCCCGAGAGGTGCGTGTTTACGAACGCGCGAAAAAAATAAAAGAAAAAAAGAAACGAAAAGTCTTTCTCTCGACGGCAGGGGGCAGGTGGACATGAGCCTTTAGTTATTTCATATTTGGAGTAGTGATTGCGCATGCGAAAAGAAAAAAAAAAAGGTATATTCTCACATCTCCCGCCTCTCTGCGACCAACTGCAACCGAGGACCAAGCGATATTTTTCAATTTAACGATCGATTCGAAAGAGAATTTTGTCCACCGACATTCCTCGGCAGAGCCAATATAAAAAATATTACGAACAGTGCAGGGGATGGATACGATTGGAATCGAGCGCGTGGGAGGGAGGGAACGAACGAACGAGCGAGTGCGCGTGTGCGTGATTTAACAAGAGAAACAGACAGAGATTCGTATAGATATTTTTTTTTTTTTAAATCCTAAATCGAAACAAAACGAATATGCCGTAAAAGAGGCCAATGTTGACGTTGATTAATAATCAGTAGTATGCTACCCACTGATATGCATAAACATACTAAATATTTTATAATTCTACTCAATATACGTGCGAAGTTGACACGAATTTTTACGAGTTTTTTTTCCCACTTTTTTGGCGACTTTTGGGGCGCAGATGAAAACAGTGAGTATCTCTTAGCTCGTCTCGAGTTGTGCCATGAATTTTCTACCTATTTAATCGTTTTCTCTATAGTTTACGTTTTTTCCGTCTCGTTCGCATATCGTCTGTTTTTTCCGTTTGTTTTTTTACGTCTGTGAGAGAGACCATTTTGGAGATGTCATTTTTTTCCACCCCATCTTTTTGTTGCTGCGGCCGGCAAGCAAATAATACGATTCAAACGAGAACTATTCGCGTGCAACAAAACGCTGCGACTGCGCGCTCGCCCAAAGTTTGTTTTTTGAGCCGCATACCGCGTACTGCACATCGTGGGTGTAATTCATACATGTTAACGATCGCGTAAATCGCGACGATAGAGCCGGGGCGATCAACGCTGATCCGATACTTCACCGTGAACAGCAATCGTTTGGGCTTTTCTTTATATCGTATCTAACCTTGCAACGCATTTGTTTTTTTTTTTTTCGTTTTTTAGTCTCTTTCCGTTCATTTCGTTTTCCTTTTGCGAGACTACGTAGATAAAGTTGCAGTTATTGTTCACGTACGAAACTAGGTAATACCATAGACAATGCTGAGAAGTTTTCGTTTCATTTCGTTTCTTTTCTCCTAACGAACTGGTTTTTGTCATTATTGCGTTTTCTGTGTGTAATGTCGATAAACATTTCCGGCCTCGGATACTGGATTGTCCATGAGATGCATCGTCTGTCGCCAATCAGAATCCGCGCGAGGGAAAACATCGTTTCGGGAACGAAAAACAAAAATGAAAAAAAAATAAAAATAACAAAAAAAAATTGAGTAAAAAGAAAAGAAAATATGGGGAATAGAGCAAATAGAGGGGAATGCGAAGCTTGCAAAAAAAAAAAAAAAAACAAACCGAAAAAAGAATAACGGTCGAACCGGCTTTGAAAACTCGTTGAAGCGACAAAAAATTATAGAAAAGAGAGACGATGCGGCAACGTTCTCGCGACAAATTATCGAAGCGGCTTGTCGATGTGGGGTAACTGTAAATACACGAGGATACGATTTTGTTACCCTTGCACGTCTATCGAAAAACACGAATGCACGAGATTCTGTTGGCACAATTTTCATCCACGCCCAGCACCAATGATCGTAGATCGCACATATTATATAATACATATGTATAAAACTGCTTCGTTTCTCGTCATGGACTCTCCAATATTGCCGTAGCATTATCGTCCAACGTAACCGCGCGCTTGCATCCCGATGACGTATTTATACGGGCGTTCATACATTCGCGTTCTCAAACCGAATGCAGAAATAAAAACATACATTATTGGTATTCAAATGGAGGATTATATCGTGCCGTAGGGACGTAGAGCATGAGGTACTCTGCGTACCTCGTAATATTGTTTGTACGTCGTTTTGTCCGTGTGTGATTGGTAGCATGTACATACGTTTCACCATTACTTTATCATTACTTGTTACTGTTCGACATTTTGCGTACGTTTATGGTTTTCTCTTCCGTTTGTTACACCGCGACGCATTACTTTCTTTCTGCTCGATCTTTTATCAATCGCTGTACGATGACGCTTTCGTTTGCCCGTACTCTTTCGCCATCAACGAATTACAATCGATTACCAATGACGAACGACTGACCGAATTATCATTTAAAATACAGGCTAAAAACATCGACGGAATCATTCTTTCGCGTCACACTTTGTACACCGTGTATGTACTTGCGTTTTCATCGCTTCTTCTCGTAGGACAGATCGCGTTAAATTTCGTTAAATTAACTACGTTTCACCTTATTTTTACGTTTTACAGGTTTCTTATTACGATATATTCATTTTATAACCCTTCACGTGCGATTGCGACTTTGTGTACATGAGCGTGCGACTGTGAGTGTGAGACGCGTCGAGGCTTAAAGTGCGCGCGCTAACTTTGCGTTGCGTTCCAGTACCGGGAGATCCCCAGGATGTCAAAGCTACGCCCATCAACTCGACCGCGATACACGTCGAATGGAAACCACCGAAACCGAAAGAACAGAACGGCGTGATAAGGGGTTACCAAATACACGTGCAGGAAGTGAGGGAAGAGGTGAGCGAAACGAGCGACAAAAGTGGACGTAAACAAAATTATTACGTTTTAATTGTCGTGTTTGTTTCAGGGAAAGGATCTCCTAAACGAACCGATACGACGCGACGTGCAAGAAGACGATGTGCTGGAAGTGACCATTGCCGGTTTGCAACCAGACACAAAATACTCGGTTCAAGTAACCGCCTTGACGAGAAAAGGAGACGGCAAACGTTCGACACCGGTTCACGTCAGAACACCTGGAGGTGTACCAAACAGACCTCATGTTACCGTCAAGTACGTTGAATCCCGGTTTCCCTCACAAATTCGTTCGCACGAAGTTATTATATTAACACTAAATTAATTAAATATATCAAAACGTGCTCTTACGTTACAACTAAACCTAGCTGTTCAAGATTGAACAGCAAACACGCATAGTAAGACATTTACATTTTACACGCAAGTAAATAAAATGGTGACATAGTAATTACATCCTGTGTACAAACTTCAATTCATTTTCAATTAAATACACAATTTATAATCCAGTTTTATTGTACACTAGTCGTTTGTTAAAACTTTTTTGAGTGCATAGAGTCAAAGTAAATTTAAAAATAAACATAGAAGACAGCATAAATTGTAGTAGTTGGTATAGTCATCGGATAGGGGATAAAATGCCCTTTAAAATGAGCCTTCGAACAAGCCGTTAGCTTTATTAGTTCCAGAGATATAACGATTTTAGTTTCAAGTCGATGCGGTGGCTAATTCCGAAGATATGAGGGTTCGAAGCGTTTGTTTACGTCGCGAGGTCAATGAACTCTCACTACGGCCTTGGCAAGGTCGTTCACCGCACGTGATCGTAGTAATTAGGTCACGACTCACACGTGAGAGAAAGGCCCAACGCAACGCGCCAGACGAAGACAGAGATAGTCGAATTAAAAAAATGACCTTTTACATAAATTGCGATATCTCGAAAACGGAAAGTCCGATCGTCAAAAACCAAAAACCATTTTAAAAAGGAAGATTTGCCGCCTCTAACAGTGGCTCAATTATAGAGAAAACACTAATACGTTGTGAAATAGTGGAAACTGAAGATTTTCTCCTTTCATCTTAGCTATATATATATTTCCTATGTACATCGGAAGCTAGTTAAAATCGCGTTAACAACACGACCGACGTTTTCAGAGTTCCGCTCAAAGATGGCGACGAGCTCGAGCTAGATTGGGCACAACCCACGCAAACTTTTGGCGTTCTTTCGGGCTACAGGATAAGATACGGAATTAAAAATCAGACGCTCAAAGAAGAATTTATCCAAGGAACGGATCAACACACCTACAAAATCAAGGGTCTTGGTAAGCTAGTTGAAACTTTACTTTTCCCCCAAACGATTCTCGTTTGTTTTCCGGTATGATAGCACTCGATTATGCGAACCGTTGACTTACGTGTTTTATTCGCAGAAGAACGGGGTGTAGAATACGAATTTAGGGTCGCTGGACAAAACGAGATCGGATTCGGGCAAGAGACGGTACAATATTGGTCCAGCCCCGAAGGAGAACCCAGCGGGCCGCCGACAAATTTGTCGTACTTCTTTCAAACGCCTGATACAGTATGCGTGACGTGGGACATGCCCCTCCGAAAGTACAGGAACGGCCAGATAATCGGTTACGACATTCAATTCAATAAGAAAAACGACCATTCGACGATCATCGACCGTAACACGACCAAGACGAGGGCTGTTTTCACGAACCTGGAAGAAAACACGGAGTACGTGTTTCACGTGAGGGCTCACACGTCGAAAGGCAGTGGCCCTTACTCGGAGAAGATCACGATAATAACGGACAAAGACATTGGCCGAGCACCGATGTCCGTAAAAGCGGTGGCCACGTCGGAGACCAGCGTGGAGGTTTGGTGGGAGTCGGTGCCCAATCGTGGGAAGATCGCTGGTTATCAAATCTTTTACACGACTACGGCCGTGGAGGACTTGGACGAATGGAAACAGAAGACCGTTGGTCTCACGGAATCCGTGGATCTCGTCAACTTGGAGAAGTTTACCCAATACGCGATCACGGTTGCCGCGAGATACAACAAAGTCCCCAGCCTAGGAAGGCTCAGCGACAAGGTGACCGTGAAAGTGAAACCGGAAGACGTTCCGTTGAATCTAAGGGCGCCTGACTCCTCCACCCACTCGATGACTCTCTCCTGGACACCGCCTATAAAACTGAACCCAGTCAACTATAAAGTTTCATTCGACGCCGTGAAAGAGTTCGTCGACTCGCAGGGCATCACGCAGACACAAAATGTTGCGCGCAAACAGATCCTCTTGGATCCCAGCGATACGACCACCACGATAAACGAACTGCAACCGTTCACCACGTACAACGTGAACGTAAGCGCGGTACCACGCGACGGACAATACAGGCCGCCCGCTAAAATTACGGTCACCACGCAAATGGCGGCCCCGAAGCCTATGGTCAAGCCAGACTTTTACGGGGTGGTGAACGGCGAGGAGATCCAAGTGATCTTGCCTCAGGCCTCCGAGGAATACGGACCAATTTCTCACTACTACTTGATCGTCGTACCCGAGGACAAGTCGACGATGGACAAGCAACCCGACGAACTGACGGAGGACATGATCACGGGCAAGGGCACCAAAGAGGAAAGAGCGAACGCCCCCTACATCGCGGCCAAATTCCCGCACAGGGACATTCCGTACACGTTCCACTTGGGCAGCGGAGAGATATACGAGGGCTACGAAAATCGGAAACTCGAGAAGAACAAACGGTACCGAATCTTCGTGCGCGCCGTCGTCGACACGCCCAGAAAGGTAAGACGTAGAAGAATGCGAATAGGAATCGAGTCTAATCGGTGAATATTTACCTTGCAGCATCTGTACACGTCGTCGCCCTTCTCCGAGTATCTGTCGCTCGATATGAGGGAGGTACCACCCGGTGAACCACCGCGACGTCCTAACCCGAACACTCCAGTAGATGGAAATCCAGAGATCATTGCAAAAACTAACGGGCAAGAACCGGGCATGGTGTGGGTGGTGGGTCCAATAATAGCGGCGTCGATGGTCAGCGTGTTTCTGGTTCTTCTGTTTGTTATCAAAAAGTAAGAATAGAATCAATATATGTACATATTATTTATTAAGCCTTCGAGCGCTGAGTTGTGCAACGTTAAGCGTGCGCTGTGGGCTAATTCTGAAATTTCATTGCAAAATACATTATGTAAAATAAGTACCAGGAATTTGTAAATAAAATACAAATTGCTTACTTAATCATCCAAATTTATTTTGTCGTCTTCAAAGTAGGCCCCATCAGAAGCAATGCACATACATCAACACTTCTCCCAGTCTTCAAAACACTTTCTAAACGCTGAGAAAGGTAGCGCCTTTAGCTCCTTCTGTGAATTTTTTTTTATGGCCTGTATCGACTCAAAACGCCTTCCCCAAAGGGGTAATTTCAGTTTTAGAAATAAGAAAATGTCACAGGGGCCGTATCTGGTGAATACAGTGCTTGTTTAATCACATTTGTTGAGTTCTTGGCCAAAAATTCGCGTACCAAGATCGATGTATACGACGGAGCATTATCGTAGTGCAGGATCCAACAATTGTTTTTCCACACATCTGGTCGTTTCCGACGAATATTTTTACGCAAGCGTCTCATGACGCCCAAATAATATTCTTTATTTACTGTTTGTCCATCCGGAAGGAATTCCGAATGAACAACACCAAGATAATCAAAGAAAACAGTGAGCATGACCGTAATTTTCGAGCAACTTTTGACACGGTTTTTTAGGGTTTGGTTTTTAGGGGTTGGTTTTCTAAGCGATATTCCTAAGATTGTTGACTTGTTTGCATATCATACTCATAAACCCATGTTTCGTCACCGGTTATGATGCGTTTCATGAAGGTAAAGTCACTAGAAGCTCGTGAAATCATGTCTTCAGCAACTGCTTTTCGATGTTCTTTTTGCAGAAAATTCAGCTCCTTCGAAACAAGTCGTGCAGCGACGCGTCTCATGCCCAAAACTTCAGTTAAAATGTTATACACGGATATGTGAGACATTTTCACTTCATGAGCCACCTTTCTAACACCCAGGCGACGATTATCGACGACCATTTTTTTTATCTTTTCGATGTTTTTTTCAGTCGAAACCATTGACGATCGGCCGGCACGCGGCAAATCTTGCACTTCTTCTCGGCCCTTTTTGAAATGCCTTGTACCATTCGTATGCTTGCGTTTTTGATAGACACCACTTACCATAGGCTTTCTGTAACATTTTTAGCGCTTCGGCACAAGAAATTTCGTTAGAAACGCAAAATTTAAGACAAATTCTTTGCTCGACAATTCTTTCCATGGCAAAAATCGCAGAGCACACTCGAGATCGACTGGTGTAAATAACTGCTGTGAACACACTGGTTCTCATATTGCGATCAAATTTAGCGTAACAACTGAATACAATGTTGCCTACTTACACACAAAAATTTGTTTCAATACATGCACTGTGGGATTTGAAAGTGAGAAATTCCGGGAACATATTTTACACAATGTATACTGATTTGGGCTGAAATAATTTGAGCAGTGTCTGCTAAAAGCAGTGAATGGTTGTGTGAGAACCCATATGTGCGTTCATAGCCCATGGTGAATGATTTTGTCGAACGCACACATGTATTCATAACGCTCAAAAGATTCAAGAAATTACCCTTTGATACAAATTGAATAGAACATTGAGGTTTGACAAAATATTTAGTAGGTTGCTTCTAAAGGCTGGATAGAGAGCTAAAAGAATCAATCGTTACATCATTTCCTAATAGTACACAATAGTAACAATAATAATATTATACAATTTTGTTTACTTTTCATTATTATTGTTATAACCCTTTAGTACAAAAAGAAGTAATATGTAAGGAACAACAAAATAAATATTATCGCTTCACAAGCTTAATCCATATTTTACAGATACCAATACCAATACATAACTTGTACTTTACTACGTTTTAAACTAGAATATGCATCACTGATTTGGTCGCCCTATTATCTTTATCAAACAAACATTCTTGAAAAGAGTTCAACACAGATTTTTACGACTAGTTGCTAGACATTTAGGAACTCCTATGGCAGCAATAGAATATTCATCAATTCAACTTAATCTAAACATCGTCGTATCAACTCTGATCTAATTTTCATTTATAAAGATCTTAATGGATTAGTCATATCTCCTGAAATACTCTCTATGTTGCATCTAACGATACCTAGATTAACTACAAGAAGACACCATAAGATTATACATAATTTCATTCTACGTTATATGGAATGTTTAACTGCATTAATCATTTAATAATCAATGCCAATATTCTTATCCTCTTATCCTATTTTCGTGCAGAAATTAGATAATACTATAAGACTAAGACGACTTACATGAATTTTGTAAGTAGTATAACTAGGTATGGCGTCTGCTATATTTATATTTGGTTGCAATTTGTCACTCGCTCATTGTTGTATAGTTTATAAGTTTATATGATTTTATAATTACATATATTTTATATTCATGTCTCCCTATCTTTGTACACAAGGGAATTCATACTCGTAAATAAATAAATATTGCTCGTCAATGACAAAGTCTTTACAAAGAAACGTTGGGCATGACATTTTGTCCATCAGTTTCTATTCCATAATTAGTCGATTTTGCAATCGTTTCAGACGAAGACAACCGTGCAAAGCACCCGACCAAGCAGCGGTAACTCGACCACTAATGGCCGCCGACATCAGTTCGAACCACGCGCCGTCCGATCCGGTCGAAATGCGTCGTCTGAATTTCCAAACGCCCGGCATGATCTCTCATCCACCTATCCATATCAGCGAGCTAGGGAATCACATCGAGTGTCTAAAAGCGAACGACAATCTAAAGTTCAGCCAGGAATACGAGTCTATAGAGCCCGGGCAACAGTTCACGTGGGACCACTCGAACATGGAGATAAACGCGTCGAAGAATCGTTACGCGAACGTGATCGCGTACGACCATTCAAGGGTGATTCTTCAGATGATTGACGGCATATCGGGCACGGACTACATAAACGCGAACTATTGCGACGGTTATAGGAAACAGAACGCGTACGTGGCCACCCAGGGACCGCTTCAGGAGACTTTCGGTGACTTTTGGCGAATGTGCTGGGAACTTCGGTCGAGCACCATCGTGATGATGACGAAACTCGAGGAGAGAACGAGGATAAAGTGCGACCAGTATTGGCCGACCAGGGGATCCGAGACGTACGGTCTGATGACGGTGACGATCACCGACGTACAAGAGCTGGCCACCTATTGCATCAGAACGTTTCAAGTATCGAGGGCCGGATACTCCGAGAGACGCGAGATAAAGCAGCTGCAATTCACGGCCTGGCCGGATCACGGTGTACCCGAGCATCCAGCTCCGTTCTTGCAATTTCTGCGCAGAGTACGTTCCCTGAATCCGCCCGAGAGCGGACCTCTGATCGTCCACTGCAGCGCCGGGGTCGGTAGGACCGGCTGTTTCATCGTCATCGACTCGATGCTCGAGAGGATCAAACACGAGAAGATGATCGACATATACGGTCACGTGACCTGCCTGCGCGCCCAGAGGAACTACATGGTACAGACCGAGGATCAGTACATATTCATTCACGACGCGCTCTACGAGGCGGTGATTTGCGGTAACACCGAGGTGCCCGCCAGAAACCTGCACTCCCACATCCAGAAGCTCATGCAACCGGAGATCGACAACATAACCGGGATGGAGCTGGAGTTCAAGAAGCTATCCAATATCAAGGTGGACTCGTCGCGATTCATATCGGCGAACCTGCCCTGCAACAAGCACAAAAACCGGCTGGTGCACATTCTGCCGTACGAGTGCGCCAGAGTGTGCCTGCAGCCTCAGCGCAACATCGAGGGTTCCGATTACATAAACGCGAGCCTGATAGACGGTTATCGTTACCGGGGCGCTTACATCGCTACCCAGGGCCCTCTCTGCGACACGACGGACGACTTCTGGCGCATGCTCTGGGAGCACAACTCCACGATCGTCGTGATGCTGACGAAACTGAAAGAAATGGGTAGAGAAAAGTGCCATCAGTACTGGCCGTCCGACAGGTCCATTCGTTACCAATGCTTCGTCGTCGATCCGATCGCGGAATACAACATGCCGCAATACATTCTGCGCGAGTTCAAAGTGACGGACGCGCGCGACGGAGCCAGCCGCACGGTCAGACAGTTTCAGTTCATCGACTGGCCGGAACAGGGTGTACCCAAGTCTGGCGACGGATTCATCGACTTTATCGGTCAGGTGCATAAAACGAAAGAGCAGTTCGGCCAGGACGGTCCGATCACCGTGCATTGTAGCGCCGGCGTCGGAAGAACGGGCGTCTTTATCACGCTCAGCATCGTGCTGGAACGCATGCAGTACGAGGGGGTCGTCGACATATTCCAGACTGTCAGAATATTGCGAACACAGCGTCCCGCGATGGTTCAAACTGAGGTCAGTACCATCGGAATTGCCTTCATTTTCAGCCGTCGCAATGGTTTCCTCCCTTAATCAGGGTATACAGGGTGTTCGGTCACCCTGAAAAAATTTTAATAAGAGATTCTAGAGGCCAAAGTAAGACGAAAATCAAGGATACTAATTTGTTGATTGAGGCTTCGTTAAAAAAGTTATAGAAACATTTCCAGCCACACAGTATATTTTCGGTGAAGAATTTTTGTTCTCGAAAGTACGTAGGATTTTGGGGATATGTGTATTCAACAAAAATGATTGCAATTGACCCCCACAACCAAAAATAATTTTGCCAGAGCGATTTGAAATATTTCATTTCCGCTGAAATTTCAGGGGAGTGAATCAACGTATGGTGAGACATTGTATTTTCGGTAAAGAATCTTTTCCTCGAAAATGCGTAAGATTTCGGGAGTATGTCTATTGACCAAAAATTTTTTAATTTAATTTCTTAATAACTCTTTAACGAAGCCTCAATCAACAAATTGATATTCTTGATTTTCGTCTTATTTTTGCCTCTAGAATTTCCCATTAAGATTTTTCCCAAGGATGGCCGAACACCCTGTATATTCTTATCACTACATCAATTAAATTCAACATAAATTGCTAACAAATAATATTTATGAATTCTGTAACGTTAGTTCCGTAAACCTTGTGTTAACACATTACCAACGGAAAACTAGTATTCTCGTTTTACTACAAAGCGTGTATTTTTCTAGTAATTTCTACGATAACGGTATTATTTATGACCGTGGTGCATTTTTATCATTAGTGTTTTTCTGACAGTCGAATACATCACAGTAGTTAATTTAAAAGCTTATTTTTTATCTAAATACATCACCCGTCGTATAGGAAAGTTTTAATAAAGATGCCCCGTTGTTAATGTGTTACCATGAATAGAACAATAATGTATCTGTTGTATTTCTTTCTTAAAACGTACAGATTTATTTACAATAACATACAAAAAAAAACTTAACTAAAAACCTTAACAACTATGCAACTCTCTCTCGTTCTGCTATGATTCCTTTGTCTCCTCGATACACCTGGTATTCCCCTCACTCCTCATTACCAACCTAACTCATCATCACTGCCAACTTCCACAACCAAATCACCACCGATGTCATCCACAAGAGATTATCCCCTAACAATATCTCTCGCGGATATGAACATCCTACTATGTAGCCTGAGTAAGGTTTTCTGGTGAAGGAATTCTACTAAAAATATCTAATAGATATCGCAGAATGGAGAAAGAATTTTAATTCTTGGACAGTGTGATCTTTGACCAGAACTGTAAATAAAATATTTTTGTTTGTTTCTCTAGGACCAATATCAGTTCTGTTATCGTGCCAGTCTGGAGTACTTGGGTTCATTCGATCATTATGCCAACTGACAACCCGATACACGCGAGGAAAGGGAATCCACCAGGGATAGAAGGGATCGTCAAAGGAGCGAGAGAGACGTCGGAGAGCGGGCAAAAGTACGACGCGTCTAGTACAATGAAGTACAAGGAGTATGTGTAACTATTCAATGAACGGGAAATGTAGCCTATACTATGATTCCGGGGCATAACATAACTATACTCGTACCTTCCATGGACAAATACAGTAGAGACGCGATTTTCGGCAAACTTCTTGGGCAACTAACGCGTAGGCAGCCACGAGTATTCTTAGTAAATGGTGTTTTGCAGCTATCTCGGCCGTGCGGAAGACATTTTTAATTTTTTCGCGGTATCGTAAGTGCTGATATCAATTTTATTCGAATTACCGAACGACTAACGGAACAAGAAGACTGCCGTTTAGAACGTACGGCTAAAGTAATCGTAGAAACAATCATATCTGTAGAAAATATCCTTTTCCCGAAAGTTCTTCTACGGGTTACGGAACAAAAACAAAAAAATACAATTTAAAGGATTCTAGAAAAGGAAACGAGAAGTACACGGACACGAGAGCGACTTCCGCGTTTACGAAAATCGATCGAGCGACGGAGACTGATTCTTATTAAAGAAAATGAAAAAGAAAAAAAAAAAGGAAAAAGAAGATCTCGAAAAAATCGTAATCGAAAGTTCGATCATTGAAACATATCCGACTCACGATCATCCGTGGACACCTTGCGATTACATTTTTTCCAGGTCCCTCGCAAAACTACGGTTGCTTAGATAGTCTAGGTTTTGCTAAGCTAAGACGAACTGACGGGGATTAACGCGATCGTGTGCCTCGCGATATCAAACACGCGAATACAAGTTCAAACTTTTCCTATCCGTTGGAGAACAGTGCTTCCATATTTGTGGGAAACGTAATGTCTGAAAGCGAACGATCGACGCACGCGAGAGTGCGTTTTGTCTGGAAATACAAGGAAAAAAAAACAGAAATCGAAAAGAAAAACACAGACCGTGGCACGTTCTAAAAGTACTTATCGATGCGACAAAAACGATATTAAGAACAGAGAAATTGCAAAAGATCTCCGTAACAAGCGTCGAGAGAAAACCAGAGGGACACGAGTTTCCGCTCACTGACTCGAAAATTACCATACTGCCAAATCGACAATTATTCATGCTGAGCCCATTACGCACGATAGGGATCTTCTCATTACCTACTGTAATTTTAAGTAGACCGTAAGCGATTGTTCTAAGATTAGAGTGTAAGCGATGCCATTAGAAGAACAAAATGAAAAACAGGTTGGTCTGAATGAAGGAAGAGTGAAAGGAAACGGTGCCTATATTCAATTTAAATGCACAAAAAGAGTTGTGCAGGTTTCTATGAAAAACTAATTTAACTAGAAGCACTGTATGTCGGATTTGCGTACTGTTCCCCCCCCGAGCCCTCGACGCCCTCGTGTACAAAGTTCCATTATAGGCTTCTATCTCGACACTACTTTTAACGATTTTCCCCGGTTGTTTAAATCGACTTCGATCATTCCTGGCTCGGTTTATACTAAAACTGAGACGTCTATTTCGTAGTACAACATACCAAAATCATAGTTTACGATCGAACAGAATTAAAACCCCGTAAAATCGACGAGATATTATATCATCTACTGAAACGCCAAATCAATGCCAAAAACGAACGTTAACGCTGATGCAATCGATCCTACACGCACGCACACACACATACATATACACATACACACAGCATATCCTTTTTGATAACGATCGAAACATTCGACGTGTATTAATTGTATATTGTAATTCAAAGAGTTGCAAAGTTCGTAGTCTACGAAGACAATAAACAATATGCTCGTTTGTATATCTTCTATATTTCGAAAATCCTCGTCGTACCGTTCGGTATATAGAGTTATTCTATCGCTGTTCGATACAATAGAACGTACAATTCTATTTACTAAAACGTGTAAGTATATACGATAACGATTGTACTCTCCTGTAAGAAAAGGATCCATTTTGGTTTTTGGCATTCGTTTGGCTTCGATCGTTTGCTCGTACAATACCCTGTCGCTCGGTATAGCGTTTAAAAACAGTCAGTATTACTTTTTTAAATTCGACCTTTGATATCCTAAACTGCTAAATCAAGCATAAATTTTCATTTAAAAGTGGTTCGAGGGTCAGGAATTGTGACTAAGTGTACATAAATGCACCGTCTGTCATTAGCAACATTATATAAATATAAATATATATATAAATATAAATATAAATATATATATATATATATATAAGATGATAAATAATATATACATAGATATATATTAAAAACATCACAAATGAAGAGAGTACGCATTAAATAGAAGCTGTGCGGATATTTTCCAGACTATCGGGATTGATGCGTGTTATCCGAAAAGCACGTTGTTTGTTACACATTCGTCAGATTTCATTTTAACGCTTTTCATTCTATTGACACATTTTTTGATATAATCTTTTTTAACCTTTTGTACAATAACTCTGTTTTTTTTTTCTTTTTTTGCAATGCAAGCTTACCGTGCATACGTATTTTTTAACACGAGATTTACATTAAAGACTAAGTACATACTGCATTTTTTCAGAACGTGCATTTATTCTTGTCTCATATCATTTTTATTTCATGTTGTAAGACTGAAGGCCATTGTGTCTGATCTATTACTACGTATTATCAGTACTTGTAATAGTACTTAAATGGCTCGGTCGTCGTTGAAAGATAAACTACTTAATCATTGTTTACTCAAGCTCAATAACACTATTTTTCTTTATTTTAAATGCTTCGTTGCTCCGTGCATTAACTATTCACGATATACTCAGATTTGTTTCCCGATGATTTTTTTAATGATTTTTAATTATACATATGTACGTTAACAAAATCTATACCCCGAGTAATGTTTGCAATGAACCGGCCTTTGGTGCGAGCACGAAAGTTACTCTCTAAATGATTATTTTATTTTTATAATTATTTTTTATACTACCAACTTGATTCGCGTGTACGTTACTTTACTCCTTCTTTGTCGCCTTTACGTTGAAATTATCTTAGCGATATCGTGCTTCTGTCTAAATATTGATATTGTTACGCTGGCAATAAAGACATGCGAAACGACTGTTTTTTCCTCCGTAAATCAAATACAATGGCTAAAAAAAGATAAATGGAAACAATTTCTTCGACACAAATGTGCTATTACGGAAATTTACTAAAATCGACTCGAATACATTTTTTCTTTATTTTTTCAATTTTTTTTCATTTTTTATTGTTATATCCGATTCAGGGCTTCGTAACGTTTGCAATAGACTTTCTTTAATCGTTAAAAAGGCTGACAAATAAATAAACATTCATTAGGAAATAACATTCCGCCGTACAATAATAAACTATAGAGACTTATTCGTTGATGCTTCGCTCTAGATAAAAATTCTTTGCCAACAAATTTTTGCATCAACCGAATTACTAATTGATTATAAAATTTATGAGAGATATAGTTCATAATTGAAAATCTTGTTAGAAGAAAAGATAGTTTTTCGAACTTTCAATTGAGACGACCTATTCACACGATTCTTACAGTACTTGTTAACAAAAAAAAAAAGCGAACAAAATGAAAAAAATTTTGTCGCATCAATTCTCAAGATATCATTACTCTTCCTGGTGTTACTTATTCTGCCATTCAATTTTTATCGATACTGTTTAACAGCGGACAAAAAAAAAAAAAAATGTTTCACTGCCCAAAGTGCAGTATTGCCAACGTGGTCAACAACTTCGTGTTTAAAGTTCCAGACTAAAAATACAATACGTTATGAGAAACGAAATTAAATGATTGTATAAATATATTACTAGTTATAAGTTCGTAGCATTAAATTGTATTCGATGAATTTACCAATACAAGAAGTCCACGATATTCATATATTTATAAGGTACCGATCGTAACGTTATTACGTTTTTTTGTATCATTCCAAAACTTTTATGTATCTTGTACTTTAGCCGCGTGTCTATTGTTAGTGTTCATAATTTTTTTATATCCCAAAATGTATAGCAATATGTGGTTTGTTGTATTCTTCTTCTTAAAAGCAGCAACTCGCGTTTTCGGAGCAATCTTTAATAAATGTAACAAAATACAATCGGCCACTTATGCTCCGTGCAATATTACGACGAGTTTGTTACTGTGTGTACGATCACCTCAAGTTCATCCACTCGGACGAGACAGTAAGTAATTACGGTCGTTCATTCCGAGAAGAATATGAATTAAAAAGACAAAGAATAAGTCAAATACTAAATATCGTTGAAAGAATGGGAAATTATTTTGTGATACTTTCTTGCCAGAAAGAATACAACAGGCTGAAGTGAATATGATAAATGCAATGTTACTAATTAACACTTATACAAATTAAATATTGTGTAATAGGAAGTCTGTTGACAAGGAGAAATAACGTGTACATTATGTATTGCCCTGTGGCATCAATAAACTAATAACTAACGTGATGTTTATCCTTATCCATTCTTGGGAAATCATGAAGAAAACAAAGATCAGTGTCTTCGTTACCAGCTTTATTATATCATTTTATTAAGACTTATTTTTATAAGCCTTTGTTCTTATTATGTACAAAATTTTTTGTCTTTCATCATGATCGTATATCTTAAATAATATCGTAACTGCAATATTTGCAGTCCTATATCACATTAGTTGGTTGATTTGGATTACTTGTTGGGGGAGGTCTGCTGGTCATCATTGACGCGACCTATGATAAAATGATTGTTACAAATTATCTCTAATTTTGCAACTATCGTAACGATATAATAAATTAATTTATCTACAAACATTTTGTATGACTTGTTTCCTCAGAAAATCGCCAGTGGCTGCAGATATATTTCGTTCATTACCCATTTTGCACTTCACGTATCCATACAGATTCGCACCGTTTAAAACAATTGCAATACACACAAGTAGCAACCACTTAAACTTCAAACCAAACAATGCTACCATAAAAAATACTGACCACAAAAGTGGTGTTAAAATTAGAGCTAACCAAAAGATGCGAGCTTCTGTTGCATTAATACGGTTCTGTTGAGCACCCTGAAACACAGGGTACATAGTAGCTCTTCTATACCTCTTAGAAGAAATAAATACAATTTGCTTTAGAGTATTTTTGTCAACAGCAGCAGAATATTAAGTTCCTGCATAATTGCATAATTGCACAATATTTTTAATCAGTAGGTATAATTATATAAGATATAAAAACTGATAAACCATGTACTACAAGTATCCCTCGAGTTACGCGATTAATTGGTTCCGTGTAAGTCGAGACTCAGAATTGGTCTCTGAAATATTCTGAAATATATACAAACTATTGTGAGATACATATTGTGAAATACCTATTATCTTTTTTATTTAAAAACATTCATCTATAATTACATATATATTTTCTTTTTAAATAAAATTGCTCCAAAACCGTGCAACTTGGGCATTGCTGCAATTTTTTTCCACGTAACTCGAGGGATACCAGTATTTGGTCAAATTAAACTAAAGCTTACTGCAATAAGGACTAAAAATATGCATGATAGAACTGATGATGGTGCAATTATTTATCAAAGAACAAAAGGAACTTTGAATTAACAATTGTGCATCAACCCTTAAGGGTAATATAGGTCTGAACAAACCTTTTTCGACTCATATACCCAATGACTTTTTCCATTATCATCCACATAATTCCACCACCTAAGGCCAACCATCAGCCTTCCAGTAATATTTTTAACTGTCCAAAAATCCATTGACAAAAGTAATACAACAGCTACAAAGACAGCTATGAAACTATTCGTAAACCACCCGCATAACATATAAACTACTATTGCCATTATTCTGAAGGCTAAATGAAACATTGTAACGTATGGATGCCTATAAAAATTAAATGTATCACCAGTATTATATATCTCACTACTTATATACTATTATACATAAGTCCGTATATACTTTAATTTGTTGCTATTTTGGCCTGCCTCATCCTCCTCCCCAAAAGCAATTGTATCGTCATCCATTAGCAAAGGGACCTGACAAACACAATCGCATGGAATTTAAAAGCGATAAAAAGACACCCACGATGCATCTCACGACAATAACAATAACTTAAAATCGAAAATCATTGCGATACAAAATCTTACATAGGAAAAGAAATACGGAATATAACCACAAACGAAAAGACACTAGATTGGGAACGAGTAGGAACATAAACAACTAATAAAGATATTCCAATAAACATGTGTTTAGGGATCAAATACATCTGTAAAGAGTAATTATGTATATTCATTTGAACATATTTTAACTCTCTAATATACGTACGGAAATTCACGAATAAACGTCAAAAACGATTCTTCTGATATAGTACCGAAATAACGTCAACTTCTTGCGTAACAATGAACAACTTTATTATTACGCTTTAAAACTAACCGATACGGTAAAATCACGATAAAAAAGCTTGGCGTCAACGTATATAAATTGAATGCATTGGAATGTTTCAAACACCTACCGACGCAGACGCCATGTTAGCACGTTGACAGAACAGTGGCAGACGTCATTTTGTACATTTCACGATCAAACTCGCCTAAAAATGTATTCTCATTGGCTGTCTCTACAATGTGGAGCGAAATTCGTAATACACAGAGATTCATTTGTTCAGTTGAAAATAAATACGATATACCAAATGCATCCACCCCTTTTTGACAAACTTCTAATTGTCACGCTACTAAAATATATTTAGCAAATTGTTTAATCTTTATATGTTGTGAAAATAATTTTTTTTAGCGACTCATGCAATCTGCCATGTATAGGTTACATATGTACATATATCAAAAATCCTCAAAACACGATAAAATATATTTAAGAAACAATCGTTGCATCCTTGAATCGTTTAACTATTTTAAAGACAAATAAATGTAAATTCACATAGCAATTTGTTCTCAAATCGCACCGATACATATTTAATAAATAATACTTTATTCTTCGAACTCATAAAGAAAATGAGGATTGTTGCAGCAGTTAATAGGTTATTATTTTTCTTACATTTTATATTAAGAAGGGAAAAGGAAATTATTGTTCATTCAACGGGAAAATGCTTGTAACGCAATCACCTGACTCGTAATAGAACAAAACGGCGGGATACTCTGCCTCTGGAAATTATGTTTCAAATATTGAATACAAATTAATTTATTTCAAAATGCGAAAACTATACTTAGTTTGTTTTTGGTGATTCTAACATTTCTATTAATTTTTGAAGCGCTACCACCAGACTTTCAACCGTTTAACAAGTCTTCTCACGTTTTTACCCATCATGCATCGAATTTACGGTACCTAACCAGTGATGCCAGAAAAGCACCGTCGGGTACACACTCACACATGCTAGATACGTGTACGTGAGCTCGTGGAGTTTCGGAAAGACGACAAAGGCAAACTGACGCATGCCCTCTTTCTCGATTCTCCGAAGCTGCCCGAAGTAATTTCGGACCGCTTCGTGGGAGTCGAGAGAGAAAGGCTCACATTTGCCTTCTCGCTCTTAACAACTGAAATCCGACCTCCAGTCAACGGCATACGATTTGGATTCTCGAGCCGAGATTCTCGACTGCCCAGGCATTTTTACTTTTCGACCTATGTAGGCGCACATAAGCAAAGTACCCATAATGAAAAAAAAATTATGTAAAATTTATTTTACGGAAATACACGTTTTAAGACCTCCTGATCATATTTTAATTATTGAAAAAAAAGAAATTTTTTTTTATTCCCATGTATGAGCACACATACATATGTATATTATTAATACGATTTTTGAAAATCAAAATACTTTAAGATAATTACCTGAAGTATAAGGTAAAAAGTACGAGGTACAAGGTACGACTATCCGAAAATCGTTCACATTTTATCAATGTAAATGAAGCAGCCTTTCCATCAGAGTTAAATACAAAATTTTGTTATTTCTGTGAAAACAGAACTTTCATTAGATGTAGGTGGTGCTTGAAATTGTTATGTTTTCACTGTTTTTACGAAAAGTACCATCCAGATTCATGTACTTCGTACATTGAAAATAACATATGTTAAATGTAATTGGTTAAATTCAACTTTAAAAAAAAATATTCGAAGGTCTGTTGTATGTCAGGCAGGATATCAGTGGAAGGGGCCTGTGTGTGCTGTGTGAGTGAGTATCGCGAAGAGCGGCGCGATTTCGACGCGCGCAGCCAAGAGTAGAGTTGATGTACGAGGCCCGTGCGAAAAGGATCTGTGAATCGAGCAACTGTGTAATATCCTAAAAAAAAAAAAAAAACAAATTCATTGGTCTATCCTATAAAACCCATTCTTCTTCTTTTGTTCTATCCTGTATGCTACATTTCTCAGAAGTGGGATACGTTTTCGGAGTGCAGTGAGCATCGGCAAGTACTTTACGATTTGCGGGCACGTGGCCGTTAATTAGGAGCGACGCCATTACCGGTATTGTAATCGGCGTGTGCCGGAATACGAAGTGTCGAGGTTTCAGCAAAACGTGATAGAGACTACGGTCCGTAAGGTAGCCTTTCCAAAATAGGGGGGTGAGACGAATACTTTTCCGTTGTGCAAATTTTCCGTGTGGGATTAACAGACGGCGTGAGACGCGGATACGTGCTGTTAGTAGTTCGGAATTGGAAAGAACGGGTAAAGTTATTCGAACATGGCGAATCAACCGTCGCACGTGCAGGGGATAGTGGACACCGAACCCGAGGAACGTAATTTTCGCGATGTGTCGCGTGTGTTGCCGGAATTTGATCCGATTAAAGACGATTTAACGATCGAACAGTGGCTAGACAAAATGGAAGAATATGGAGAACTGTATCTGTGGGACGAAATTGCGATGAAACATCACGCGCTATTGAAGCTTTGCGGCGTGGCTAAGAAGTGGAGGGGCAGCCTGCCCCGAGAGGATCGCTCATGGCAAGATTGGAAAAATCTGCTCCAAGAAAATTTTCCTTCGCAAGACAGCGCTATGGCGCAGACAAAGGAAGCACAAAATTATCGTCGGAAACCAGATTATTTAGGACCGTTGAGCCGATACAGACGACCTTGCGAGCTGTTGCCCGACCTCAGAAGCGGTAGTGTACACATAAAAGATACAAATATTAGCCAGACAGAGAAGAGTACTTGTAGGACGAAGCCCGACGTATTGACATGCTACGGATGTAAACGAACAGGGCATACGGTGAAACAATGCCCGAATTCCAGAAGAGAGGCGACGTGTTTCAAATGTGGCGGCCGAGGACACTACGCGCGCGCATGCGCGGCAGGCAATACGGCAAGCAGCAGCGGCAGCAGCGGCAGGGGAGCGACTGTTGTTCGAGGTGGTGCAACAGAGACAGACAAACAAGTATTACACGTAAGCGGTAATACCCACCTAAAATATATGAAAAATGCAAAAATTAATGGCAAATCAGTGCGATGTTATATAGACTTAGGAAGCAGTGTGAACGCTCTTCGGAAAGACGTGGCAGACTCCATGGGCGTCACATACCACGAGACCAGGCTAAATCCGTTCATAGGTTACGGACAAGGATGTGTGCAGCCAGTGGGAGTTTTTACCGCGAAAATTGACGTCGACGGCGTGGAGGTGGCCACGGACGTTCACGTTGTGCCTACTGAAAAGCAGGTGGTTCCATTGCTAATAGGACACCCCTATACGGAGCACCCCAGTGTGGTGACACTCAGCACGAAAGGGGAGCTGAGAGTGGCGTCATCAGTGGAAAATCTGATGCCACATTCAGTTAGGGAAGAAATGAGCAAGACCGTCTTGCGGGCAGAGGACACGCGGATAATTCCGGACAATTATTTAGGGCATATTGTAGTTGCAGGTGACGTTCCCAATACGGAGTTGTATGTTGAAGGAGGCTTACGGGAAAGCGGCTCGATGATTCCACGATGTGTGGTAGCCACGGACGAGATGGGACGCGCAACTCTTCCGGTGCTGAACGTCTCAGGACAAGCCATGACCATTCGGCCGCAGGAGAAGATCACGCGTGGGGAGGTCTGCGAACCAGGGACCTACCAGCGAGAGGTCAACGATGACGCTATCGCCGAGGAAGCAGTCGACACGGACGCGGAAGCGGCAGAAGCCAGTCAGCTGATTGCGTTGCTGAACGAGTATCGAGACGTAGTAGCGTTTAATATTAGGCAGATAGGGTGCACCAACAAATTAGCGATGAGCATCGATATAAGTAGTGATCGTCCGATATACCATCGTCCTTATAGACTGTCTTTTCATGAACGCGAACAACTTAAAGATTTAATTAGCGAATTAAAATCGGCAGATATAATTGAAGATAGTAGCTCGCCATTCGCGAACCCGGTCCTTTTAGTGAGAAAGCGTAGCGGGGAAATACGCATGTGCGTAGACTATCGCGCTATTAACAAAGTTACAACCAAAGATCGTTTTCCATTGCCGCGGATAGACGACCAACTGGACAGGCTCTCCGGATACGCGCAGTTTACGAACCTAGACTTGTATAGCGGGTACTACCAAATCCCGATCGAACCGGGATCGCGAGATAAGACGGCGTTCGTCACACCTGACGGGCAGTACCAATTCAAACGTATGCCATTTGGGCTTTGTAATGCCCCATCGAAGTTCCAGCGACTAATTAATGTAGTGTTAGGCAATCTGCGGTACGAGGTGGCAATGGCGTACTTGGACGACATACTGATTCCGAACAGAACGGTAGAGGAAGGTTTAACACGTTTAAAATTAGTGTTAGAAATTCTTAGGGAAGCCGGACTCACGATTAACTTAAGGAAATGTCGCTTTTTAAAAAGAAAGATCGAATATTTAAGTTTTGAGATATCAAAAGGTTTGTCCGAGGTTTCGCGTCGGTAGCTAGACCTTTAACAGATTTATTAGTAAAAGGGGCAAGTTTTCGTTGGGGTATGGAACAAGAGAATGCGTTCAATGAGTTAAAGCGCCGGCTAGCAAGTAGTCCGATACTAACGTTGTATGATCCAGAAGCGCCGACAGGAGTGCATACAGACGCGAGTAGTATAGGAATCGGTGGTGTCCTACTGCAGAAACAAACCGACGGGACTTGGCACCCGGTAGCTTACTATAGTCGGAAGACAACGAAGGAAGAAGCAAAGTACCATTCCTTCGAGCTTGAGGCGTTAGCAATTGTCTGCTGCCTAGAGAAATTTAGAACATATCTGATAGGTATTTCCTTCACCATTCGGACTGATTGCAATAGTCTCAAGCTGCTCGCAAATAAACGCGATTTGAACCCTCGGATAGGGAGGTGGTTTATACGATTGTCGGAGTATAATCATCAAATTGAATATCACAACGGCGATCAAAATAAAGTAGCGGATGCGCTTAGCCGGAATCCGACGGAACCGAGTCAGGACACCCCATTAATCGGGCTACCCGTCCTGGGAGTGCGAATAAATACAAACTGGATTGCGGCAATGCAGCGCGGAGACCCCGAAATTTTGCGCGTTCGCGATGCGCTAGAGGCAGGTGATCAAGATGTTCACAGTAAGTTTACGATGCACAACGCGCGCGTATATAGAGTTTCAAATGGTAGGTGGAGACTTTACGTGCCGGCCGATTTAAGGTACGAGGTAATATCTGAAACACATCGTTCACTTTCGCACCTTGGCGTTGAAAAAACCTTAGCCAAAGCACAAGAAACATACTATTTTCCAAACATGCGCGATTTTGTGACGCAATATGTAAATCGATGTGTAAATTGCCTATATCACAAACCACTTACGGGGAAAGCGCCGGGTTATTTGCACCCGTTGGACAAGGGTAGTGTCCCCTTTCATACTGTACATATCGATCACCTGGGACCCCTAATTACCACTAGATTCGGGCGAAAATATGTTTTAGGATTAGTTTGCGGTTTTAGTAAGTACGTAGTATTAAAAGGAGTGAAAGATGTAAGTGCGGAATCAACAATATGGTTCATGCGAGGGGTTATGTCGCACTACGGCAAACCTACGCGAGTTATTACGGACAGAGGTACGGCGTTTACGGCGCACGCGTTCGAGGTACATATTTTGTAAAGACCACGAAATTCAACATATTAAAGTTGCTTCTGGTACACCGCGCGCCAATGGGCAGATAGAACGTGTGCATAGTATGATTCTAAATTGTTTAGCTGCAACCACGGCCACGGAGGACAGCGAAGATTGGGATGAACAACTGTATAGCGTACAGTGGTCGATAAACAGTAGCGTCCATCGCGTAACTCAACGTACCCCGTTCGAATTAGTCTTTCGTTATAGGGTGGATGGATGGATGGAAAGCCCATTAACACGCAAAATACAGGAGATCAACGCGGAATTATTCAACGAAAATGAAACCGAAAATGTGAGCGAGCGACTACGCAAAAATCAAGAGGCGATGGCAAGATAATTTAATAAGAAGCGTAAGCCCGCGAGACAGTATAGCATAGGTGATCTGATATTAGTCAAAAGCGAAGCGCCGGCAACAGGAGAAAGCCGTAAATTAGCGCCAAAGTTCCGAGGACCGTATGAAATTAAAAAGATCATTGGATCCGATAGATATCTTGTGACCGATATCGAGGGCGAGCGTCAATCTCAGCGGCCATATAGCGGAATAATTGCGGCGGACCGTCTAAAATATGTGTCAACCGCGAAAGACTACTGTAATCGTCGCCAAACTCGCTCATGTGTCGCGGGAAACACCGAAAATGATGCTTGAGGCGCCGAGGACGGCGACAAAGTCAGGAAAGGCCGAAGTTGTTGTATGTCAGGCAGGATATCAATGGAAGGGGCCTGTGTGTGTCTGTGTGAGTGAGTATCGCGAAGAGCGGCGCGATTTCGACGCGCGCAGCCAAGAGTAGAGTTGATGTACGAGGCCCGTGCGAAAAGGATCTGTGAATCGAGCCACTGTGTAATATCCTAAAAAAAAAAAAAAAAACAAATTCATTGGTCTATCCTATAAAACCCATTCTTCTTCTTTTATTCTATCCTGTATGCTACAGGTCAGACAAAAATATAATGTCACATTTAGTGTACGATTAAAATATGATTGAAAAAATAAAAAAAAGGATTTTTTTTGGCAGGGTTTGAACCTGCAGAGCAGAAGAAGCTCGGAACTTGCAAGCAAATACCTTGTCATTCACGCCACGCTGGTTGTTGAATGTATTTCTATTTCTGAAGATAAGTATCTGTAATAACTTTAATAATATCTCAAAGTAAAACCTAACCCAAAATCGGGTACTATTCCAACTTTTCCTTGTTAGAACCGAGTTTTCAATTTGTCTTAGCGAAAATCGTAATCACATTTTGCACATTATTCTAAAACATTTGTGGTATTCGTTTTCAATGCGATTTAAGTAAGCATGTAATGTATAAGATTTCATTTAATTTTTTCTTTTCTAGAGAAGATAGAGAAAAAGTTTATATAATTTTTTTTATATGTAAAGCCGAGAATTGCGTCTACACTGCGTCGGCAAAGAAATGGCTTTGCCGCGGTGCATAGCAGTGGCACGGCCGTGCCGCCTTGTGCCGCCTTTTGCCGAACGCTGTGCCGATCGGCAAATGCCGAGCCGTGCCGACCCAGTGGGGACGCAGCTTAAGGCGTCGGGAAAAGGCGAGGCCCAAGCCGAGGCGCTGGCAAGGGACCGCGTCTGGCCTTCGTCCGTCAACACTTCCACCCCTACCGATGGGGGAGAAGGCTGACGACAAAGGCGAGGGTCTAGACCCAGGACGGGCTCATTTGTTTTTCCGACGCTGAAAGAACGGGAATAAAGCATGTATACGAATACCCTGCGTATTTCTTAATTCCTAATTCCATTCTACGCGTCTGTCTAACATATATAAAATTTAATTCGTCCTAAGATTTATATGAAACATTTAAAAGATTTTTTATACATTATGCCTATACATATATCGGAACAACTATGAAACAAGAGGTATAATCATTATTATCCATGGACTGATTATAGTCAAAGTCTAACCGGACTTTGAAATGAGAACATAAAACTTAAATGTAAAGTTTCATTTAAATTAATTTAGCTATTTATACTCAATCATAATAATAATATACATATGTGTGCTCATACATGGGAATAAAAAAAATTTCTTTTTTTTCAATAATTAAAATATGATCAGGAGGTCTTAAAACGTGTATTTCCGTAAAATAAATTTTACAAAATTTTTTTTTCATTATGGGTACTTTGCTTATGTGCGCCTACATAGGTCGGAAAGTAAAAATGCCTGGGCAGTCGAGAATCTCGGCTCGAGAATCTAAATCGTATGCCGTTGACGGGAGGTCGGATTTCAGTTGTTTAGAGCGAGAAGGCAAATGTGAGCCTTTCTCTCTCGACTCCCACGAGGCGATCTGAAATTACTTCGGGCAGCTTCGGAGAATCGAGAAAGAGGGCATGCGTCAGTTTGCCTTTGTCGTCTTTCCGAAACTCCACGAGCTCACGTACACGTATCTAGCATGTGTGAGTGTGCACCCGCCGGTGCTTTTCTGGAATCACTGTTTCTAGCCGACACTAGTGATTACTAGAACTACTAGGTATTTATGAATCAGGCGCGAAATTTCGATTACGATCAATTTTTTAATTTTTGATTTCCATTTTATTTTGATATGTAAAATTATTTCTCTAAGTTAAGAACTCCTGTTGACGAACGCCAATAGTATAGGATGTGTCGATAACAAATAACAAAAGTAATTATCTTTATTGCAGCGTTGCGTACAAAAATACAGAATGTTTACGAACGTCAAGTAGAAAAATATTTACCTGAAATAAGAGGTACGTAATCAATTACATTTTGTAAAAGACAAAGGGTATTAGTCCTCCGGTAGCCATATATCGGATGTACAATCACCGCCCGGATATCTGGAAAGAGAATCGTGCGTTCGTTAAGTGCGGGTAGACGGTTATGGAAATGTCGTACTATAAAAAACGTTTACCGCATTTCGTGTGCAAGTATTATGTCGTCTTTATCTGCACCAAAGTCTACCAAAAACTCATCGTCAAGTTTTAAACCGCCATTTTGTACGTCTACGTCCAGCTTGACCATGGTCGAACCATTCCTGAACACATTTATTCATATGTACATTATTTTAAATTATGTGTAACGATTATTAAAGGAACAGAGTGATTGTGAACGACGGGTGAGAGGGAAAAAGTAATAACACGAATTGTACTTGATAAGATCGGGGTAGAATTGTCGATCCCACGGTTTGAAAATGGAAGTGGTCACGTATAAACGCATTCCATCGAGGCTCAGTTGAAGCATCTGCGGGGAACCGTAGAGTCGACGACCTTTAACGTAAACAGGATTCGGTTGTGAGTCCAGTTCCTCGTCCCGAATAACTCGAACCTTCGAGTCGTTTACGATCAAACCGCCGAGAAAGATTTGACCCGTTAATTTCGGGTTCTTCGTATCGGAAATATCATATTGTCTAACGTCTCCGTGAAACCAGTTGGACATATATAAATACTTATCATCAAGGCTGATTAAAATGTCGGTTATCATTCCTGCACCCCAAAGAAATAGTCAAAAATTTTTTAACAATTAACACAGTCTATCATTTTATATACAGTAGGTGTGTATGTACCTGACATTGACGATAACATCCACCCTTCGACTTGCTTAGGAAGAACTTCGATAACCTTTTCAGCGCGCCATTCAGCCCTCTCTGTTTTGTAAAATCTGTACACGATCGAGTTGCACGCGCATCCAACAAATCCTTCCCTGGCTTTTGGATCGTGAAGGAATCTTACTTCGAGTGGAGCGATCCCTTCATGGCCCAAGTTTATCGTTTGTGTCAACTTTCGTTCCCTCCACGAATAGAAATTCAAACTTCTGCCGTAGGCCGCTACGAGACAGTACTCATTTATGCATGTACTGAGAATATGCAGTAACGAACGTTAGTAACGAACAATGATTATACAAACCAGGATCAGAGGCGACACCTGGCTTGAAGCCATTTTTAAAAACTCTAGGTGCCCCCCATTCAGTCGCGATGAGTACGTTGTGGTATGGTTGATACCAGAAATCGTAACCAAAGCTTGCTTTTTTCTCGCCTTTCGTCCACGTACCTTTTATCTCGCATGTTTCGGAGTCGATACAGAGAAATTCACCTTGCCCGTCGCCATTCAACTTGCCCAAAGTAGAAATCATAATTTCTCCGGTTGGCGCGCAATGGCTGGTGTGCAAAGTCGATACTCCATGTTGATGTACCTCCGTTGGCTCTAATACCTTGCCAGGAAGAAGAGAGACGAAAATCCTTTCACTTTATGTTATTCACTACCAATAACTGCGTTTAATATTACAAATAAATATGTTCATCGAGCTTCACGCCCGGTCCGCCATTGTATGTCGATATTTCGATAAATTAATCGATCGATTGGACAAACCTTTTTGATAGATGGCATCCGTTCATTGGTCGTGTCAATAAAATAAACACGGTCGGACATCAGGCATGGGAGTACCAAGGTGTCTCGCTTTCGTGGTTTATCATGACAGCTGCTACAAATATTCCAACCAGAATGGTGCAACTCGTCGCCGACGTAAGACATACGCAGTTTATGAATGATCTGCCAAACATAACAGTTTGCACATTGGGAGATACGTCAACGATAAGCATAATCGTTCGACTGTACCTTACAGTAATCAGGACTTGCTGGATCCACATCAACAGTGCATAAAACATCCGATTTATTTGGATCTGTATGAATGCCGACAACGTACATGAGTTTTTCGCGTGGACCCTCGATCATTGCTGCTTTTGGCGATTTATAGCCGGGGCCGCAACTCGAACAACCTAGAAATCCATTCGTCGTTATCACACGATCACCACATCGAATTACATACTATTCAACGAATGTACCTTTCTTTTCCGGCATTCTCGTTTCATTCGGTAGGCAAACTTGGTCGATCAAAAGGCGGTTGAATGGAATGCGCAATAAGAGACTACTGCGATTGAAATAGGAAGGACGTAGTAATAAAAGCGAACACGTAAGCACAGACGAGGTCTGTGACGTAAATACTCATCTGATGATTAGAGATAAACGATATACTCGCGCCTCACGTGACATGGTACAGAATTAATGGGGAAGTGGCTACAGGAGGGAAAAGATAATTTTAATATCTACATACGGTAAGTATGCCTATGTAAAGCACCGATCAAGCACGTTTCTACCACCACAGATCAATGTATTTTTTCGGCCCATTTTTCTGGGTCTCTAGAGCCCCATTACCATTTTCGTGTCATTCCCAACATTACCAACAGATTTAGAAATGAATTTCAATCTCTTCCCCATAGTCAACTCGCATGTATTTACGCAAACGTTACAACTGTCTGTCCATCAATACTAATTCAGTGAATAGTTTCTCAACTGACGAGGACGCTAAAATCACCTCCGAATTTTTCGCTCGGTATGGCAATTGTTTGAACTGACGTACAAAAAGACAAAAATTAACAAGATACACTATTCCAAAGTGGAACAAAATGTTAAAAAGATCAGGCATCAAATTGTAAAGGGATCCTCGTAAGAAGGCTTTAATCTTCATAATGGTTTTAATGGGTCGATGATCAATAACGACTAGCTTATGGTCACTGGTGGTCAACAGTGAGGTTGACATCAAGGTCAGCGGTCCAGTGCAGATCCAGAAATGGTCAAGAGATGGGACCAATCGAAATAGTTTCTTTGTAGACAAGACAGCCTTAATTGTTAACTTTAACTTTGGTTCTGACTGATCTCCCCACCCTTTCATCACCTTAGACATATGTATGTATAAGCAGGGCCACTGCGAGGAATTCTTCAGTCTCGTTACGAATTCGGGAGTGTACAAATAGCCAGAAGAGAACCGGGGACTACTGCTGACCTCTGCTAGCCGCTACTGACCACTACTGGCCAGCTCTGACCATAGTTGACCAGCACTGACCACGACTGACCACGATTGGCCACTACTGGCCACTATTGACCACTACTGACCAGTGATGACCAATGGTGGCGCCGTTACTGACCGCTACTGACCAGTGTCGGACGGTGATGGCCTACGGTAAGAACTGTTTAAAAATTCTCTTCCCGCTTCTATTCTATCGTTTGATATCAATTTCGCTTCAGTGAACTGATTTTGCCTTGCTTGTCCAACTGATGTTGCTATAATATGAATATTTTCTTACTTTACAGCTGGCCCAGTGGTAACTACCCTATGTACTAACAACAAATAGTAAGTCCACTCCACTTATTTATATTTTACTATTTTTATTTGTTTGTTTTATGTGAATTCAACTTTATGTATCTATCTGATTTTATTTGATTATTATGAATGTTCCTTTTCTCTGTTTCTACTTTTACATTGTTTTTCGAATTTATGTGATTGCTGTGATATGTATAATATTGCAGGATATAATAATGTAATATTGTTTTCAATCATATACTATATTTGTTTCTATACAATTTCATGAATTTTTATTTTTACGTTCTTGCTCGAATTCTCGTAATATTCTACGGAGGTACTTTGTTTGATTGTTTGGTGTTGATTTAACTTGGTGTCTCGATCCAAGTTTCTTTCATTATTACGATTGTTCGTTTTGATATGTATAACATTGTGTCGATGCATATGCCATATTTGTTTCGATGACACTGATGAATATAAGAATGTTCTTTTTGATACGTATAACATGGTGTCGATGCATATACTATATTTGTTTCGATGACACTGATTAATATAAGATTTTTATTTTTACGTTTCAGCTTAAATTCTTGTAACATTTTGCTAATATACTCTGTTCAATTCCCTTTAGCTAGGTGATAGATCATTTTTAAGTGTTTATTAAATTTCTTACCATATCTCACTAAACAAAATAATCTTTTTAAACAAAATAATTGCTTGGTACAATTAAACTAGACTTAAGCTTCGACTGGTTGTATACGTGCTTTCTTTGACAAGTGTAGTGACCGCGGGTATGAATCATACCCGTGAGTAGTAACACATTTATATTGTTTTATCTTAGTATCTTTTGCTTAAAATTATAATTTTCTTACACACCGCGATTTTTAAGATGACAAATGTCATAGTATATTCAATTATTTTTAATTTGACATTCATTTTAAAATGAATATACATATAATGAGTACATATACATATAACTTTCTCTTGTTCGCTCGTTCTCTGGTTCTCGTTTTCCGAGATTATGTCTCGACTAAAAGGACCAGAGAGTTTTGCTCTATCACCTCTGTTTGATAGAATGAAACATGTGATCACCTGTGTAGTAGGTCCGATAACTCTAACTGCTTCAACCCCGGTGCAGCTTGGTTCAGCTTAAGTGGGGCTAGGACCCGACGGTGTACATAGAGAAACAAAGTGACCAGCTTCAGGGGCATGACTTGCTTTTCTGATAATCAAGGTCGGGGGGGATCAATTTAATACCCACACTCACTGCACGCTATGAGCACGCGTCGCATCACGTTTTATTTAAACGTGCGATATTTTTGCACGCCGCGATTTTTAATATGACAGATATCGTAATATCAATCGAAAGTAGAGTCATGATTTTAATATCTTTTATAATACTTATAATTATATTCATTTTAGAATGAGTGTCAAATTAGTAGCTTCCGATTGTTCTTTACATTCTTCAATAATTAAATTCACTTTCATAATTTAGTTGACGACTTTGGGTATCTTCGATATCGATGTCACCAGATATCACCTGGTAAGACCTGGGTAATATTATTTAGCGTTTAATTAATGATCCGCTTTGCATAGGTCATCATAAATATAGAGCTTCTTCGCTAGGTTAGTTTTGATTCTCATTGATTCATCAAAGATTCTAGAGTATTGTCAGAGAAGACGAGGTATACGAGTAGATCTTTCACCCAATGTATTTTTTCGGCCCATTTTTATGAGGTCTCGAAACCCCATTATCATTTTCGTATCATTCGCAACGTTACCAAGAGTTAGAAATGAATTTTAATCTCTCAACTCACGTGTATTTACGCACCACTACAGCTGTTTACCTATCAATACTAATTCAGTGAATAGTTTCTCAACTGACCGCCATCCATGTGAAGAGGACGCTAATATCACCTCCGAATTTTCAGGTCGGTATAGCAGTCAGATCGGGCCACAAATGTCCATAAGGTGAAAGCACAGACGAGGTATACGAGTAGATTTTACCACAGACGAGGTATACGAGTAGACCTTTCCCCCAATGTATTTTTTCGGCCCATTTTTCTGAGTCTCTAAAGCTCCATTACCATTTTCGTGTCATTCGCAACATTACCAACAGGTCACAGAAATGAACACAAGTGGAAGTGAGAGAGAAAATGAAATTGCAGACGTTGTTTTATTGTTTTTTAACGGAATGAAAGCTGTACATACGCGTTGTTTCCATTTTGAAACATTGGGCCACAAATGTCAAGATGTAAGGTCCACTCGTATATATCGTCTGTGTTTCTACATTTATAAAGCCCAGAAATAGAATCAGATTTTAGAACATGTCCGTATTTCAATGCCCTCTTGTTTTAAACCGAGTAATTAATCTAATCTAATTTTCATTCAAAAAGTGTTATATGTACATGGGTCCATTTAAGTAACATTGTGTCTTTGTTTTAGCAATATTATTGCTGAAAACTCGCTAAGAACAGCAATGTTATTAAAAGAAGTTCAACAATTCTAGGAGGCATAAGGTAAAAATAGGGAACACAGTAATAAGGAGCAGAGATCTACAATGTGCTGAATCTCTGAAAGGGTGCAGAATTAGGAATAAAAACAGCTGTTTTTATTTTATTAATCATTACTATAGCACTAATTTTTGTCAGGTAAAAAAATATTTATGAAAACAAAAATTTTTGAAAAATCAATATTTATTTCGAACAAATTAAATAAAGATTAGTGTATTTACTGGTATCATCGGTAAAGCGAAAATTAGCTTAAAGGCACCGAAATTTGGACATCTACCCTATACATATACTTCAATATCCTTCTGTGCATTTCTTACAACTCTATCAACATTGCTGGTGTGATAATAATGTAATAATCCGCATCGTCGATAGAACTTTAAATAATAGAATAGAATATAATAAATAATATTGCGTAGGTTACTTTATGTGATATTATCCTTAGTAAAAGATATAAAACGTCATTCTAAAAACATTACCATTGGACCAAACATTTGATTGTATCGACGCAAAAGGGTGCAATAACATTCCACGCGATAAAAGGCGAATCTCACGGTTAATTTGAACAATCAAAGATCGACGAGACTGCGGGAACGTGATAGGCGTTACTAACGCGTGTTTTTCCTTTGTCGAGCTACACGCTACATAATGCATTCACGTGCACGCATGCATACATGAATTCTCACGGTAAGACAAATTTATACTCGATGCTAATCGATGCGAGAAAAGTCGACGCTAAGGGGACAACGAGGAAAGGGTAACGGAACCGACGACATCGATAGGCTTTCTTTACGTCGAAGAGGATCGTGTCAAATCGGTCCCCGGCATTCTCTCCGAGATTGATTTGTTTTGCCTTTCACGAAGTATCGCGCATACCAGAAGATTTTCACGGTGCAGGGTGATCAACTGCACCAAACGAATTTTCGCAACATCCATCTGCGTCGTTAAACCGTCGTATCCCGAGTCGAGTCTGTCCAACTCGGTGCTAACGTTGCTCAACATTTCGAGCAAAAGTCCGTCTCTTTTTCGGGACTCGGGGCCAAGTTTTTTCGAGGCTAACAAAGCCAGCAAAACGACGGTGGTCAGTATCGTTAATCCCAAGAGGCTCTTTTGCGCGAATGTAGTCATTTCTGAGAGATTTTTGGTCCACAATTACTTTCGACACTCCCATCTCACGATGCGATCGACTTCTCGGAGGCATACAATACTCCAAAATTCCATCGAGCGTTTTCTATTTTCTTTGTTCGTTATCTTTGACGTTATTTCAGCTAAAATAAAATCCTCCTATCCCTCGCAGACTCTCTCCCAATCGCTTTTACTCCCGCGTTTCGGTATTCTTTTAGTCACAGGCACCTTCCTTCCAATCTTCTTTTGTCCCCTGATCGTCCAATCGCTAACGATTGGACGACGTCGACGCCAACGCTGCAGTGGCATTCAAACTCCAATTCTCATCGATTCGTTTCCAATCATTTTTATAACCGCGAACAACGACCGAACGAACGACAATGTCGCGTACGCTGTATTCTTTCGCCGCGATTTGCACTTCACGCACTCCAGACTCCAAATTGTCCACATATCCGTGGCTCCAACCCTTGACGCTCCTGTTTTCGTTCTTTTTTCGGCGCGAACGCCCACGTTTTTCATCTATTATTAAAAGCGCGACGCGGAATGCACGAACACGATCCTACCGCGCACGTTTTTATCCGTTGTCGTTTTTATCGTGCATCGTTTCACGAAAACCTAGGAACGAATATCTCGCGACGGCTCTGCCGTCGTAACGCGCCACAATTTGCTAACGGTTGCAAATTTTTTGTCTTTTCTCTTTCCTTCGACTACCGTTTTAACCTGATAAGTTCTACGATTCGTCAGAATAAGGAACGAAACGAAACGAAATGGAGTAAGGGTATGGGGGGCACGAAATTATTAAAGAGCCAGTTAACTCAAAAAAAAGAAGATCGCGATTTAGCGTTACTCGAGAAATCCCCAAAAGCGTTATCTAGTCACGCAGTCGATTTCCGTTTACGCTGGAAGACGTGTTAAACATGCTCGATTCCACTGTTTCGTACGAGTCTCCCTCTTGTATTTTGGTTCCTACGCGGAGCAACCATTTCGAAAATCGGTGGCTATCGAGGAGTAGCATCTCCACGTGTCCAATGCACTAGTTGACCAGTACTAAGAAGGGGATGGTTCTTCACCATGGCTTAAAAGGTGACTCGAAAGTCGGCAGAATAGATCGACAGGTTCGAGTGTTCCCAAGTCCCGCCGAATTTCCATGGTCGACCGGGTGTTTGATCCCCAATCTCCTGAGGCATCTGAGGTTGTATCATCGCGATTTAGTTAATTCGGGGAACACTGTCCGTGAATAGAGGACAGTAAAGGTTTAGAAAGGATTCGCACCAACCTGTGTGAATGCATGGAGCTTGATTGAGTGCATCCCAATTTCGATACCCAAGGGCGGGTGTGCGATTCTTATATAGAAAAAACCTCGCAGCTCGATCACACTCTACGTTCTTTGATCTTTGTTCTACTATCGAACGATTTGGCCCCAAAGGAACGAGCCCACCGTCGTGATACTGTAGCTAGGACGGATGGTCCAACCGCGAAACAGAGATCTATTCGTGCGTCACCGATCCACCGGTTGAAAATAATTGACAGATATTGTAGAGGAATTTTCACATCGACCGAAAAACCAGGAACGTACGGAAGAAGCAAGGACCGAAGGGAAAGAGACGGCGGAAAGCGACATGCGCGAAATCGTATATTTGAGAGCGCATCCGCACATCTGGACGCTTCTTAATCGATAAGAGTTACCTGTGTACGTTCCGATCGAATCATCTGAAACGTATACAGTGAAATTCTGTCGGGCGCCAAAATGAAAATTATTTTTCATGCATCGTTGATCGTACGCGATCGCGCTTGAAAAACGTTCGTGGTCGATTACCCGAGGGCGTAGCTCGTATCTGTGCACACATAGAACGTATGAAGACGAAGAAGAGGGGGATCATGAACGATTACATATTCAATTTTTATCGTTAATTTTACAGGAAGGTCCATCGAAATGCACGTGTACACAGGGGTCCATTAAGTCATTGAGTTTGAAAAGAACATGCCACGCCAAATACATTCGCTTTCTCGATGAATTTCTAGTTGTCGCGCATTCAAACCGCTAGATGACGTTATTTAAATTTTGCAATGGATTGTCAATTGAATAAACTAATCATCACGGATGAAATATGGGATAGATCGAACGTTTGATAGAAACTTCTACCCTAAAAACGCACTAAATCATATTAATTCTTTTGCATTGTTACAAATTAACTTCAAAGTTCTCTTTGAATAAACAAATTTCACAAAGTTTTAGTAGCAAACTATCAATGACTGTCGATACTTTTCCACCTCTATCTCCTAGGTGCCCTTACAGCATTAAAAACTTATGTCAGTATCAGAAAACAGCTTGTAACAGTTTATATGCATCGTCCAGTTCTATGGACCTAATTTTTATTTCATATAGAGTGCAGTTACACGTAACTTGTTCCTGTTTATGAGGAATGTAATAGATCAATAATGAAAAAGAAGACGTTATTAATGACATCTACGGATTACAATCGTGAAAGTATTCAAAATACTCGGTTACATCGGTAGACGCGACAACGCACATAGTGTAACCATAACAGCAAAAGTAACATCGTCGGACGTAGTAACGAAGAACTACTTTCCAACAGGCAAGAGGCAGCCGAAGAGGAAAACCAATATCGACCGCGGCGTTCGTATGTTTGAGAGGAGAACTGTAACCCTTGCAGAGATTCGGAACGTCGTGTACCGGTGTTCGTTTGAAAATAATTCTGGGAAATTGTTTCAGAGCATCGACGAAGAGGGGCCTCCCAGAAATCATCTTTCCACGACGCTAACAGCAAAATGTAATTTCCATTCCAATCGAGGCCCACCCTCGCCTTGAACGTCAACACCGCGGGAGCCTCGACCGTTCGAAGCGCGCAATTCTTAGGCCACGAGTTTCCTGTTGCGCGCCTGCTTCTTTTCGTAGCTGCTAAACAACGAATCGACACTGTCGTATCGACAGGAATCGATCGACTCTCGGTGACCCGTAATTCTAGCAGTGTCATTCCAGAAAGTAGCGTCGCGTGTTTTCGGGCCAAGGATAGGGTGATTCGATCGGTAGATCCCAATCGAGCAACCGATCCTATCGTTGGTTCCTTGCTGTCTCGCGTGACGCGGCGATAAACGTTCGATTTGGGGATCAGAGACTTTTGAACCCTTTCGAATCGAACGTCCTCGCGTTCGAACGTATCTCGTTCTCGTCTGGCCGGGCGTTGAACGTAAGTACCTGCTACGATGATCGTGTATAAGGGAATCGAGCACGCAGAGTCGGCGTAGTAAGTCCAGCGCGCGGACCATCGGTTACCACCGGAATAAGTTCGAAAGAATCTTCTGGACCAGAAACCTTGATCGACGCTTTCGCACCTGACGCTCAGCCAGAGGCCATCGATCACCGCCGGAAGAGGTGGTGCTTGATGAAACAGAGGTGGGCTCAGTTCGGTAGCGCGTAACACGCTCCCGCAGATCAGGCAGCCGAAAGCCTGTAACGTTAAAAAAACAGCATTGATTAGGCAACTGTTACTTGCGTGTCTTGAAGCTATATGGGCGTATCCAGAAAGTAAGTTCCGTTTATCAAATTTAGTAGATTATAGATTGCACGGTATATAACGGATAGGGTTAATTAAGAAAACATGGGGCAATTATAGCTTGTGGCGTTTCTTCGTTAGTCGAGGAAAAGAAGAAAAATCGTAGAAGGATAGAAAAGGAAAGGAGAATGAAGGCGTTTCATCCAGGGCCTATTAGTGGACTCCATCAGTAAGATTTTCTTAGCAAGCCCTGCCTCAGACGCTGGGACATTGAATGCCAGTTGAGGAACGTATATGTAGCAACGGAGGGATCGGTCGAACGCTTGCGAGAACGCGTCCCCTCTGGTGGCGAGTGTGGGAGGTGACGCCACAAGCTTATTAGATAGAAAAAGCAAACATGTAAACTGGAAGTTATCCTCAGCCTACTGGACAAGAATTAAATAAATAAGTTTCATGTACTGATGCCTCGTTGCAATAAATGTCTCAGTGATGGTGGAAACGAGGTAGAAAAGTAGTTCAAAGTACGTACACTACCTACAAACTAAACCACTTCTTGGGTTCTTATTTGTTATTAAGTAAGTCGATCACGAACTAGGCCAAGAACCTAAACAGTCAAGGAGATTAGACAATTTAGCTTGCTAGTGTGTCAACATCTCATCTCCCAAGAGTAGAATGTACTAGACACAAAGTATTTTGAATATACATTTTTTATTTGTTTTAACAATCTATCGAAATTTACATTCTGGATACGCCTAGTACCTTCGTACCCATACCGTATCAGCGCGTAGCAACGCTGCGGATTGTAACCGATCCGGTCTCCGTGACCCTGTTGCCAATTTTCCAGAGCGTCCACTACGACCAAACGTGCCTAACAACAGCTCGACACGTGTTCGCGTCCTGTCTGCGTCGGCTGGATCGCGATTCAACGGTCCAACAGTGTTCGTCGGAGGATCGAATCGTCTCCTCTCGACTCGCAGCAATTCAAGTTCAGTGAATTCGATGCCGAGGAAGTTTAGACACTCCAACGTGCCTCGGTTTCTCGGTCGTGGCAAACGACTTTGAAAAGAATTCGAGTTCAAACCGAGATCGTGTAGGCTCGCGTTCGACAAAATATTCGTCGGCGGTCGTTCGTAGATAAGTTGCGTCGTATACGTGCGCCATTTCGTTTCGATTCCGCCGCAACTAGCGTTTAGTTTGCGTTCAAACTTGTGAACGACCTGGCAATGCGACGAGTCAAAAAGTATGCGTCATGAAAACAAGACAATGTACGTTAAACAAGGAAAGATGATCGATGTACCTGTCTGTCAAATGGTATCAAACGAATAGAATCCAACTGAACGTTAGCTTCCGTAGCGCCAGGAACCGCGATGGACGCCGATGAGATTTCGATAGAACCACGCGCCACGACAGTGTACGTTGCAATACTGCACGACTCTTCGGCGTAATAGTATCGTAACAAAAGGAACGTGCCGTTCGCGAAAAAGCTATATTTCCTTACGATATATCCAGGCCCGGCACGTACTTCGCATCTGCAGAAACAATTTCAAAAATCTGTGTCGAATCGAACCACTTTCGTCAACTTGTTCCACTTAAAAAACAGAGGATACTTACTCCTCTGATAACCATGTTGAATGTAACCTAGATGGCGTGTCATCCGTTACAGTTGCTCTGTCTTCGGAAGCAATTTCTTTCATAATCGTATCGCATCGATCCTCGTCCCTTTCTAATTCTAGAAAAACTGTACAACCTAATCCTAAAGATAAAACCGAAACGACGATTAAAACAGACACAACTGTTTTGTGTCTCTTCCCCCACCATTCTAATTACCCCTGTTTCTTCTTTAATACATGAATTGGATAAAATCGAGCTACCTCAAATTTAGGTACCTGAATTTTGAAAAGTTCAAACACACACTTCTAAACACCTATGTAAGCACGAGTACAATCGTAGAACAAAGAAAATGACAACTTGATAGTACGATTAAAATAATTGTCTCGCAAAGAAAACAAAAGATTAAAATGTGAGGCCCAATGGTTGAGAAAAATAAAGGAAAAGATACATTTGCGTATGTAACATATTCTCTTGCGCTCGCGTTTCCACGCTCGCGTGTTTTCCTCTGCGCTGTTGCTACCTCTTCAATTGGTATTCCAATCGAATCGACGAAAAGATACAATGGACTGCGTGATGTTATGCAGTCGACGAAATGGCGCGACAAGCACCGAAGAGTAAAAAGATATTATTATAACAAATGTAGCATTCGTTAAAATGTTTACATGTACTTACTCGTAAATAAACCAAGAAAAGAAATACCGATCAACAACAACATATTCTCCCTTGGTGATCCGAAATTTTGCGACATCGTTCGTTCTTTTACAGGCGTAAACAAAATTTATTGTAACTTCAATCTTATACACGGTTTTACCAAAACTTCGCTTTTTATCACAACCTAATTATCACACTATTCCTCCCTCAAACTCTCCTCGAACGCTCTGGACAAACTCAAATTCCATTCAAGTCACCCCAACGGTATATAGCTCTACCCCTACCCGGCCTTCTTTCCTTGAACAATAGTGCCATGCCCAGGATACATGATGCGTCCAGATTGCATCTTTCTTTCAAAACGTAAACTTTCATTTTGCATCAACTTCAATTAACGTGAACAGTATTGGCAATACGGCAAGATTTATCGAAATAAGTTCAGAGAATTTTAATTAAAGCTGTGAGGATGTTTTGTTTAATTTATATTTATATATAATCTTTTACTTATAAGTACTTTACTCTCTTTAGCTTTGAGTGAGCTCAGTTATAAAATTGTGTAAAATGTAAGACAATCAACCCCTTACCGTGGCATTTAACTCGACGAAATCCGGGCCCAAACGGTAGGCGTAAACGCGCGGTAAACAAACCAGACTAATGCTAAACTGCTTTGTAACAGAGATTATAAGAATCGTGACCGACTCTTGTGGCGTACTGATAGCAACTAAAACTCAATCACGATCGTGATTTACTGTCCGCGAGCCTGGCTCATGATGTTTACGTTTGGGCCAAAATCTTCGTCACAAGTCAGACTCGTTAAAGTACGGGAAGGGGTTAATTACTAACGTTCGAATCTGCCGGCACGTTTCAGCTGTTTGCATCTCGCTCACACTCAAAACGTACTACTCTGTGTTCGTCGAACGATGGTAATGTTTTGTAGTCTTCCTCCAATATTTAATATTAATTTGTCCAGTACTGCGTATGAATCAATCGTAAGTCGAGCACTTGTGGAGAAGACTTTTCGAAAGGGTCTTATCGTTGAGTGGATTGGCCACTGATCTCTATGCACTGATGTATATAGAAATCAGTGGGATTGGCCCTCTGGTGGCAAATGCTTTTCTACACGCGTTCAAAATGGCAAAACTTTATTCGTATTATACACTGTGCCCGCTTATTGATCAACAAAATTTGTTAGGTGTTGAAAGAGATTCGGAAAGCGGATGTGCAATCGTTACATTAGGAAGAAATATTGTAATTCGATATAAGGTAAATTTAAATATTGTGTTAATAGCATTTATTTCTAATACGCCTTTCATATCTGAATTACTTGCGAACAATACTATTATCTTCGCAGCTACAAGATCCAAAGCAATTGAGTAGTTGGACGAGTAAAGATCGGTTAACGACACAAGTTATTTATGATGAAACAACCCATCGATATGCTGCGATATTTAACGAGAAGAAGATACGTCTTTGGTCCGAGAAAGAGACGGACTTGAATAGCATTAGAGGTTACAAATTTCAATCTCCGTTACACACTATTCTTACTCTCGAAAAGGGGCCCCCTGTGTTGGTTCGTAAAGATGGAGCTACCGCTTCGTTAGAATGGGCTGTACAAAACAGAAAATCTTGGTCCAAAGATGGAATCTTAGGTGTGGATGAAAAGATTTTGGATTGTCATTTATTTCGTACCGGCAACAAAATTAACTTATGTCTCTTAACTGAAACCAATGGAATGTATTGTTGCTTAGTGATTAAACTTAACGATACAACCTTCTCCAAAGATATGGATCGTGTAAGGAGAATGGAATTGACGCGAAGATCAGAGAAGTTAGTTGGTTATACAGTACTTCAAACAAAAAACAAAGCATGTCTGTTGACATTGTGGTCGCATGGCAGACTGTACAGCCATTCTTTGACAGAAACAAGTAGTGAATTTAGTTTACATACACTGATTGGTATTATTTGTAATATCAATACAAAACATCCTGTAGTTATGACACCATTGAATGAAGCTACTATAGCAATTTATGGAGCTGATGCTTCTGAAGAAGGAGCTATATTAATGATCTATAATGTGCAATTCAAATTGGTTCAAGATGCACAGAAACTAAAGCTTTATACAAAAGATGCAAAATTATGGAAAATCGAGGACAAATTATTGCTTGCAGCCAATAAACACTTGGCAATTGCTCCTTATCATCTAGCACCTCAAAAAATAGCTACTTTACTTGGTTCATCCTTACATTTCAAAACTGGCGATGAAACCGAGAAAGACGACGAGATTATTGTGGTACAAGAATCAACAGTAGCTCAATGGGAAAATAATTCACCACCTTTAGTTAAACAATTGGTTCAGCAACCTCCTAAAAAACTTTCCAAACAAATATCCTCTTACGTGAACGAAGGATTAAGTGATGCGGCAATACAAGAAATATTGATTCCACAATTGATAGAATCGAAAGACATTGAAGGAATTGTATGGTGTTTAAATACCTTTAAGGACCTACCAGAGAAATTATTAATCGATCTTTTGATTTTCTCGCTAAGATGTAACGACGCTACGTTTTTACCGTCGCAAAACGGGACAATCAACGATCTTTCCATCGTCAAGAACTTTTATTCCAGAAACGATTTTCTCGATAAAATTTTTAGTCTTACTTATTCCGATGTCTCTTTATCTTCGTATCTTAAAAGCGGCTTAAATTTCGACGAAATATTAAGACTATTGCAATATTTAATACAAAAGTTAGACGATCAGGAAAATATTTTCAGCTATATCGTACAGCAACCTACAGATAAACAATTATATGAGTGGTCTAGCCTTTTGTTAGAATCCCACTATCAGCATTATGTATTATCACGAGATCCGGAAGTATCAATGCTTCTCAATAAACTTAATTGTGTTTTAGACGATCATGTAAGTGTTCATGCATAGTCATAGAACATTGTCGTAACCCCTTCCCGTACTTTAACAAGTCTGACTTGCGATGAAGATTTTGGCCTAAACGTAAACGGTTGGGCCCGGATTTCGTCGAGCTAAATGGCACGGGAAGGGGTTAATAAATTTGTGGCTTGTTTTACCTCTCGTAATAATAAATATTTTTTTCAGTTGCGTGTATTCAAGGACATGGAAAACTTGAGGCCTATCTTAAAACGGATTATTAACGAAAAATCATCAAAGCTGTTACAAAAAAACCGTAATAAGTTCTATGCAATAGAGGAAATAAAACTTTACTAACACGAAAAATTATTCTGTTTGTTATATAACAATATAATATACGGGGTGTTTAAAAATGATGGTCCATAATTCTTCGAATTTCAAATTGACATAAGAAATATTTGTATCTATACCTTTACATACAGGGAACAAAATTGGAAATAAAGGTTTCTTTATTTCTATTTGTATCTACAGAATGTTACATTCACTGCAATGAAAAATGCGCTGCCGGAGAATGTTGCAGGGGTTCGGATCAATTACTTATACGAACCTTAGTTACGATCTTCTCAACAATAAGAAGAATCCATGTATTAACTTCGTGCTACTTTTCACTTTGGAAGAATACACTTAACATCTATTTCAATTGATCAACATACGGTACAGTTTTCAGGTTACCAATGGCAGCCATGCTTAACTTTCCACTGGCCATTTTGTCAGCAATCTAGAATACGTATACCATTAAGATAAATAAATTTAAAAGGAATAACGAATAAAGTAGCATGATTAGTTAGTCAATCGCGTCATTAGTATACATACGGATTTAACAGCAGATGCAGAGACTTTTTCAACATTGGCAACTAGCGACTCTGGTGTAGCGACTGTACGTTTGTGCAGAGCTTGACATTGTAAACTCTCTAATAAAGCAGCTCCATTATCTGCTGCCTCTAAAATTTCAGTCTTCAATATAGCTTTACCGCGAGCAACATCACTGTCAGATACTTTCATGCTTTTCAACCACTTAGCAGCAACATTCGTTATCTAAATTGAATATTAAATTCAAAATTAAAATACGTAGGAATAACGCGTTATGCGTTCGAATTTCATTTATATTTACTCACGGGCCCTGCTACGTTGGGTGTCGAACATAAAACGAAACCAAAAAGTCCTGAATCTGAATAACTGGCATTAAAAGATGACAAAGCAAACGGTTCCGAGCCGGCAGCGCTCGAAACTTGCTTCTGCAATGGACTTGCACTGCTGCCCCATTTAACACGTGGCCCAGTACCAGACGCTCTTTGTAATACCGCACATGCTAAAGCGTCATTCTCGTTTTTCAAACTTACACCTTCAAGGGCAACTGCCACGTTAGCTAGTTCAGAGTTTCTTTCTTTACGCAACTCCCCACCGCAATATTTTGATGCTTCGGTTGTAGCATCTTTTGAACCAATATCTAAATTCATTGCAAAAGCTGTAAGTTCTGCTAATGAAACCCCAGTTGCTACAACTGCACAGTTTGATCCAGTAAACCATGTATTAACAAAGTGTTGTAACTATAAAAAAAAGGTAAAATATTGTTTCAACAAAGTCAACATCTTGTCTTACATTGGAGTCACTTTGTAAAAAGCATGCTTACAGTTTCTGTACCAATTTTTCCTAATTGATGCTTTGGAGTATACAGGGAGTATCCAAGCCCAGTGCGATATGCAGCTTTATGCAAAAGTTCAAGGACCATAGTCGAATCTGGCACGGAGGCTAATTCATATTCCATCCTGGGCAACTGATCCGTTACCTCCCATGGTTTGAAAACTTGCTTTGTTGCAACATGCCCCAAAAATGTAAGAGCATCCGATCTGTTGATATATTATAATACAAACATTTGGTTTGATACAAATAGTATAACAAAATAGAAAAATATTTACAAATTGTCTCTAGTAATCTGCAGTGTATATGCAATACTTTCACGATCAACTGTTGTCATTAAATTTCCACCAAGTTGTTGAATATTCCTAATTATAGCAAAACTACTGCTAGCAGATGTACTTAATCCTGTTGCTATCCGCAAAGAATGTGTTACACCTTGGGTATCATATGTTTCATTTCGTGACCCAGTTCTGCAAATAATGCATTTATATACAAACGAAGGACCAAAACAGATTCATTTGTGCATCAACCTTGAGTTTTAAATACCTAAAAACAATGGACACCTGGGCAACCGGTGAATTATTGTCACAAGTAGCGACAGTAACATTATTACTAGCAACTTTACACTCAAGCCGTGAAGAAGCAGAAGGCTGGGCAGCTGCTGCAGCTGCATAATGCCTAACCTGATACAGAATATCAAATACCATTAAGATCAATACATATGCATTTTCTTTCTCATACTTCTATCCTTACAATGTGTTTGAAATTAAAGAGAAATTTTAGAATTGCCAAGAAGTTATAAACAGTAAATAAAAAGATACGATTAAAATCTTAGTTAAGAAAAAAAGATATCTATGAACACGATCTAGCTCTATGTAATTCGTACGACAGAGTCTGACACACAGAATGATATCGAATCGTTTATATAACAGCTATGATAATCTTTTCATAGTCAGAAAATAGAAAACAAATTCCTTTTTAGAAATTATAGCAAGAAAAGTGTATTATTTTTACCGTAGGACTACGTAATAGAGACGACCGCGCGACCGAACAAGCCATTTTTCTGTTTCTGAATGACTAGAAGAACTTTTCCTTAGGAGTAGCACACGAACTAGCACCAACTTTAACAGATACTAAACTGTAGATGGCGAACCAATCTTCATCGAATAGAAGTGAACTCCCCTTGTGTCGGTTAACGTTGAATAACGCGCCGATTTAAAAACAAAATTGTAAGAAATTTAACATGGTTAACATTAGATTTATAAACACAGATTGCACATATTTTTATTTAAACTTGCTATGTTGACGATTACATTAAAATATATATCGTTGCATTAATCAAATTCAACATGGATTATTTTTATAGTGACTAAAAAAATTATTATACGAGTCTATATAATAATAAGATTATAAGTTCCGTTTTCTCACGAATAATTCATACTACGATTGTCAATGAATTGGAGAAAATAAAGAAAACACTGCGTGTTACTGTTATTTTTCTATTTTATTCTATTAATTTCATTTATGATATTAAGAAAGTCAATACAAATGTATTCCGTGCTATATTTGTACTCGTGAACATTGTTGTTTGAAGTTTTGCATAATCATAATTGGCGGTGATACACGAACAGATGAATAAGAAAAATTGGATGTCTTCACAATTATTTTTGCTATTGCTATATCAAAATAAAAACAGTGACATACATAATCGATTGAGGGTGGATAAAATGGAAACATAAATCTTTAAACTACGAGAACGTACAGTAGAACATGAAAATGTAATGTAAAAAAGAAAGAAGCAACATTGACCAGAATACAAAAAGTCAACAAAAAAATATACGTTTAAAAATGAAAAACTTGCATCACTAGAAAAAAGAAGGTGACACATGCACTCATCTACCCACTTACATATCAGAGCATATATATTTACATACATACATACATCCGTGTATATCCATATACATACCTAACATAAACGCTACGCGCATTTTTAAGTAATATAAAATAATCGACGATTTTTTTAGATTTAAAAATGCACGTACAGTGACAAACGTCTTATCGATTTGGCACAAAAGTTCCACGATTCCTCGGTCTTTGGTTTTCAGAAACGATCATTAATAAATAATATTTGAAAAAAGCTGGAAGCTATTCGCACCTCGTTACGAATTTTGCAAATGAGCTGGTTCTCGTCTTATCAATTCTAATTCGTATGAAACGTATCTTACAATTGAATACTTCTACTGTTTACATCTATCGTACAATGCAAACAAGGATAAGTGTTTGAGTAAATTTATCGTGTTTTGTACAATGTCAGACAACTCATTCGCAATCTCCGAGATATTATAATGTAACTAATATTATTCTTATACGCACATACTATGACTAGAATGAAAATGAACGCCTAAGATTCGTTATCGCTATGCGGATACTTACAGCTATCGTTAGGCAACTCGAATAATTTGTTTCGCAAATTCTAAATTGCCTTAATTAAATTGAAATCGTGATACACAATATTTCTCAAAAGTTAAACACCGTAAGAGAACAAATAGTATCGAAGCTCCTTGTTCGTTCATCCAATTTATATACAATTCAATTTAAAAATTCTCGATCTAAATATTACGGATAATACGACAATGATGATGACGAGGATGAGGACGACGACGACAACAACGACAAGAAAAACAACGTTGAGGCCGTTGAGGAATTATGTGAAAAATATTAATACGTGAATTTGTGATGATCATTGTGTAGTATCTACCGAAGTATTTGTTCGCCGATAAACAAGAAATAGATAAATGTAAGGTATCAAAATTAATGTAACATTTCACAAAAAGAATAAATCGCTGCGAAAAATCTCTCTGTTAAAAAATGATGCATCGTGTCCAAGTTTTATATGATCATGGTAAAGAATGTATATAATATAAATATACGTTCTAAAGATTACATAATAGAGAAATTATGTAATTTCTCTAATCTATGCATCGTAATTTTAGTCATGGAACGAATTTCTTCCTACAATTTTGTTTATAAATATCTTAAAAAAATAACGTTCATTTGAAAAATAATAGGTACACTTCACATTTAACTGTACACTTTTACGACAATTACGTTTAACCAGTTAGTTGACTAACCCGACCGTGTACTTTAAACCTTTTAAAAACTCGACGGTCTAACATAATACATTTGTGCGCGTCTCTGATTCAGAGTTGTACTTTCATTCGAAAGATAAAGGGTTTTACAAATTTTTAACGTGTCTAAAGTTAAGTTTCGGTTATTTTATAAGTTTTATAAATTTTATTTTACAAATTTTGACTGACGAAAGACCAAATCAAGTCCTGACATTCCGTGATTTACCTATGTTGTTTGTCCATCTCATCAACGCGTTGATCAAAAAACGTTACCAACATTAACAGAGATTAGAAATTGCATATTCAGCGTTACACGGCCTCATAATTTATAGAACTACTCCGATAAAAAGCGAGAAAGGCAAACATAAATAACAAAATTGACGATTTCTACGAACAACTGCGCTTTACGTCGCAGTTGTTATAAAATGACAGCATTCTGACTCTTGTGTTATTCTCGCCTATTCGCAAGTAAAACGTTTCTATAGTGACGATCGTGCGTTCTGCGAGAAGATTCGTAATAAAATCGACTCGACGTGTATTTGAAAATATAATGGAAGAGGACGACCATGCGTTCGCAAGGATAGTAGTTAAGAGAAGAATTAATAAAGGCAACTATACGCGAATATGTGTGAGAAGAAAATCGAAGAGTAGAAGAGAAATTGAAAATACTGAAAAAGTCAGTACTGACGTGAATACCTGAGACGAACCGAACGCGAGTCAGTTGACTATATCAGCTGATCAATAGTAACCAGAGTAATGATGGTATCCTGGTCTAGGCGGATGATACGGCGCAGGACTTACAGGATAACTTGGGTTGTATCCTGTCAAAGGAGGCGGTGGCGAGGAGGAAGACAAAATTCGGCCATCCACCGCATCAGGTACGACGTGAGGAGTACCGGAGCCTGTTGATTGAGGACTTGCGATCACGCGAGCTCCGGATCCGTGTAAATGAGATCTCGAAAGAGTGAGATCGACGGTATGCCTTCCACCAGGAGTGAGATCCAAACTTACGACTCTTAAGATGTCGTTGTGAGGATAGGGCGGTGGCGGCGGTGGTGTCGGGGGTGGTGGAGGCGGAGGTGGAGGGACAACGGCAGGAACAGAGGAAGGTAAAGGGGGAGGAGGTGGAGCTGCTACAGTAACAGGCGGTGGTTGAGAGACTGGCGAAAGAGGTGTAGGTGACATCGAATAGCTTCCGGTCCTGCTGAGATCAACGCTTTGTCTTTCTGTAATTTCGTATAAATGATGGTGATGATAACGAGCGGTATTTTGTATTTGCACACCAAAGCCGTGGTGAAATCCCCTCGCGGACATATCCAAACCCTGAAGCTCCCCGCCGTTGAGAACGATAGGGCATTGTTCAAGAGTATCATATTTGTATGATGTTGATAGATCCAGCTGCATCGATTTCTCTTTCACAGACAGACTGAGGTTTTGCGCTACAGAGTCACCTTCGTCGCTGGACAAATTCTCTGCAGCCAGCTGTTGCTGATGATGGTGATGGTGGTGGTGGTGATGATGATGATGATGTACATTCTGATATCGTGAATTTGGCGTTGCTGAAGGTGACACTAAATCGTCCTGTTGTATGTGAATGTAATTATTTGGCGAAGGAACGCGCGGTATGTCCTCGTGATGTAAATATTGATCGATAGTATGTGCCCTTGGTGTACCAATGTAGTCGACAGGCCGATGCAATTGATAGTCGACATGTAAATAAGAAGGTGGCGTATTTCGGTTGTCTGGTGTAGGCGCAGGCGATAACAATTCTGCTTGTTGCTGCATATAGGAATCCAAGTGGTTCGGTGATCTTTGAGGTAATGGCGATTGTAGCTGGCTAGAGATAGAGTAGAGATTAGTGTCACGACCATTGTCTTCCAACATAGGACTTGATACAGCTCCTATTTCTCTTTCAGCGGCGTCGAGTGCAGCTTCGACCAACAAACTAGCATTCGCGCTCTCGGTTCTTCTATAAACGCCAAGTCCCAGCTTACTATTCTCCATAATACTCTGTGCCCTCCCCGTGACTGTCGACAGTGATGTTTTTTCGTCAACCTCCTTTCTGTTATCTTCAAATTCGTAAGTATTCCCAGTAATGACACTTGTCGACAGACGAGGTATCGTATTTGATACTACGGTCATGTCTGACGTTGTCGAGGGATTAAATTCACCAAGCCACTTTTTACTACCTTTACTCTGCAATCTAGAAACGCCATAAAAATCCGTTTCTGTACGAACGTTTTCTACCGTTGTCGGCTCAAGAGTACTCGATGCCGACGGCGGTGTTGAAATTCGTGGGTTATGCTCTACTTTATACTTGGACGTGGGATTCGTTCCAAACTCGATTATAGTTGAATGGGCAGAATTATTTGCCGCTTCAACCTTCAAGCCATTTTCTGAACTGTCATTGTCCAAAGATGTCATACTGTTATTACTGTTATCTTGCTGAAAATATTACAAAGAGAATTTTATATGCAATCGTGCAACGCGCTTAATAATATTTTCATGAAGCAAACAAAATTTTATTCGAGAACAAACCTGAGAAGTTCTTCCGCTAGGCCGAGGAGTCTTTCCACGACCAACATCTTCGATCAGCCCGCCGCTATACGCATCGAAAGTATACGCGACGGATCGTTCGATTTTCGGCATCATCTCCTCCGTAAGACCATGTACTTTCTTGTAATGAAATTGTAAACACTGTTTAGTGGTGAAAGCCGCTTTGCAACTGTTTTCTTTGCACCTGAAAATCAAAAGAATACCGTATTTACTAAAGAAATGATAAAGAGACTCGCAAAATAGCAAATTGATACCACGATCTTACTTGAACGGTTTCACTCCGCTGTGCGTTAACATGTGTATCTTTAGATTACTCTTATTTTGAAACATTTTTCCGCATCGATCGCATGTCGCAGCGCCGACAACATCTTTGTGATGAACCTCTTTCATGTGACGTTGAAGGGCGGCACGAGAACCCAAAAGTTTCAAACATAGTTTACATTGAAACTCTCGAAGCACCTCTGACATATCTAAACAAGTACATGTGTAGTCGTGAAAACGTGATACGAGAACTCGGTTGAACAATATCAAGTCTATGAGTCTCGGCAAATTAATTGTAAACTTGTAAATATTTCTTACCACTGTGCATTCGTTTAATATGCACTTTCAACTTTTGTGGTTGACAAAACTTGCGCCCACAAAAATCGCATAATGGTCTTGAGCGTTGCGGGTTCTGTGCACACCCGTAAGTTCGATGCATTTCGAGGTAATTCAAACGTAAAAAGAATTTTTTACAATATTGACATTGGTATGCGCCCTGACCTGCGTGTAATTCTGCAGCATGCTTCATAATGTTGTCCTTGCCTAGAACAGCAGCTCCGCATACCTAAACAACCGAAAATACATGCGTATATTTAGTCGCGTAAACCGTCAAGAGCCGTCGCATAAAATGTAACGGACATCAATACGGAATATAACGATTCAATTATCTCTACCTTGCAATGATACTTTCTTATCGTCAAACTGTAATTGGTATCATGGAAGATACAACAGTGTAGACGATAGTATATCGGATGAGCAAAATTCAAATTGCATCCCCCACAATCTAAACAGAAGAAAATAAATAAGCGTAATCGAAACGAAATGAAATTCTTGTTTAATTCATAGTTGAACGTTTGATCGTTGTTTTCGCAACATTCACCATCGACGCTGATATTGAGAAAGATGATACCATACTCGTTTTGTCTACTTTATTCTTTCTTGTCCATGCTGAAGATTGTGAATCTGCCCAATATGTTAGTTCCATTCCCGACACAATATTTTGTGTAGTAACAAGATGCAATTCTCCCTGCTTCGTAATTACAGCTACACTTCTTTTCTCCTTTGTCTCGGCCGGCCTAATATAACGGATCCAATTACTCCTTAATGGGTTGGTGGTACTTAGGTACGAAGTTTTACCATTATTATCTATCTAAAGAAAACAAAAAAAGAAATATCGTTTTGTCGGAGAAATATTTGATCCATGATCTCTATAAATATAATTCCCGTATAGAAAGATTAACAAAACTATTCCATCGATTTTACCTCCCAAATATGTCTCATGGAAAAATCATCAGGAATGTCCATTTCCCTAACTAATCGTCCGACGAGAGGACCTAATTTAACGTGCATTGGAACAGAATTTTTCGCATATATTCCAAGTCCGTGTTCCGAATTAGTGATTTTTAATTCCAAGCATTCAGGTATAGAATCTCTGGCATACAATGGTCGGTCCGCATCTACAATCAATCGTTTCTCTTCCTTTTGAGCTTTCATTTTCATTTTACAGTGTTCGGTAAGTAAAGATTCATCATCGGACTCGATATTATCCTCGGCCATTTTTCCATATCCTTCAGACATAGGATCATCACATTTTATAGCTTTTAAAACTTCGGAATTTTCTTTGTGCTGATTTAACCATTCCTCGTACGATATGGAATCCGGGATCGCATATTGAGGCGTGGTCAAGGGACAGGCATCTTGTAAGTGACGATTATTACATTCCTGACAGAGTTTTATTTTAATAGCTAATCTTTGCGGCTCGGATAATACATTTTCAGGGCTCGCTTCGCTTTGAGATTTTGAAGCTGCAATTGCTGATACATCGTCCGTTAGAGAACCGGCGTTTCTTTCATCCTGCACGATTATTCCATCTTGGGGCGCTTTCCGGACATCATGATGCCTACGACTCCTGTGTTCGCTGTTACGTTTATGCCTTTTCTTTCTGTGCTTATGGGCAGAATCATCTAGAAAATCTTCGGACGAATCTTCTTTTGCATCATCATCTTCTTCCTCTTGATTATCATATTTCAATCGTTTTCGTTTCTTTTTCAATTTTCGACTATTTGTTTCTTGAGTTGCATTTGTATTCAAGCTGGAACAATTAGCTATTGTACTGACATGTTCGCTGTTATCATCATAACAAATGTCGCACGAAACATTTTTATTGTCGCTTGTCTCTGCAGGTTGAATGCAAGAAGCTGCACTAGAAGACATTGTACCCAATGTATTTGTGACTTGTTCAATGGTAGTTTCATTGGCATTGCTCTTAACAGTGGGAATTGTTGTTAGACTATTCAATTTCAACTGCTCACACTGGTTATTAATCGTCACAGTGTTTTCCACATCAACATCTTTGATGGCATGATAAAGTACATTTTTGTTAGTATTTACACTTCCTATAAATTCTATGCTACCTACGTGTTCAGTCTTTGTTGCAACAGATTCAACCTCTCTTGTAGCGATGCGAAGACTATTTTTTAAATTTGGCTCTATACCAATTTCATTCACTATTCTAGAATTATCTTTTTTCACAGTAATTTGTTTTTTGTCTTCTGCTGGTGACTCAGTGGATAATTGTTTAGCAGTTTCTATTGATAAAAGTACATCGACAGTTTTAAGGTGTCGTTTCTTTTTTCGTTTGTCTTTGTGATGCTTGGCTCTGTTCTTATGATGTTTAGATCTTGAACTACGTCTTGCACATAACTCAACATCATTGGTTAATGTAGTTCGTGCAGTATCCATAGAAAAAGCTTCACGTTCTGAAGCAACATTACTATTTTGTTTCCTCAGACTCCGACGAAGAGATTCCTTTGTATCATCTATCATGTTTTCGGTCTGTGCCATTTGCGTCTTGTTCTTTTTGTCTTGATCCATTGCTCTTTGGTCTTCTCCATTGTATTTGTCGCAGTGTCTGTTTATTATGGAAAAAAGCATATATGTGAAAATGATAAAGATAAAGAATATGGTGACACCAACATTAAAGTGAATAGAAAACAAAAAGTGTTCCATCAAAAAAATTAATTCAAGAGAGAAACTTGGGGAAGGATTAAAACAATAATAATCCTACAGTTAAAAAGTGATCAGCAGTTGTTAATCCAATAATAGATGCTCAGAGAATATTGTTTACCCAAATATATTTTGTACTTGAACTCAAACAAATATGACATTTCTTCTATATCGACTTGTACACGATCCCGACGTAAACCAAGATCAGTCAAAATCGGTAAGATCGATAAAATCGGTTTTTGAGCTTTCAACAAGCAAGACATTATCGATTACTTTCACATCAAATATCGACCCCGCAAGATGGCGATTCGGGGAAGATTCGGGTACGATAAAGGGGAAGTCCCGTCTCCGAATGACAAGACACAACTATCTATCAGTCAAAATAGTTTTCCTAATGTGAATAAAACATTGACGTCGAATCCAACGCCATTTAGCCGGATTCGTGAAAAAAAACGTGCTAGTCTAGAGAAGCGATTTATCTCGAACCTACCTGGAAGTGGACTCTGCAAGATCGAGCAGATAAACCGCAACATCTTCATCCGTTGATAAACCTAAGCGTTTCTTAAGAGAGAGCCAACGCTTGCCGTTGGTAAGACCGATGCGAACGCTTCTAAAGTGTTTTGTTTCCTGTTCCGGCCCAATTGCGGAATTATTGCTTTTATGATGAGAACTTCTCGTTGATCCCGACTCTTTCACATGCCTTGTAGTTTTCTTCGGCATAACTACATCGTAGATCTGCCGGTATTAAAGCGGCGAACTTGAAGCTACCGCGGAGGTTGTGTACCGATATTATCCTATCCTCTTTATGCTCACCGCCTGACCACCACCGCCCACTCCGCCCGCCCGCCCACCCTCGCCATTCACCACTCACCACTCACCACCCCGAGCAACCTCGCACCACTCGCACCCACCGCGCGCGTCATCTACTTCCCTTTCTCTGCTTGTTCGCTATTCTACTTTCCTTTTCCATACCCCACGTACCCCGTGACCACGATCTTCCTCTTTTATCGATCCTGTAGCTGCGCTTCATCGCTATGTATGAATGTGTCAGAGTTCGTAAAGTCACTAATCGCGACATCTATTGTCATCGGTAATAGTTTGTAAGCAGGATGTCGTGTGTACAATGTGTGGTGTAATATGTATAGGTTGTACGTTCATCTTATTACTATTCTAATATTTAGTTTTCCTTCTTCTCGAATCCAGTGTTTCTAGACGGCAGACCGGTTCCATCAGAGAACTGCCCCTCCACTTAACATACCAATGCACAGACACGTGTATGTGAGCTCCGGCGGTTCGGACAGCTTCGGAAAGCCGAGAAAGAAGGCATATGTGAGCCCTACTTTGTCGGTCTTGAAACACTAGTCGTGTTGTCGGTAGTGATTGGATTTGAAGCACTTCCGAATTTATATATTTGGCGAATAATTCGAATCAATTCAAATTTGATTCGAAGTTTAGAACTCTTGCAAGTCTTTGATCAACAGCACAAGACAACTAACAAGACTGTTATCATCGATCTAAACATATACACACACTAAAAAGCATTTCGATGATCTTTGAAATACCGTACAATGTAAAACTTATATAGTCATTTAAAAATATTCCTTTTTCTCGTGCGTAATGTTTAACCATATATTTTATATGTGGCTTATCTGCATAAAAGTTTCTGGAACTAAATTTTTCTACATAAGGTAATTAACCCCTCATAATATGCATTTTGAACAATGTATTGCTTGTGTATGTACTTCGATTTACAGTCGAACAGTCAGTACGGTATGATACTTTTGGAACAAATCTTTATATCGAGTGTAATGTAGTCGAAATTACATTTCGATAAACATGAACTCGACCAATCGAAAACGATACCAAATGATATTAATGAAGAATATGAAATTTTCAAAGTAGCGGCTAAGTTGCCAGCATGTAGGGGTTTTCACGCATGCGTGTCGTACACAGTATCAGTGAAGTACTTTGATTATATAAAAAACAGGTATCTTATGGGCCCCCATTTAGTTACTTTACAAAATTATCTAAAAGTTTTTAGAAAACCAACATAGAAGCTAAAAGAAGAAAAGTCGATACAAGCGAAACTAATAAAACTATTCTAGAGGTATACAGTGGTGGACATATTCATTGCCTCTATTATAATATATAAATTTTTCATATTTTAGTATACATTATTTTTTACACATTACTATTTCCTCTCGTATCACTCGTCTAACTTCGTTGTTACAGACAGTACTCTTTACGTTCATACAATAATGTAATAGTTATACATATTCTACCTTGCTAAGAAGCTTGAGAATACATCATATCGATACTGTTAATCAGGGCCTACTGAACTTTGACGCCCGAAATATTGATTATATACATCACTGTTTTTGCTGTTCGTAGAATGCGCATGCGCAAAAACCCCGGTTTATCTGGCAATAGTGGTATTTGCTTCCATCTACCACATTGTTCGAACTTGTTCGGAAGAGAAGATTTGAATTACGTTAATCGTAAGAATTACTATTATTCGAAGAAATGTCACGAAGAGCAATCAAGGCGATAAATTGGGCGCCACTCGTTGAGCGGATTCCAGAATCTGAGAAAACTACACTGGCTGTTTTTAAAACTAAATCCGATCAATTTTTACGACGGTTAGTAAAAATCGTCAAAATAAATTCATTACATAATACCTTTGAATGGATGTTCCATATTTCAACATTAAAATAATCAAGTAGCTGAATTAATTATTCTTAATATTATTCTTTTAATTTAAGTACTAACGAATTTCTAGTTTATTTCCTATTAAATGGGAATTTTAACGTGTGATTAATATAGAAATGAGATGCCATAACCTCTTTAAAGATCATTCAAAACCAATAATAAATAAAATTATGATAGTATCTTGTATTAATTTTGTTATAAGAAAAATAGTATAATCATATAACTTTGAATCTACTGTAAAGGTCTTAATAATGATTTGTAGAAATGTATTCTATGTTTTACAGTATGACAGCTAACCCAGAAGCTGCACCAAAAATTGATTGGGCATATTATAAAAGAACTATTACAACTCCTGGTCTAGTAGATAAGTTTCAAAAAGAATATGAATCATTAACAATACCTTATCCACCTGATAACTATACAGCAAAAATTGAAGCTGAAGAAAAAGAAACTGTAATATAACATATTTATTTTTCTTTTATATTTTATTCTTTCAAATTTCATGTAGCTAATATTGATCTTTGTGTTACAGCTTGTTAAAATTGAAGAATATCTTCGTTATGCAGATTCACAAATATCAACTTCACAGCAAGAAATAGACAGAATAAAAGGTTTGTTACCCATTGCAGAGATGACATTGGAAGACTTTAAGGATATGTATCCAGAGCATGCTTTCAATCCTGAGAAACCTACAATGTGGCCCCATACTCCAGACTCTCAACCTCCAGATGATATTGTATATGGTTCAGGAGGCTCTCATTAATTATATTTTGTGCATTGAAACTAGTCCCGATGTAACATTGATTGTCGATAATCAATTTGTCAACACTTGTACTATCAACATATTTAAATTTGGGTAGAGATTGAATTTAATAAAGCTTTGGAATTATTACACTAAAATCATATGACGCTAAATATACAAAAACATAAACTGAGCAATTGTTTGTAATTTTTTCACAAAACTACATTCAATCTACAATTAAATTTATTTACTTTTATTGGTAATAAAATTTGTTTCATTGATGTATTTACTGTGGTGTCTTGTGAAAACATTTGAATATCAAATATATTGTAAGCCGTTGGCCGACCGGACGCCATACATACATTGTAGTATGTTAGAGGCGACTGCGGGCCGTGGAAAGAGCTTTTTAAAGGTGCCGATCCGCCGCCGATGACCAAATCGAGAGTCAGTCTCGTCCAAGTCGTTGTCGAGGCAAGACTAATACATTGGTATACATATTTCATCTCGGTCTTCTGCACTTTATCACAAATCCCGGCCATCTCCTTACAATATCTATAAATTATTGAGTTTAAAATACAAATTATATAAGTATTCTATACATTATCCAGTGAAATCAATCAGTTTGGTAGACAAAATGTATAATTTTCAGCAAAAAAGAAACTGCAGGGAATTTACCTCAACTAGATGTAGATTTAATAAAGGATATACAAGGAAAGGATCAATAATTGAAAATATTTTAAATAAAAATATATTTAAAAGACAATTTTTATTCAAATGTGACAAATATTGTTAGTTTCTTGTAATGGTTCTAACATTTATAATCTTTTAATAAAAGTCATCAGTTTTTCAATTGTTTATCGAATCTTTTCGTGTTTCAATAAACTAGACATTGAACCTGCGATACTATACGTGATAGGAAATGATTTTAATCAATTGAAGTTGATTAAATTTTCAGTAAATTTATCTATTATTTAAATTATGAAAACATATTTGAGATATGTTGTAAATAAATTTTGTCATACTATACAAATCGTAGGTGCGTTTCAACTTCCAATTGGTAGAACGTAATTAAGACACAAGGTGATTGGCAATGATTCTACTGCATATTTGTACTATACAAATTTGTTAAGATCATAATATATTTGATTTAACGATTCTGTTTACATTAATTTAGTTAGTTTAAAAAAATTGCTTTCGATCGAAAACGGCCCATCGGTGATTGCATCGGTGGATTTACATGGCCAGTCCGCCCCTGATGGCGATATTTATACTATATAATAAATATTTTTCATTCGTTCAAAGAGAAATTATTTCTCTCGATTCGTATTTGTGTTATTTTTAAAAATTTGAATTCTATTTTAATTACGCGTAAATATATTTCGTAAAAACGTTACGTAAATACTAATAAAATAAAATTAAACAAATTTCAATCTCGTATATGCACACTTTTATGGGCCACTGTAATGTCAAATCTACAACCGACGAAGAGGATCTATCTGTTTATGGACTGTGTTATTAACAGAAGTGATGTTGTACTAATAAATTATATTTACCAAGCGTATGAATTTGTGCGTGAATACAAGCAAACGGAATGATATTGCCATTTCGATTAAACATAGGTGAAATTTTTAAGTGCATTGTCAACAGTCGCGGTATCAGGTTTTATACTGCAACCCGAATGGTACATGAAATTCTTACGGTCGATGGTTGTCCTTGTACGGTCTTTTGAAAGAAGTATAATTAATTGTAAGCATGTTTTATTTGGATTACATAAATGAGGAGCATTGCAATTAATGTACACCAGTGGCATTATCGTCTCGCGACGTGTTCTGGCTTTCGCTATTATTGTATCCGCCAGAACAACTTAACCTTAAGCAAAATATGTTTCCGCCGAGGGATCTAGGGAAAACAGATTATATTAGTTTAAATATCCAGGAAAGTGCAACTTTTGCGCGTGGAACATCACGTAGTCTTTGGAGGGTAAGCTCTTGTAATATTGTTCCGAAATTTTGTAAATATTTTTCTATTACGTTTGTTTGATAAAAAAAAAAAGAACCATTTATACATATCCAAGCATGCAAATAAACAAACTTTATTCGTCCTTTCAGCAATGGAACCAGCTATCAAGGTTTCAAAGAAATATCCTATACTTTGTAGTCATTACAATTATATTAGTCATATTTTATCTATTGCCTGGGGATAATAAGAATGGAGTTTTAGATGAAAATGATTACAACAATATAGAGGTAATACAAGACACCCTTAGATACGAAAAGGTACAATAAATACGATACAAATTAACAAAGTACTTTTAAGATATCTTTTGTATATTTTATAATTTCTTAAAAGAATAAAATTTATAGGCAATAGAAGATATTGTAGTAGATAATGTAAATCAGGAACATAAGGATGGTGGGGAGGTTATAGAAGAACCTGAATTCCAACCAGAAATAAACCAAGTGGACGATGATCAAATTGGAGAGCCACCTCAACCTAAGCCAAACCCAATTAAATTCAATGGTAACGTCATACCAAACTATTATATTCTTAATATATAAGGCCATTTTAATTGTTATAATATACTTATTTAATTTTAGGCCCACAAAACGATAGACAAAAAGCCATAGTCGCAGCATTTAAACACTCATGGAATGGATATAAGGAATATGCTTGGGGTCATGACAACGTGAAGCCAATATCTAAAAAATATTATGAATGGTTTGGCTTAGGACTTACCATAGTTGATTCTCTCGACACTATGTATATGATGGGTTTGAATAATGGTATGATGGAACGTCAGGATTTTTTTTACTAGAGATCGCCGTTTCACGTGTATTTAAAATATGCGTACACGTGTCTAGCTAAAATATCCGCGTTGAAGTTACATGTATTTAATATATACGAATTCGCGTGCATTATCCGTGTTGTTATGTTTTTAAATCTACGGTGAGATATCGATGTGCCGTGTAATGCATCTCTATCTCACTCGCATTCTCTAAAAGAAAGAGACCCACGGAATTTCCTGGAAGATCTACTTTCCTTTAACTTTGGTCAGTTTCAGTCCCGAACGTCGGCTAATATCTAAGGCATTACTGTACTTCGATACACGTGAATTCGTATATCCGTTTATTAAGAAATGCACAAATTGAAACACGGCTATATTAGCTATACATAAGCACATGTATATAAATTTGGCTTTTCCTATTTACAGAATTTTCAGAAGCCAGAGCATGGATTGACAAGAATTTAGTGTTCACCCTAAATAGGGACGTTAATTTATTTGAAGTTACAATAAGGGTATTAGGAGGTCTATTATCAGCGTATCATCTTTCTGGCGATAAGATTTTCCTAAATAAAGCTGTAAGTTATTTATTGTGTCTTTCTCCAACTAGTCGCGTAGTTGAAAATCCGCGTAAAATGTTTATATCCCTCTCCTCTCTTTTTCATCCAAAAACGAACCACAATGTGTAATCTATCTTACAAGTTTACTTTGTATGCAAAAAACCGCGTAAAACCAAATTCACATTATTCGAATTTTATATATTTGATACAAATCACAGGCACAATTAGGAGATCGAATGATGCCGGCATTTTCTACTTCGTCTGGTGTTCCTTATTCTGATGTAAATCTAGGCACTAGAACTGCGCATAGTCCTAAATGGGGTCCTGATAGTAGTACTAGCGAAGTCACTTCGATTCAATTAGAATTTCGAGATCTTAGTCGTAATACAGGAGAACCAAAATACGAGGTACTTATAAAATATCCTTTAACGGATAGAGCGCATCATTTGTATCATACGTAGAAGAGTATGTAATTATTGTTTCTTCAGGAAGCAGTAGCAAAAGTCTCAGAACATGTACATCAATTAGAAAAATATGACGGTTTAGTACCCATTTTCATTAATGCTAACACTGGACAGTTTAGAGAGTATGCAACAATTACGCTTGGCGCACGTGGTGATAGTTATTACGAATATCTATTGAAACAGTGGCTTCAAACTGGGAAGACCATTAATTAGTTAGTACTTTTTGAGTTTTAATCACCAAAGCATAAGGCTTGTATCACTTACTTGAGTAGTTGCGAAGTTATGGTAATATGCTTGATTATAAACATTTCCAGCCTACGGGATGATTATTTATCAGGCATTTCCGGGACTCAGAAGCATCTTGTCAAACGTACGGCGAACAATAAGTATCTCTTCATCTCGGAACTAGTTGGGGCAAATAAAGAAATAAGACCAAAAATGGCATGTAACGAGATATAAGCATTTGAATACAATTAATCGCGCTACTATTACGTATTATATTATTCATAAACTTAATGTTTATCTCGTAGGACCATCTTACGTGTTACTTAGGTGGCACATTAGCTTTAGGAGCACATCATGGTTTGCCGTCCGAACATATGGATCTTGCTAACGAAATTGTTAAAACTTGTTATCAAACGTATGCAATTCAACCGACATTTCTTGCGCCAGAAATTACTTACTTTAATATTCAGGTAATTAAAATAATTAATGTATCGTGCAAAAATCGTCGTAAACGATGTTAAATCGTATAAAAAATATTATTTTATATAGAATGTGGAGGGAGAGAAATCAATGGACATGTATGTAAAAATCAACGACGCGCATAATCTTTTGAGGCCCGAATTTATTGAAAGTTTGTTTTATATGTGGTATTTCACTGGAAATAAAACATTCCAAGATTGGGGATGGCAAATATTTCAAGTAAGTAAATTAACAAATATTTTTCTTCAAATACGGATGCACCGTTATACTTTTAATAATGCAGATTTTAACGCAATAGGCTTTCGAAAATTATACGAAAGTGGAAAAGGGTTACACGAGTATTGGTAATGTACGAAATGTTCAGAATACTCGACAACAAGATTTAACAGAAAGTTTCTGGTTCGCTGAGACTTTAAAATATTTGTATTTGTTATTCGATGATACAAGGCAATTAATAGATTTAGATAGATGGATATTTAATTCTGAAGGACATCCACTACCCATATACAAATCGTAACCCAATGCAAATACAGTTTAATGTATAAATCTGCACTATTAGTAGGCTATTAAATATCTTTTGAGGCCAGTCGATAGATATCTTAACGATATACGCCGATAACGGATTAATTGGGTTGGAACTGTTCTAGTGACAATCTTCAAACATAACTTTCTTGCAAAAGTTCTTTACTATGAAAAGAGACACAGAAATTATATATTTACTAGTAATTGACAATTTATACTCAATTTTGTATTAATTTTTCAATTCAGAAGTGTATATTATTAATTAATTATTATAGTCCATTTCGTGATACATGATTTGATACAATTAATACATCACAGATTGTAGTTTGAATTTGAGAAAGTGTATCAGAATTTTCGAGTACAATACTGTAAAATAGAAAATAATTTATCTGTTGGGTTATAACACTTCTATCATCTTTTTTCACTTATTTGTAGCCTGATATACCAATTCATTCTTTAAGAAGAAAGTAGAACATTGCACACATATCAGTTTAAAAATGAATGTAACCTTGAAACGGAGTTACTTAAACTGTTTTCAAAGATCCTAGTCAAATCTGAATTTTACTCTTTTTTTTTTTATTATTAATAGGTATAATATTTAGTTAATGTAACTAAGATATATTTTCATAATATCGCGTATACATACAAAAATAAATATCGAATTTTCCGGGATGCATAACACGATGTTTGAAAATAAAAACCAATTAATTTATTATCAGTTTTGTAAATTTTCAAACTGTTTATCCTTTCATCTTTTTGTATTTATTAAAGAAATATTCGTAATAAAACTTAATATATCATACTTATTCTGCAATAATTTGAAAATATACTTGCTTAATTAGGGTAACTATTACTAGATATTTATGACAATTTTCACAGTTATTTCTCATTGCAGTTTAGTTCTTATTTATTGCACATATTTGTATAAAATATTAACAAAAACTGTTTAAATGTCTATCATATATAATATTGTGATAGGACAAGAGCAATTAATAAATTAAAATACTGGGTATGTTATGTATTATAGAAATGTATCACAAAATATATAACTGTTTAATTTGTAAATAGGTATTAAGACAGTGTACAACTGTCATTATTTAGTTATGAAAGATACACTTTTCTATACAACAAACATTATAACATAGATGTTACTAAATGAATATTACTAAAGTAGTCACTTACTTTATATGATGAAAGCAAGGATTAAAAGTAGTATCGTATAATGAAAATATTTAACATATAAATATTCACGTTTTATATTGCTCTTGAAACATATTACTTCTTTTTTGAACTAATTATATTAAGTTTGTCACGAAATGATAATAATTGAAAAAGATGTGTATTTAAAATATACAGGGTGTTGTACAATGTATGGCAGTCTCAAGAAAGGAGAAACTTTTGTACAGATAAAATTTCTTATACAATGACAATACACCTTATCAAAAATTCATTTTCAGTCACCTATAGTTCCGTGTATTCTCGGTACTATATTGTAGTTTGTTATTACAGAAAGTATAATTTAAAGAATTATGTATACAATAATCAATACATGCATTTGATATTTCTCTATTTTCCTTGATCGTTAATAAAAATAATGGTTTATACAAAAGAGACTAACTTGTAAAACCTCCTATACAATTAACGTATTAAAGTTTTAGAAGTCATAGCAGTGCCTTTTTAATTTGTACATTACTGTTTAGAAAATATTTGCGACATATCATATTTATTATTATATATCAAGAATATATTTCTATCATCTTTTTCATTTACACAATTTTTTCTTAAAATATAATTGTTATGATTATGCAGGGTGTCCAAGATTTTAACAGCCATATTTTGGCAGGGTATTCTTCAGGTCTAAACAGGAAAAATACGTTACATAAACATATACTGTTTAGAGCTTTATTCTAATGTTATGATTTCTATCATAAGTTCTGAATAAGACTCTAAACAAATTTTTTCTCCACTTAAATCGAAAGAATACATTGACAAAGTTCGGCCATCAAGATCTGGGATACCTTGCGTATTGCGTCATAAATATTATTTAAATTATTCTTCTAGATTGCAAACTTTACATATATATATTCTTTTTGCTCCATAAATGTAAAATTTTACATTCAAAAATAGTACTTGATCTATGTAAATGTTTGTTTTATAAGAAGTTTTTTTATATCATTCTAAAATGATACTTAATATCTTTAAATTTACATACATTTACGGCACTTGAGCAGTCTTTTCGAAGGATGCTAAATGTTATAGATTTTCAATTTTCTAATAATCTTAAAACCTGTATCTATATTAAAGAAACTCTTATGCATTGCATAGCTTTTACTTAAGAACAAAGTATCAAGATGCATTAAAAAGCAATTTTATATAAACTACGACTTTCAATGATTTGTTTGGTATAATGCGTACAAGCACTTAAGAACTAGTTTAGTATCACTATTTAAAAGTAGGAATGCATGACAAATTATCATACAGAGCTCTTCATTGAATGAGATTCGATATTTTTAGTGGATGGTTGTTAGTCTTTCTTCCATCTTTCTACTCTACTATTTTGTTCAAAAAATGATATTACGTCGATCGTTTCCCATATCCAGTATTACATAAAAGCACAACTGGAAATCAAATTCATTCAGTTTAAAATATCAAGCAGGTTCGTTAATCTTATTTCTCGAAAACTAATGAGATAATTAGTAACCAACAGTAATAGTTATACTATCATGTATATAACTATTAATTTCATGCCATGTTTAAGTATACAATTATAACCGAAACATAAATAGACACTTCTATATTGAGAATGCTTCAAATTGAATCAAAGCTTTAAGGAAGATCTAGTGTACATATTCGTTATAAAGAATATCTCAATATGTAGTTTATAAATTTCATCTAATAAATAATCATTTTATCATAAAAAACAATGTTGGTTTTAATTCAATGCTAGAATTAAATTTCAGATCTTCGACTTCTCGAGGAAAACTAAGAAATTATCAGTGGGTTCGTGAATTCGTTAAATAGCGAACGGATTACGACGAAAGTAACTATAATCGTGCTGTTTGAGGGAAGCAATTGTTCGATTAATAAGGAAAACAACGCGAGCATTTCGACGTTACGTTATTTTGGTCGATAAGTCTGAACGATATCGAAGTTCGGGACGACAGTTTGAGTTTTCCTTACCGATCAACCGAGATCGTGCGTAGGAGATTGATCATTCCGCACGCGGTGAGTTTGACCGTTAAAGTATCATGCATTCGCAGCACTGCTGCGTGAAGTATATACAATCCACGACACAGGAGTCGTCGTTGGGTTGAGTGACCGACTTTTTCGTTTCCGAATCGATTCCGTTCCTTTCGATTTTCGGTCGCGGCTCGGGTACCGGTAGAACGGTCTGCGCGATCGGCACTGCATTTTCGATCGTCTCCGTGTCGGTGGTACCACTGTTTAAAAGTTTGCTCATCACCGGAATAGTAGGTGCGGTCGGTGTGATTTTACCAGAACGAGCATCATCTGTTACGTCGTAGTCTACCAGTGGCACAGAGGTCTGCAACGGCGATGGAGATTCACTGGTCATTATGACACTGAAAAAACAAAATGGCAAATTTCATTTCAATATTTACTTACTATTCGCTACGATCCACAGTGAGCCAGATTCGAAATTTAACGGTTCGTTAAATTCACAAAATCAAATAGGTTATGCAGATATTGATATTCAAAATCTAATCAATCACGCGACCGAGAGATTATTTAAATATTTAAAAGATTTTTCAAACAGAAAAAAAATATTTGAATTAACACGAATAAAAAAATAATTTATATATTTTCGTTCTTAATAAACAATGAATTGAAAGTCTGAACAGCTAAAATTCAATTTTGGCCCATCGTTCGATCTAGAAACAACAACTTTTAATGCAACTTTTACAGATGAACGATGCTGTTTGACGAATAGTAATTATTTCTCAGTGACCTTTTTATTGTTTATGAATTCAGCAATTCAGTTGTTCCGGTGAAATCGTATATTTATATCGTATTTAAAAATTGTTCGCAAAATAAAATGTGATTTTTTAAAAACAGGTACCGTTTGTCTTGAAAAGTGATACTTCTTTAACGAACATAGGAGGGTACAAGTCAAGACCGGTGCCATTTACGCTGGTAACGTTCTACTAAAAAGCTTAAAAATGCAGCAGTAGTAATAGCTTCTATAAGTTAAATTCAAGCTACAAGTCGGTCCGTTGATCTGGTCAACTGCTGTTCTGTTATTCAGGCTCGTCACGCAGTTGACCCTGGTCTCTTTACTATTCAACTCAAGTTAGTCTTACCCGTGCCTTCGTCGTAATGGACTTAAAAAAAATTATAATGTTTAAAGTACGTTAGGTTTTTATATCCTTTCAACCGAATCGTGTCAAACGCCTTGCAATTTGCTGTTCGTAGCTGTCTCGCGGTAGTACAATCATTACCGTGCAAAGGGTGAGTTGATGTAGGTCACTGTTGTCTAGTTACTCGGAACATATATAACAAAATAAAGAACGCAAAGTACATATTAACAAATATTTACTATTTAATTCGCCGACAACGAAAGTTTCGACACGTGTTCTTTGGATTACGACGGTTTGTAACCGAATACGTTTTCGTTGGAATTCTTTCGAAGAACGTTACACGCGTTCTCACTCTCTCCTTCTCTCTCTTTCCTTCTAAGTTCTCGGTAGAAAGTGTTAGGAAGAAGACATACCACCTAGCTTTCATACAAGGTTGCATTCTACTCATTTCTTCCGACGTCAGAGTGGAATAAAATGATATTTGCTTCGCCATTTCTTGGGGATTGCGGTTTTAATCGTTTTCGAGCGATTATAATCGTGTCATCGTATTAAATTCGCTGGCTCGAGATACGTCTTTCGAATCGTCTATCCTTTTCCATCGGAGCTGCGAATCGTACACCGCCTTCGTCCTGTTTCGTTCGAAGTTCACACATCACTGATCACAGATTTTTGCATTTTGCGTTTTGATACATCGCGCGGGCAAAAGAAGATTGAGCGTTTGTCTCTGGCGATATTTCGCTCGACAAACAATCGATACTTTAAATGTTTATCACCAATTGTCTAAATTTAGACGTCGCCGTTAAATGCGCGCATAAAAACATATTCACCCGGGAAAACCTTTCATGAAAAAGAAAAAAGATTCGCGTTAGTTACTGATACGATAAAGAAAGAAAAAAAAGAACGCTTCTACAAAACAAGCGAATGGAACATAACGATACCTGCAATCTTTGAGCTGATCAAGACCAATAACGCGATAACAATTACTATCGATTAAAATACATGCATTGTTCATTGAAATCTACTTGATTGTGTGAAATTCTAAGTGCGAGCATGCGTTCCATGTATCCGCGTATCGAAGGTACAGACTAAAATCATGGTATACCTACAATTGCATGCAATACAAGGTTCAAGTGTCGATAACAAAAAATTAATGCCAGGTTATAAAGTCTCGTTGAAAAAAAAATCAGTACACACGTGATTCTTTAATTTATGCTTGATGGAACTTTGTATCCGTATATGTATATTTATGAGCGTTGCAATAAAAACCGATTACATCAGAATAAAACACCAGATGAAGCTGCGATGATAATTTTTAACAAAATTAAAAATTGTGTCCCTTGTGCGCATAACATTTGTCAAAACTTTGAAATTGTTGTTTTCGTAAGGAACAAACGCTTTATCACTGTGTAAATTATTACTCGTCGCAACGTAAGTAGCGTGCAAATGATCAGCAGGAATAATGAAATACGTACTATCAAACTTTAGTTCTACTTGCATTGACTTAATAACGGCTAGCCACCTCAAGATTTTAATAGTCATTGTACAATAATTATAATAATAATTATCTGCAAACTCAGTGTTTTAAATTAATTTAGAATTAATAATTAATTCATTTCCAACAAATTAAGAATTGTAAATAAAATAATAAAAGTGAAAGATTTTAGCAATTTTCAACAATATTCAATAACAAGTAAATTAACAATTTTGTCATTCGACAACTATGCGTACCATTTACGTAAAGTTTATTGTCGCGTGTTAAATTATTTATTTATGTGATCACTTGTCACTGGCAACGTTCGTATTACAAAAATTGACGAAAATCGATGTATCGTTTTTTTAATATGTCAAATCGAAATGTATCTTCGCAGAGAAACAAACCACCAGAAGCTTGTGCAACGGTCGGCAATCGCCGTTCAACTGCTCGACATAACTCCTAAAACTACACTCCCAACTCGCGTGTACAGTTTTCACGTGGTCGTAGGGGCGGATCCACAGGGAAAGTCGCCCCCTCTTTTAAAGTAAAATCGATCCGTACATGAAAACTCCATAAAATTCTTTGAATATTATCGTCTAGTCCACTGATTCTTAACCTATGGTCCGTGGGCCCTACAGTGATCCTAGTTACAATAGATATCTGAGAGCCCACGAGCTTGCACATAGAAATTTTTAATATTTATTTTCTATTAATTCGTAATTAAACATTATTTAATATTTAAGAACATCATTCTAAGAAACATTACATAGAAAGAACCACTGGTCTAGTCATAATGCAAAACATTAAACAACTATCATAAACGATAAACAATCAAAGCAAAATATAAAACTTCGTAAACGATTCATCACCACGGAAACTCATACATAAAAAAATCATAGCACAACAGATTCATAATTGAAAAACTATTACAACACGGTGGGATAATTTGTTTACTAAAATTTCTATTTATAAAGATTATACAAGCAAAGAAAAAAAGTTCAGGAAATATTACTTGACTCAGGAAAAGCTACTGACGATAATATGTATTTTATCGACTATTTTTTGTGCAAATATTTGTACCTACATCATCTGTATTTAGATCTACATCTTATTTGAGAAATCGATACGCGATATGGCACAACAATATCTGTTAAGTAAAAGGATCTTATTGGGGGCAACTTAAAAAGAACGTTCATCGAATGAAAGTTTCACAAAACCGCAGGCGGGATCAGTATCACTTTTCAGAAATTGCATAAGCGAAAAATCTATTACCGGCATCGTAAATAATAAGGATTTATCTACGAATTCTGTGAATCCAAAGATGCGTACAAGGACCCGTGGTCGTGTCATGGCGAAACCGGTTTTTTTTATAGCAATACATGTTTGTATACTAGGGCCACACACAGTTACTCTTTGAACGAAATATTCCAAAGTCGAATCGCAGCGTGTGTATTATACATTTAATACAGTGCAAATGAATTGTTAGCGCGCTAGAAAGCACGTAGTGCAATTAAATACTTCGCGATCGGTCCAGTGAATTTTCGTTATTGTAATTGAAAGCCACTTATCTCGTTGCTACAACGAAGGACATTTCACTTACTCGGTTAGTTTTATCATCGAGCTACTAATTGGGTACCAAATGCATACTCTTCACTCTTTACTAAAATTACCACTCGAACATTGTCGCACATTCTCTAAAGAAAAAAAAAAAAAAAATAGCAAGACAAGAATAAAAGTTATATATAAAAGAAAAGTTATCGTGAGACATATTCGCGATAAAAACGTCAGAATTCGTAAATGTTTCGGCAACTGAATTAAATCAGCAACGGTCGAGAGTACGAGTAACGAGAGAATTGAAATTCGCCGCGAAGAAGACAGGGGTGGGAAAAGAATGCTTAACCTCGAAATCTGCCAAATCGCCTTACTGAACTTACTCGTAGGAGCCACGCTGTGGCAATGGATTCTTAAAACGCATTATTCCGCGATCGACCAAGTAATTGTTAAAACGAACACCCTCGATTACGCTTGTTTATATTCACGAACGACTGAATACGAAATGAAAATTAGACAGCATCCCAACTCGAACGAACGACGGGCACGCAGCGCACGAAAGACTGGCAGGAGACAAGCATAGCGTATACCAAAGGGGGAGCAGGTGAGGAGAGACGAAGCTTGCCGGTCGAACAGCGGTCACCGATCAAATGATATGGTAACAAATATCTTTAGTAATTTAACAATCAACATTACTCTTCATAGCAATCTTTCAATGTTGTACGACAACGTTGTACTATCAATGATAATAAATTGTCAAATTTCGTAATATCGAATTTTATCATACTATATACGAAAACGTTGATCATTCCCAAAAACATGCTCTAAACTTTCGAGATTTTATAAAGTTATTATCAAGAAAGAATTATAAAAGAAGTTAATGCATCGTACTGCACGCATAAGGAACAGACAATAAAGCAAAGTCATTATGCAATAGAACCATAATAGCTTTATTAAACAAAGTTGTCCAGCATAGGGTATTAAAGTGTACGTAAGATACGGGCACGGTTTGTTTCGTCAAGTTCATGCACCTTTAAAATAAAAATAGTTATAGCAATATTTTTCTTGTAAATAATAAAATTGGTTTTTTTCTCGCTAAATGTTCCATGTTTTCTGCAAATTAGTTATTAACGATATTAATCAAGTATTGCCAAAAAGATTCGCTACTAATGAAATTTAATGGTGAAAACTATTTGCTTTACAATATGAATGCATATTAGCCTTAACCAATGCACCCTTCTTCTTGTTGCCGTACAACCTTCCCATTGCTTAATATATTGAGGACCGGATGTATTTTTACCACCACCACTGCACTCTGTTTTCTCTCAGTATATGTGGTTATGAAATTTCCCATTAGCAATTGATAACAGTTTCTATAAAATATACAATAAAATGTCACGATACAACGTGATAACTATATTTATACTTAGTCTATTTTCATCTGAGCTAGTAAATATTTGCTATCCGAGGTTATCGAAAACGTTATAATATTTTTAACAATTTTTCAAATTAGCACTTCGAAGTCCAGCAACTTACTAATAGTATTAGTGAAAATTACGCTCATAATGTTCGTCAAACTTAAAAGTAAATACAGCTTGTTATCTAACAATAAGCTATTGGTATGTTCCTCTATTGTATCGTATGTATTATTATTTCACTACTATCTGATATTTTCATTACAATTTTTGAATAAAGCTCTAATCGACATATGTTTACATAATATTTCTTTCTTATTTAAATCCAAAGAATACGCTGACAAAATTTGACCATTTGAATTTGGAACATCCTGTATACAGGGGGTTGGGCCACCCCTAGGAAAAATTTTAATGGGGGATTCTAGAGGCCAAAATAAGACGAAAATCAAGAATACCAGTTTGTTGATGGAGGCTTTGTTAAAAAATCATTAACGTTTAAAGTTTCGCCCGTACTGAATATTTTTCTCGAAAATGCGCAGGATTTCGGGGGTATGTCTATTCACCAAAAATGATTGTAATTGACCCCCGCACCGAAAATAACTTTTCCAGAACGATTTGAAATTTTTGAATTTAATTGTTAATAACTTTTTAACGAAGCCTCCATCAACAAATTGGTATTCTTGATTTTCGTCTTATTTTGGCCTCTAGAATCCCCCATTAAAATTTTTCCCAGGGGTGGCTGAACACCCTGTATAGCTAAATGAATTCTATAAGCAAACAATGGTAATTTAAATAATACGATGTATCAGAAGAAAATGTGACAAATAGCTCAATGTTTATACAAGCAGACAATAATTGGGTTAACTTCTCGTTTATTTGTAAATACGGTATCGTTACGCGTAATGTCATCGTTTTTATGGGTGGTATTTAGACTTCATCGAAGCACACGCTCTTCTTAGTTTGACTCACTCCATCCTTTAATACACACATAACCCACCTAACATGAAACCGGTTTTAAAGCAGTATGGGCACAGAACAAAAAATAAAACCTTCCGTGCCAATGCTTTCCGAAAAGTCTTCCTACATAAATTACAAATAGCATTTAGAACATTTGTAAACTTATTTAACAATTATAGAAGTTTAAATATTTATTACCATTTATTGGATACAATTTTTTAAATAATTAATTTATCTTTTGAGTATCAGTTTGGAATAAAAACTTTCACGATATAATTTAAAAAAAAAATGCCATACATAAAATGATATATGAGACATCAATGGATCCTGAAACTGAATTTCCTGAAAATGTAAATATTTACAAACGAAATATTCATACACCACTTGCATCATTTTCATAATCATCGGCATATACATATAGTCAAGTACATTTGGAAAATTACAAGTGCCTTTTTTCAAGATTTTTCATGTTTTTTTAATGAATTTTTATTAACCAAAGTCTATAAATAAGAATATATTCAAGGATATGCGAAACTAATCAACACGATAGACATAATTTATTGTAAATACAATGATTTTCGACGCAGTGTCGTACAATTAATATTCGGCAGCTATTTTCATACATCGTGTAGAAGAAAGATGACGAAATAAAATTAATGCTTGTAATATAAAATGTTATTCCAGAATGTCATACTTACTCAGCGCAGGTACATATTCATTACGTTTACCTTCAAAGATGAGATATTGAATTACATACTTCTTTACCTTCATGGAAGTTACATGATACCTCAAAGTGTCTGACACAAGATATTAAAATTCAATAGAGCGCGATAATGCCAAACACTGATCTGCACGTAGATTTTAGTAACTTGCTTTAGCGATCCATCGCTAGAAATCGTAAAACTGATAAATTTCAAAGAAATATATTTCTATCTTTCGATTATTTCCAAGGTATCGTAAAACGACCTGCTAACGCTGATACTTGTCGCGATCCAAGTTTCGATACAAGCAATGGGTTTAAGCTGTCGGCAGACCACGTAGACAGTAACACTAGCGATGGGTCTAAGCGAATAACTCATTCGACGTTGAGTTGTTACGCTATTTTCTAACATTATGAGAACTATAGACTTAAACTCATTATTAAAACAACAATGTATGTATTAGCGTGTCGGCATTCGTTTCGAAGAATTCATTAGCATTCATAGGTTACACGAATGCTTGTCGAATGACGAAATATCTGCGTATTCAAACAAAAATGCGCGGAATGTTTTCCCTGCACTTTACGACAAGTTCTTGTAATTCCGCATATTTTTGTTTGAACACGCAGGTATTTTATTCTGTATACTCGAGCTACAATCGCGAAGTTTCGATGAATTTGTAATGATACATTGTTGTTTTAGCAATGGATTTCAGGATATAGCTCACATAATGTTGGAAAATAGAGTGACAATTCAACGTCGAATGAGTTATTAGCTTAGATCCATTACTAGCGTCACTGTTTGCATGGCCTGTCAAGAACTTAAACCCATTGCTTGTATCGAAACTTGGATCGCAATAAGTATCAGCGTCAGTAGGCCGCAGAACACGTCTTTTATATGATCAAAAGTTGAAATGATAATAGATAATGTATTAAAAATTTTTTTGTTCATTTAATGTTTCCAATTATTAACGATAGTTTATTATTTCTTATAAGAAGTACGATAACGTAAATCGATTTTTAAAATTGATCAATTTTTAAGGATTTATGACATACCTGTTGGATGTGCCGGGAATTTCTTCTGTGTAAACATCAGCCCGCGTGGTAATCATCCCGTTCCTCATCGTGTCTTGGCTGTCACATGACAAAAAAGGAAGCTGTGTCAACAACGGCAGCCGATGATCCTGAATGTTAGACTGACGTCTTCGGAATTTCTCATTACATTCTTCTCGCGGCAACCTCCTCCTTGTTTCCTCTTATTAGATTATGCATATTGTCTCTTACTGCATGCTCGCCATTCAAGGTTTTTACATGCGTTCATTATCATCTTTCGACCTTACAGTCTTCAGTTTCTACTAGTATAACGTTTAGTAGAACTTTCCATTTTGTTCGATTCTATTTCATTGGAACACATAGTTCGAAATGTCAAGCCACGCGTACGAATGATGCAAACGATTATAACAAGTTTCTTCACATGAACTGAGTATGTACATCTATTTAATCACTTGCACAAATAGTTCAAAACGAAAGAAGAAATTAACTTAATACATTGTTTGAGCAAGAGAAATAAATAAGAAATAAATTAATAGCGTGTTTTGTAACGAAATCTGCAAAATGAGGAATGTGTTTTTAATTATACCCCACGCGTTAATGCACAAGGATAATAATGTGTGGAAGAAATCTAAACCCTCCTTGCTCTTCGATGGTTCATGAGCAACTGCTGACCAGTTAATGACAAGCGTCACTCCACGGAACTCACATTATGTGAGTCACATAATGAGTTGCAACAACGTCTTTTGAACTCGCCACAAGAGGGCTATGAACTCAGTCACTTCTCGCAAGTTCTTCAATAATAATTAATATGATACTTTTAAACATCAGAATATTTCACAAAATACATGTTAACGAATTAATGGCAAACTCTGTACGATTTATTCACAAAACTAGTCGACAGATCATGGACGAAATCAAAAATTTCTTTTTTTCTTCTCTGCATCAAACATAATTTTTAATCGCTACAGAACAAAATCACGGCTGACCTCTTTTGTATCATACATGAAATTATCTAAATGTTAATAAACGATACTTCCATTTCTGTCTCGAGAAACCAATTTAAAAAATAAATCTTAAAAGAAGAATTATCGAGAAACTAATGCACAAAATTCGAAATTCGTGTACTATACGTATATTTCCTGCAAAGAAATGTCGTTTTATAAATGAACCTTTCATGAAAATGAACATGTATTAAAGTAAGAGAGTATATTTTAGATTCATTACCTTTAATATATTCTTGTTTAGGACATATAAATGTTAAAAGGTTTATGGTTTTAAGTAATGTTTCATTTTAAACATAGAAAATCAATTAGTATTATATTTTACATTTTTTTGCGAATGTTACAAAGTATATGTATACAAGAACGTTATTTTTATCACTTGCTGCGCATGCGTTAAGAATTTCACGATACCTTCGTTCTTTCTTGTAATTGTGTCGTTTGTGGCATAGGAGCCGCTTTCATTTGCGTCTTTTGATTGGATTTAAGTTTTGCAAGTTACATTCTATCTCGCGGTTTTTTTTATGTTCAAGTAATTATTAGTAATAGTACAGCGTCGTAGTAAAAGAAGAGTGAAACTGAAGAGAGGTTGAATATGGGTCGCTACAGGAGGTAAGCCATGTATGATATGGATGCGCGAGGGTATATGTATCAATATGTCCAAAGTGCTCAGTATTACAACCATATATACATATATAGAAGAAATTCTATCAAATTACCATTGTCTGTAATAAAATACAAAAAATCATATACGGATAAAAAGTTATTAGAAAATATGATTTTAAGAGACTTTTGCCAATTTCTCAATAACTCATTTCAACATAACCTTCCACACTTCCTTGATTTAAGCTCAATCAGATTTTTGTATATCATTTCACGAAATAGTAAAAGTAATGTAAATAATAAATGTTTTTCAGATCTGATTTAGAAACAGAACTATAATTTTGTATCATTGGTGTATTTAATTCAAATTGTCGTAGACTTCGTGAATATTTAATAGCAATATGTACGATCAGAATGAAAGAACGAAACTACTTCTGATATTATGGAAAGAAATGGGTACATTCCTAGCAAACGGCCCGTTCAACGATCGGGGTGAGTTATACGTCATTCGATTCGTCTAATTCAGTACATTATTAATATGCATTTCATTATCTGCGGAAATTCGTTATTTTTTTATAAACTGCTTGTAAAGTTACAGTAAAAAAGTAAGGTTAAATACATTTTTTGGCAGGTGCACAGGTAGAAACAAGTGACTATCGCTGCTATATTCATGTTATAAATTATAAATGATTAATCTAATTTGATAATGCTACATTATCAAATGGGAATTTGTAGAACGTGTATGCATAAAAATCATTTTTTTACGCATAGACTTTGCATGAGTTGGTCAGGTACACAGTATGTGCCGCAACAATTAACCCCCCCCATATAACCCAGATCTACTCAGACAGTACTTATAGGTAGACAGTACATGCAGCAACAGTAAAAAATGTTGCCACTCTCCTCTAACAGTGTTTACGGGTAGACAATATAATAAATTACTATTGTATGCAGTGCATTGGTTTAACTTTTTTTTTATTATTAAATTTCATTATCATCTTCGTCTGGTATATTTTGATTTTCTACAGAATCAAATGAAATTTCTGAAATTTCTTTTAATAACTGATTAAATAAATCATCCTTTCCTTGTTTGGAAGATTTATAAAATACATAATGGCTTAAGTACCCAATGAAATTATCTTTTTTGCTGAAAATAGAAAATATTTATGGTATTATATGTTACAAAAAGTATTAAAAAACGTTTGAAATTGCAAATACTTACCGACAATATTCAGGCAAAAAGTGTTTACTATGCCTCCACGTAGTTTCTATTGTTTTCCTACGAGCACCTGTTTCTAAGTCTTTAAAATGTAAACTATGGTTTACGGTGAGATGTTTATACCCTTCTTTTTCCAAAATGTTGTAGGCTTTCCAACAATCTGAGATAATTGTAGTTCCAGGCAACACCCACTGTTTGATTATTGGAAGAAGGGACTCTATATCCCTACTTTCAATAGGGACCAGGAATATTTTTCCACTTTCCCTTTCTATTCCTCCGAAAACCCATTGTCCTTCCACACGATGACCTCTATGATATTTTCTTCTGCCGAATTTAGACTTGTGTATTTCTACCACTTTGCCTGGTCCGCCAAGTATTTCACATGAGTTTTGTAGCCAATCAGCCATCACTTGCTTCACAAAATAGTTCCATTGAAAAACAGTGTTTTTATTTAATTGTAATTCTCGTATGATACGATATTGTTCAAAATTATGGACTAACATGTAAGTTAATTTTAGTACTATTTTGTAAGCAAGTTTTATTTTTGAAAACCATGTTCCACGCTTTATAGATATTTTTATATCACAGATTCGCTTTCTTTTACAAGCATGGCAGATGCTGCAATTGTTCTTCTACAGTGCCAATTTTCATTTACCAATTTCATTGCGTTTCCACACTGTGGACAATTAAAATTTTTGACAATTAACTTTTTGTCTTTCAAAAATTTTAATAAGGCTTCTTTATTTTTACAAATTTCGTGCAATTTAAATTAGGTCCATACTTCTGGAACTACTAATTCACTCATTTTTATAGCACAGTTGAACAAAATTCACAAAGTACAAGAAACAGAAGAAAATCAGGAGTGACAGTTGAAACAAATTACTGAAACAATTTCTGCTTTTCTTCTGTTTCTTGTACTATCTGCGATGTGGAAATGTTATGAAAATGGTATATGCAAATTGGCAATGCAGGATAACTATTCCAGAATCTGTTAATCTAACTAAACGTAAAAGACGTTATAATATACAGATATTTGCAAAGCAAAGAACATGGTTTTCTAAAAACAAACTCAGCTACAGATGTTTTAAAATTAACATATATGCTAACATATAATTATGAGCAATGTCATATTATTATATAACTAAAATTAAATAAAAATACTGCACAGCAATTGGAAAGGTAGAGTAGATTGTTGAGATTGATGAATCAACATTTTGTCGTAGAAAATATCACAGAGGCCATTTGAAAATTAATCACAGCGTCAATTTTGAAGATTCCATTACTGATGCTTACACGAATTAAATTGAAACCACTTGGAGGCATGCTCCACATATAATACTACCAATATTCTATATTTTCAAGAAGAGTAACTTCATTGGATACCTGAGCTATTATGTATTTAGTAAATGAACATAGTAGGAAAGTGATGATTTATTTAATGAAATATTAGCAAAAATAGCAAAAAGGACACCCCACAGATCTTATGGAAAATGGCCCCTGGTTAAATTAGCTGAACTTTTGATATGATGTAGTTCATTATATCTTCATGAAAAGTTACAATGAGCCCAAGCTCGTAAATTTAACAGTTTTCGAGATACGGGGGATCACAAGTCAATAATAGCGCGCCTTATTCTAGACTACCACGTTTGAGCATATTTGAGTGTAAGAAGCACTGTTGTACACTGTCCATTTATTTGACCCCTTGAAACTCAGTAGTTGTACTGTGGGCCCTTAAATATTACCCCTTGACCCCCTGACCCTCTGACTTCCATTCAGGAGTCAAAATAAAAAAACGCCAAAAAGGTAAAAAATGGTTCTCTTTTTCATTGTACAAACATGAAGCACCGTCGTCATTAGCATTACCCAGTGTGCACCACAAGTAGGTTGCCCGATCGGATTTTGCACACCATGTGGCCCTGAAGAGGGCCGTTTTTATAGTTCTCTCTATTCGACCATAAGAATCTCAACATTCATATTGCCTTGATGTCCTCTATTAGTGGCATCTCTGATCGCATTTAGAAGATTGCCGAATATTTGGCATGCCTTTGATGACGAGCAAATCCTAAAAACCTTAAAACACTTGCAATATGTGCGCCTGTACCCAATGTTTTGGCACTGGATTGACAGATGCAGTAGGAACCATTTATTACTTCCTCTTCTAGTTCCAGTTCTTTTTTGGGAATTTGAGAAATAAGAACTTGATGTTTGGTACGATTCCGAAATCGTGAATAAACTTTTTGTTTTCTAAGGCTGTTATCTACCAACGAAGTGTCAATCTGTAATTCATCGTCATCATCTTTTTATAGCCGAGGGTTAGAGGTTCAAGGGGTAATATTTAAGGGCCCACAGTGCTACTATTGAGTTTTAAGGGGTTAAATAAATGGACAGTGTACAACAGTGCTTCTTACACTCAAATATGCTCAAACGTGGTAGTCTAGAATAAGGCGCACCATTATTGACTTTTGATCTCTCGTATTTCGAAAACTGTAACGACAGTCACTTGTTTCCACCTGTAAACCTGTCAAAATACAATTAATCTTATTTTTTTACTGTAACTTTACGACAAGTTTATAAAAAAATAACAAATTTCCGCAGATAATGAAATGCATATCAATAATGTACTGAATTAGACGAATCGAAGGACGTATAACTCACCCCGATCGTTGAACGGGTCGTTTGCTAGAAATGTACCAAGAAATGTATTGTACTATCACAATAAAATATAGATTTATATAGAAATAATTATATTGTGGTATAATTTATTTTAGTCGTAGTCGTGATAGAGATAGGAGACGTAGATCTCGCTCTAGATCTCGTAGCAGATCGCCAAGAGAAAGAAGAAGTTGGGGAGGTAGCGGGGGTCGGGATCGAGGCGGTGGCAGGAATAGTCGTGGACAACCTGGAGCAAATTTAAGAAAGCCTCGGTGGGATCTAAGTCGATTAGAGCCTTTTAAAAAAGATTTTTATGTACCGCATGAAGCTGTTCAAAATCGAGATCCACGTATAGTCGAACAATATAGAAGTGAAAAAGAAATTACTCTGAAAGGAAAAAATATACCTAATCCTGTATTTACATTTGAAGAAACAGGGTTTCCTGACTATGTTCTTAAGGAAATTAAGTAAGTATTTTTCAAGTAATAAACTCCTTTGTGTTTAAAGTGCATTAAATGTACCAATTATAAAGTCCATTTACTTTACAACAATGATGTCAGAATTTATTTTTAAACCCAGAACAAGTATCCAGTATGTGATGATACTATACATAATCAAGAATAATGTCACAACTTAAAATTTGCTTATTCTGGAAAACTAAACTTCCACTAATCAAGTAAGAATGGAATTAAAATTGAGCTCACATTCTTAATGTTGTTTAACATAGAATATTACATGTTGTTTCACATGTAAACTAAGAGAAATACAAAGTTTAAAGAGAAATTAGTTTAGACAATTTAATTATACTGTTTTGATGTACACTACTGATTCTTCTTTCTTATTTCTTTCTTTTTTAAATTCATATGAAAAAATTGTAGAATTCTGTTACCTTTCAATGTTAAATGCAAAACATGGACTTTTACATGTTACTTTTTACTTAAGTTGTTTGCAAAATAATAAAGGGCAAATTACTATAAATATTCAAATCAAAATAATAAATCAAAAGATGTGGACTATTTGGTCTAATATATTTTTAAAAGACTACAGGTAACACTCGAGTTACGCGGTTAATTGGTTCCGCGTAAGTCGAGTCTCAGAATTAGTCTCTGAAATATTCTGAAATATATACAAACTATTGTGAAATACATATCTTTTTTATTTTTAAATAAAATTGCTCCAAAACCGCATAACTCGAGCATTGCCGCAATTCTTTTCCGTGTAATTCGAGGGATACCTGTATTACTATTCAATAATAGTTTAATTAACCTCACTTTTAATTAGTACAATTTAAAATCAAATAACAATGTTGTTTGTCATTTTCAGACGACAAGGTTTTACAGAACCTACATCAATACAGGCACAAGGTTGGCCAATTGCTTTAAGTGGAAGGGATATGGTTGGAATTGCATCAACTGGTTCTGGAAAAACATTGTCTTATATATTGCCTGCAATTGTTCACATTAATAGTCAACCTAAATTAGGTAGAAAAGATGGACCTATTGCATTAGTATTAGCTCCTACTCGAGAGCTTGCACAACAAATTCAGCAAGTTGCTGATGATTTTGGTCATTCATCAGGCATTAGAAACACTTGCCTGTATGGTGGAGCACCAAAAGGTGCACAAGCCAGAGATTTAGATGGTGGTGTTGAGATAGTTATAGCTACACCCGGTAGATTATTAGATTTTCTTGAATCAGGCCGTACAAATTTAAAAAGGTGTACCTATTTGGTACTAGATGAAGCAGACAGAATGTTAGATATGGGGTTTGAACCTCAAATTAGAAAAATTATTGAGCAAATTAGGCCAGATAGGCAGACATTAATGTGGTCTGCCACATGGCCTAAAGAAGTAAAAAATTTAGCCGAAGATTTTTTAAAGGATTATGCTCAAATTAATGTTGGATCTTTACAATTAGCGGCAAATCATAATATATTACAAATCATCGATGTATGCCAAGATTATGAGAAAGAAAACAAGTAAGTAAATAAGTTTTGTTTAGTACATCGTCCCGCCCCGACCAAATATTTTCGGGATCCCGCACACCCCTGCTTATCACATTACTAATTAATTTTTATTTGTACTTATAGATTAAGTACACTTCTAAAAGAAATAATGGCAGAAAGTGAAAACAAAACAATAGTATTTATCGAAACAAAACGCAGAGTAGATGAAATAACTAGAAAAATGAAGAGAGATGGTTGGCCAGCTGTTTGTATACACGGTGACAAGACACAGCAAGAAAGGGATTGGGTTTTACAAGGTAAATATTTGAGGTTATGAATCGATCTTTAATTTAACGATTTGTTATGTTTGCCAATCGAAAGGTAATATTAATTTTTAGATTTTAGATCAGGAAAAGCGCCAATTCTTGTTGCAACAGATGTAGCTGCTCGTGGTCTTGGTAAGTAAGAGACTGTAACTATAACCTAATAAAATTATAAGACTAAGCATCACTGATCATTTTCCTCTGGTATGGAAAATGAACCACTCTAAATCACATTATTTCTACAAATCTTATTTGAGCTTCATAATTACTGCTATATACAAGACATCTTGTTCTGTCAAAATATATGATTATGATAATAGTAACCGAAATGGATTGTATTATAATAATATAATTTAAATAATTATTTATCAACCAAAACGCATATTTCAATTAGTAACTAACCTATACTGTTTTTTACAACGTTAGTACATACTTAGTAATGGATTGTTCTTGCATAATATTTATACAAATAATTCAAGCATATATTTAGTCAGAACAGGATTTCATTGTGTATACACTGATCTAGACTTGGACCACTTTATGTGCCAAAAGGGTATAGATAATTAATTTAGAGGAAGTAAACAGATAACCTATATATATATATATATGTCATACGAATATAACATTAAGAACTGTCTACTTTTTAATGTTTCTGATATCTCAAAATATTTCTACTGAATAGCGGCAGTTCGTTAAAGATTGCATTCAGGTATAACACAAACATATAATAAAGTAGTTTCTTTAGTCTTAAATGATACAATTCAGAGCCTTAATGTTAATCAAAGTGTCATTGTTGTAAAAATTTGTTTTGAAAAAGTAAACAATTCTTGTACTACACAGTTTTCTAAATGCATAACGTGGTTCATTCAGCATTTCTAATATTTGTGTTTATTTGCTTCCTCACATTTTACTAAAGGTATTAGTTTTTAAACAATACGTTAAAATAAAACTCATAAAAATGAATTTAATCTTGTATAACGTGTGATCGGCAAGCATTATAGCTATCAATGTGATAAAATTACAAAATAGTTTATCTGTTTAAATAAAACTGTAAATTGAATCTAAAAGTCACGAAGAGTTCCAATGATAACATCAGGCGTTATTTATTTATTTATTTTTTTCTCTTCATTTTTTTAAATCAAAGAAGCAAATGATTCATAATTACAATCGTAAAAGTTCTAATGTAAGCATTAACTCGACTGGTTAAATGTTATGCGCTTGCCGAAACTTATAAGATAAACGAAAGTTTTTTAAACGTATTTTTTCCTATGAACTCAACCATACGAGGTTTCCAGAAATCAACTAGACAGTTCAGAAAAGAAAGCAAAAAAAAAAAAAATAAAATAAAAAAAAACTGTAATACAAAAATTCATATTGAACACAGGAGATAACGAGGTAAACATATACCTAACGCGGTTGGATCTTTGTTTGTATTGCAGAGGCACATTGCGCGCAGGCCCACGCCGGGTAATGCAAAGCAAATTGGGGGTGCCCGCCGCCTGTTTGTTCGGTGGTGCACTGGTTTGCATTGTCTGCGCTGGCTGCGACGCGTGCCTCTATACGTCAATTCCGTGAAGGGCCAGTCCGGGCCTAATCGGGGTCTACTTTACCTCCTACATACTGGATATCAGTTCTACGCTACGCTGTACGCCATCTGGGCTGGCCAAGTTGTTGCCAGAATAGAATCCCCTGCGCTGGCCGCTCAAGCTAATCAGACCCAACAACGGTCCAATGAGGCGGTGGCATGGTAGCTGATGCCAGAGCCTCTAGTGTGCCCTGTAGCAACAGAATGGCGGAGGCTGTAGCTGGAGCGAGCGCAAACAGCCAGGCCCTGCCCGTACGTTGCTAGCGACACTCACCCACTGCCTAATTTTAGTATAAAAGTAATCTTAAATTAATTGCTATATATTATATATGTGTATATCTATATATAGCTATATGTACATATACATATATATACATATACTCAGAGTCACTCAGAAAACAGGCACTTTGACCGTATATAACATTATTCTTCGCCGAAATCTAAGATGTTTATTGATTGAGCTAAAATGTTTGTCAGTATTTAATGTCGTGTAATTGTTATTTTAGAACAGCGATTTTCATACAATACAATATAATGATTTTGCACCGTTTTTGTACGGAATTGGCAACCAAATAACCACTGCTCGTTTAATGATACAATGCAGTACATAATTATAGCACCACATCAATTTTTTAATGTTTTAGACTTTTGAGTAGGAATTGAAAAAAATTCGTTATACGTTATTAACATAACTTTTAAAAATTTGTGATGTAATATATTATACTGTTTTCGAGATTTATTTAGGATTTTATCAAGAACATGAATATTTTCTTTAGAACAGGTAGAAGTATTTAACTTGGATAAACAACGGATTTTAGAATCAATTTGTTACCGTAGAAGTTTTAGCTAAATATTTCTTTTTATTAAGAATTGTGCAACATTTTGTTTAATCAAAATACATCTCGGATTTAAACAAAATGTGTATAGTCTGGATGCATTTTTCTAGGTGACTTTGTATATACACTTTTTATATAAACATATATAGCAAGGTGTTTCGTAATATGTGGCAAAGCGGAAGATGCGAGAAATTCCTTAGTCAAGAATAAGTTGATTCTTGATACTGTCGTGCGATCATTATTTATCAACTTTTTGTTGCATGGTAAAATTCTCAAATACATTTTTTAAATTTTATTTCATCATGTATACATAGGGTACATAAATTTGTCAAAAATTTAAGAAGTTGTTGATTAATGGTCACTAAAAATTACCAAGAGTTCTCTTGTTTTTAACTTAAGAATTTTTAACGTTTTGAGCAGGCCATATTTTACGAGACACTGTATGTGTATGTATGTGTATATTTCTATACATGTACACATGTATCACTTTTGTTTCCACTTGAATTTACATTTCCTTTATCCTTTCACATCCTTTATGATAACTGTATCAATACATATTTACACCATACTAACTATTATACCAAGTAAGGTTTTTTGTACAGCAGTCCTGGTTTCATTTTCTTTAAATATTACTCTCTAATCTATTTTTCATTATTTATCAAGAACTGTAACAATTGCTACATTCGATTTGTATCTTCTTAGCGGCAAATTAAACTAATCTTGTTAAAAAGAATGCAAAACATTTTAAAAGGAAATGTATTATTAATGCAATAACATTTTTAGTTAGAAAAGGGATCCAGGATTGTTTTCTATGCAAAAATTTATCTTTATTTCAGAACCTTATACTTTTGTCTAAACGCTCTCTAAAGAAATAGATTCATTTTCCTTTATTTTTAAACATTATGCCTTTAGTACAATATAATTAAAGAGATTTAATTAAAAAGAATGTTAAATTTTTCGCAGACTCTAAATACCTTTTACGTTCATATCTGCTTAAACTATGTATGTTCGTCCAAACACGTTTTTAGTTAGAGTTGTAGATAAATCCTTATAGTGGAATCTTTTGGAGAGCGTATAACACAAACATTTAATTTAGAATACGTGATTGATATTTAATACAATATTTTATATACACTTTGCCATACTACTATTTTAACCAATGTCTGTCCTCGAGACGGATGCTTCCAGAAATTAACAGGTAATGCATATGCTTTATTTCAGACGTTGAAGACGTCAAGTTTGTTATCAATTTTGACTATCCCTCCTGTTCGGAGGATTACGTTCATCGAATTGGTCGAACAGGTCGTCGGCAAAAAACTGGTACAGCATACACCTTTTTTACACCGAATAATTCTAATAAGGCTAATGACCTAATCCAGGTATTAAAAGAAGCGAATCAAGTTATAAACCCAAAATTACTGGAGCTTGCCGATAATAAAGGTGGCGGATATGGGAGGCACAGAGGTACCTACGTATTTTGTTTTATACGCAAAGTCTAATTTATGTAACTCATAACCGAATACCTTGAGCTCGATACGGTAGTATGAATTATTATCAAAAAGGAATCGGATTGCGCGCCGTGTAATCAGGAATCAAATATCTTTAGGCGGAAGAAATCGATGGCGACCCCGAGGTGGTCGCAACGGAAAGGATCGTAGTTACTCAAGAAGCAGAAGCCGAAGTCATAGTAGGGAACACAATGGTCGTGGGAACCGCAGAAGCTACAGTCGAAGTTATTCTCGAAGTCGTAGCCCTGTTAGCAATCGTACAGGTGAGTAACAGTACGTTTGTACTGTTGAGTTGGCTTAAAGTAAGTTGGTTTAAAGTAATATTGGAATATTTAGTAATATAATTTTGTTATATGATCGTTTACATTGATGCCCGTCAAAGGATAACGTGTCTGGTTGTTTGTGATATTTTGCATAAATTAAATTTACTCTTTCAATGTCGTTAATATTACTGGGTTGGAATTTTTTCGACACGAAACTAGAGAAGCGCTATCGCGCCGCGTGTTTTATAAAAAAAACTATGTGTTTGGTTCTAGAGGTTATCGGTAAGAGTTATTGGAGCAGTGAAAGATGATCTTCCAACAGCGGTTAAGGACCAAATTATTATACAAATCATGTCTTTTTTATGTCTCTTTTAAAGTACACTCAATACACGTCATACAAATTGTAATATTGGTGTTCCATTAACGTCAACGTTAAACACGATGAAGTATGTACAATTCTTGTGCATTATAGTTAATTATTTTAACACTAAGATTAAGGGTTTCCAGCGCGAGCATACATTTAATTTCATAAATGTTATTGAATAACAAAATTAGTTGACTACAGCGTTGTGGATCGTAGCGTGTTAATTTCGAGAAATAGTTTACGAATATATTAGTTGATCTATAAAATCAAAAGTATAATTTTTAAACAAGAACTCCTCGATTTAAATGCAAAGTATGCAGTGTTTCGTATCCAATGTTCTGCGATATTTCTACATTCAAAGAATTTTGCTTTAGTTATACTAAGCTTCGATATCATAAATATAGCGTAAGAGTGCCGGATGTTATATTTACATACAGTATCACGTACATATTTTATAATGACATTGCAATGTTCGATAACACGAATTAAGTTCTTCTAAGTGGCCGTGTGAATGTAGTTAGGAGATAAATCACCTAAAATCTACATTAAGTTTAAAAAAAAAATGTCTCGTTATTTGTAGCTTACAGTAACACGTAGACGTCTAGAGTTTACTAGCAATTAATTCGTACACGTATTCAAGCATTTAAAACTAATGGAATAATGTACAGTATTTAACAGAAATGTAATAAATAAATTTATTAACTATTTACAAAATTTGTATATCAATTTTGTGCTTGCCCTTGTATTTTTATCTTCCTCTTGTTTTACTTTTTCGTTATTATTTTACAAAGGCTGTGAAAGTATAAATAACAGTAGTTTACCTACTTATTATCTGTTGGTGTATTTTAATCTTTAAACATATTAATTATTAAGTCACGTATACGATCGTTAAATAATATCAATTCGATTGGTGATGATTTGATTAATTATCGTTATACTCGATTATTAAATGGCATATTGGTCCGAATGTTCTTTAAAATAGTGGCTATTATAATTGAATGTCAAGATACTTCAGATTACTACGAATATCGGAATCATCCAAACATTTCCTACCTACTCAACGTCAAAGTGTTTATCGAAGCACCCCTTTATCAGCTTAGCGTCAAGTGACTGGGATTCCAACCGAATCGAACTTGTATAGAATACTACCAACAATGTTTAACTTTTGCACATAGATGTACGTATTTACACAGTAGTATATAATTTATCTTCAGGGATTATATTGTTTCTTATAATATTAAATAGGCGTGACGTATTAGAGGGACAATGACATTCTTTTTCCCTTCGAAATATTATTGTATAAGATCCATAATTAATCCAAAAAAAATAGGTCGGTGACTAGTTAGGAGACCGCGTAGTGTCTTGAGATTTTATCTGCAATATTTTATAATGCATAAACGATATTCTTTTTTCCTTTTTTGACACTGCCACACCAAGCCTCTCAAACTTTCCACGAAAACGAAACCTTGTTTTCAGATAATTGGAAACTAGCATACCCACGATTTGTTATAGAATTTATTTCTCTCCTGTGTTGATTTATTTTCTAATCTTGTCGATTAATTTTTTTTTTTTAGGTCCTCTGTAAAAAATCATGTCACATGTGGGTGACGTGGGAATGTGTTTCGTTCGAAACGCACTGTTATTTCGTTTACGAGAAAACAAAGAACGCGCATCGTTTCAAGATCGTTCGAGGCTCGGTGCACGTGGTGTCTTTCGTAATTAGCAAGATTGTTTAGCGATACGAATCGAGAGAACATGAAACGAACGCCAATGTCTGGACCGATCCGGAGACCGGAGGCCAGATCCCACGGGGCACCAATCGTAAGAAAAAACTAGCGTTACGATATCCGAGCGAAAAGCAGCAAAGATTTATGAATGAAGTGTAATACAGGTGGATGGGTCGATAGAGCAGCCCCCCGCAGGATCGCACGGCAAGGGCGTAGTAATCGATAGAGTGAGGGTGAGAAGGTATAGAAGCCAGCCAGAGGCAGACGAAGAGCGCCAGAGCCTGTGGAGGGCTGAGTCCATTCAGTAGAAGCGGCAAGGCTGCTATTGATTGCGTGGGTGGTTCAGAGGAGATAAGTTACCCCCACTTCTGGTCATTCAGCAGCCGCACTGCCGTGACACGGGGGTTGGCGGAAGGGAAGGGGCCTTGAAAAACGAGGGGAAAGGGACGAGGTGGAGGGGCGGCAGCCCGATTACTGAAATTCCGTGGGTGGTTAACGAGAGAGGGGGTGGATTCAACCCCTGTCGTCGATTATACACACGAGTGCAGGCACTTTGTTCCAAAATTGATACGTTCAAAACGGTTTTTCGAAAATGTGTCATTAAAATAACCATTTTCGTTTATATCGCGTCATTCGTTACGCGCTACGTAATCGTTGCCAAGATGTTTGCTCGCTTAAAACCACTTCGCAACCGTGGAACGAGATATCTCGCGACGTAGTAACGTTCGTGCTACGCCACGGACGAAACACAGCGGGTCAGAAGATTATTCGCTCGGTCGAGGATGCGAAATAAATTAAATTAAATGACGAGGCAACGAAGGGGTTTTCTCTTTTTAAATTCTTTTCTTCGGAAATATTCAATTCACAATTCATTGTAATTGCAGTAAAATGAATTGCAACGACTAAAATAAATCTACGAATTTCGATAGATATTTGTTCGCGATTGTTACTTAATCGAGGAAGGTGGGTGGACTCGGACCCGTGTTTTGTCTTTGTTATCGGACGATTCACACGTTTATATCAACGACATCGAGTCGAGGACTCGGATTCTAAAAACTGACCGTTCTAGATCATGAGGGCTAGAATGAACCGAGATGGATTTATTTTTCCGAGTTTTCGGTGTTATGTGTGCACACGTAATGCTAATAAATATAGTACGAAACACAAATAATGACAAATGTTTACAATTGAATTTGATAATTTTTTTCGAACAGACATGTTTCGTTTGTCAACTTAGTCGCCTATGAGGTTTTTGAGAGAGGATGCAAAAGGACTTCGTAGAGTAAATCGAACCATTTTGCAGCTACAATGGTAGACAAGTGAGCTGGTGCATTGTTGAGGTAAAAGAATCTTTTGTCAAGCGTGGATTTTTTAAATAATTTCTAGAGCAGTGACCTCAACAGGTCATCGAAGGTGCAGATTCGTCCAAAATGTCTATCAAGCTTAATTTTGATCTCCCGAATAATTGCAAATCACGGTACTTGATCGATTCGGTTAAACGTCATGTGTAAAGTTGCAGATCCATCTGAATGAAACTTGGTCTATAGTCCGCCAACAGTTGCCAGCAGCAAAAAATAACCTCGACCTGTGACGCCGCCTCTTAGCTTTCCATGGGCTAATCGAACGGTTCGCATTTGGTTGCGAACCCCATAAAGTCAATTTGCCAAACACATTATCATTTCAATAATACGTTACCATGGTAAAACAAAGAAACAAATATAGTACAAGTTAGATTATATTTTCATTGGGGAAAAAGGAAAGATCTATAAGAGAGATTGAATGTGTTGAAAAATAAAAAATAAAATTAGAAAAGTTAAAGGTACCAGCTTCCCCAAAGTTTTCCTGCAAAAAGGAGCTTTCCGCGAAACAGTTTTTCAAGAAATCAGTGTTAGATTGATCGATGCCTTGCGCATAGTCGGTTAAATGATGCATTTATCAAAACCAGGTCAACGATCATTTACTGGCACGAAAACGTATTCGGTGCCTCTTAATTAAGATCGCTCTTGAACGAGTCGTTTTCCTATTTATATTCTCGACAACGCTAAGAGAAAACAAAGTTCGACGCAGGGTTTCAACGGTGCTGGGAACTTCGGTGACGCAGCTATTTCTTGGTTAGGCTGAGGACGCCAGGCTACAACGATTTTAAGTCCCAGAGAGAAATTTGTTGCGCAGGCGGACCGGAACTGACAATAAGCGTAAGGTCGTCTGTGCTCTACCGCCCTAGTTATGTCGTCACGTTTGACCCTCGCCCAGCGAACTCCGGGTCCATTTAGACCCATCGAATACTATCGTAAAATCGAAAGTTTGTACGTTTTTTTTCTAAATCGATTACTACTTTATCGTTTTTACAAGAGGTGATTTAATTTAATCAATTACATAATTTCCAATTAGTCTCCATTACTTTCTTCCATCGTTCCACGAGTTCCTTAATACCGTACTCGTAAAACGTTTGCGCTTTCGACGAGAAATATTCTCGAAGGGTGGTTTTAACTTGTTTATAAGTTTAGAGTTTTTTTCCGTTCAGATAATTTTGTAACGATCCAATTTAATTCCTTCATTTTCTTCTCTTTTCTATCGACGAGATACAGACGATTTATCGTTAAGTTTAGAATAAATTATTCTCTTGTCCTATCATAGGCAATGCAATTCTGGATCTTTATTTGTAGTAGATTCAGGCGCTTCCACCTGGACACCCTTGTGTTTTTTCGAGTATTATTACTAGAAAATACCCGTTTTTCATCGTACACGACGATTTGTTTCAGATATGGTTCCCCGTCATTGCTGATTCGTGGTTCAAAATGGCGAGTGTGCAACAGTTAGCAGAAGAATGTGGTATTGGTAAATCAATGATCACTTGTATAAAAAACAACGAACGAACGATAGAAAATTATCCGAAGAAAGTAGAGAATGTATCATAGATTGTGTCGATGATATTTTCAAAAATATTATAGAAAAAATTTCGAGTCGTGAAGAGAACGAATAAAATTAATGATGACACGATTTAGATCACGATATATATATATATATAATAATATAATAATAAAGAGAAAAGACTAAATTGCGTGAAAGTATTTATAAATACATTTGTCACACGTTGATTACTTGTGGCAGGCCAATGTCAAGTATATGTGACAGCAAAGGTTGTCACTTTTATCAACAACTAATGAACTGTCGATCATTATGTAGAATACTACATTGAAAATATTGGCTCACTAAGTATATTTTATTCGTACATAATTGAAAGCATGCGCTACAATAAATAAGATTGTTACAAACGAAGTAATGACGAACGTGTTAAATAGAAAAAAAGTGAATTATAAATAATATAGGAAAAGAAGAACAAGAGAATTATCGTTAATAGTATTCAACAATTAATTGGTTGTACTTCGCACGCGTTTAGTATGACATACATAATTGGATGATGAAACCGATTATGTAAAACAAAATCACGGAACGTTGAATAGAAGAGTGGCGGGAATTCAACGAACGTAATCGGTATTGTGGAACGAAATTGACATGCCTAACAGTGCCATCGAACAATATCATATTCACGGCACCCGATAGATCCACCGAGCTACTGATGCAAGGGTTACATTCTTCCTCCTCGATGTTAGGAGCATTTTTCACGCAAATTCAATGTCATGGAAAAGATTTAACGCTTTAAGAAATATTACTAAAATATGCTGAACAATTTTTCTAAAAAATCTGTTTGATATTTTAAAAATTATTTTGAAACAGAGAACCTCAAAAATAGGTATTTAATAACCATTGTACTATTGTTCACGAGTTATACGCCCTTACAATCATCAAATCCTATTGAAATAATTGAGGGATAGACTTCGAATACGAATATGGAAACGTTGTGTAGGGATTACTCTACGATCAAAATATTTATGGAACTACATCCTATTTTATAAACCACTTGTTTTGTAAACCAACTCATATGGATCTCACAATCGTATAAGTAGAATGATTATTCATGCCAACTACACACAAAAATAGATATAATTAAACAATCCTCAAGAAGTCAAAAACTATCCTTGCAGCGTACATTAATTATTTTACAAAATTTTATTTATGTTGTTCCCCGCGTACTATTCTTTTTTCGTATAAATGAACAATATTAACGACATTCAGAAAGCAATAGTTCAACCCTTGAAACTATAGTTACATACTCTCATTTCTCTAAAACTACCCTGTTTCGAATTCCTCGAAATTCATACATTAACGTAGCAAGGATGAAAAAAGAACTCCGAAGCTCGTAGTTCGCGAGAAAGGTTACGAAGAATCGGCGACGTTAAGAAAATTTCGTCCGGAGATGGGGTAAAAATGGTAAAAAGAATCGCACGTCGAGGGCACGAAAGCGTCCTCTCGAGTGACTGGTGCCGGAACGTCGTCCTGGAAAGCCCGTTCAGAGAGTGGAAGAGTACAGAGGAAAGATGGCAAGGGAGCAAAGAGAGGGAGGGGAGGAGGGAGCTTTGCCAGGATGGAGGGGGAAACGCAGGGGTGCGCTCGAAGCGGGGGTGGAAAGGAAGGCAAATAGTCGGGCCGATGATTGCAGCTCTCTCAGTTGCTCCTCGGTTTCCGGACTGCGTGGACTGGCAGGTTAGTGAATCCGAATCCCGTTCATTCACCAGTCTCTCCACGTTCCACTCTTGACCTCCTTCCTTCCTTAGCACCCTCTCTGTTTCCCTCTTTCTCTGTCCGCCTCCGTTCCACCCCCGTGGTGTCTGCTGGCTCCATTCATACGTATTCGTTCTTTGCTCGCTCGGTGGTCGCACGATTTATCGGGCCTCCTTGGCCAGAGTCTTTTTCTTCGCTGTCGATCTTTCCGTTTCGCTCGTCCGCTTTTTTATCGCGTTCTGTCCCTGGATCTCCGTTCGATTTTCCAGTTACGCTTGGCAAACTTGGTCCCTCGCAGTGACAATCCACAGAGTTCGATACAAGATTCCAAACGTTCTTGGCAGGTTTCGATCATCGTGAGACTACGAGCACAGATTGGAACGTAAACGTTTCGCCAGTGTTTCGAACTTCTCTTCTCTCGTGTCGCGTAAAAGAATTAGTGTCCCCGAAGACAACGCTGGTCGGTGCTCGTAAAATGAGACGTTGCACTCCGTGGTACAACCTGTTATACGCGAAACACGTTCGTCGAGGTAGAACCAGCGCATAAGGAAGAATTGTTCAAAGAACAGCTGTTAGTCCTCGCAAGGGAGAAAGCTAGACGGTGGGTAGAGACGGAATCAAGTTCAATATTATACTTACGAGACCGAGTAAATTTCAATAACCATGTTTCGTTTCGTGAGCCTCGAACACTACTCGATAATTACGCTTAAAGCGTATTTATTCTTTACAAAGATATCGACCCTGGAACGGGTACTTGCAAGCTTCGAAAAGGTACTTGTGAGTATTTCGATGTTATTTTTATGGACATTCGAATCTTGGAAATCAGAATTCTGTAACAGGGTTTATGTAATTGATTTTCATATTATTTAAAAATAATATTTTATTTTCTTTTTTTATTTATAATATTTTTCAATGCGCTGAAGCAGCCATTATACATATGCGTACACGTGCAATTCTCGATAGGATGGGATACTTGGATGAATTGCTACAACAAAATATTAACTTCCTTGCAATTATTGCAATTTTATATAATTTTCTATTTCTAGCGTAGCAGAAGATGACCAAGGTATTGTATTATTTGTAATCGCTACTTCATTGTTGAAGGATGACCAAATTAATGATTCTGAACAATGTTACAGAATTATCATTAATATTGTAATTGATGGCTGTATCGATCAATATATCCCTTGCTCGAATAATAGATTCAGTTTTGAAAAGGGCCAATGTTTTGAATCGTCTAGCAATATATGTGTATAAAAATGATTCTTCTCGATATTACCTAGATAATAATTAACATAATATATCAGTCTCAGCGACGTATACTCCAAACTACGGTTGTCAGTAGAAATATACAAAACAAAAGTTATTTTCATTATTAATTTCTCCCGAAATAAAAAAAAATATACATAGCATTAATTCAATAATATTAAGAGCGTTCCACTCTAAATTTGTTAATGGTTCAAAATTAATTTTTAATTATGTTAATCTCTGAAACATTCGATACGTAGAATTCTACCGCGTTTCTACGCCTATAATCAATTTATGATTCGGTACATTAATTAAATTTTGCGTTTCTCGTTATTTACCTATAGCCACGGTACCTTGTTTGAAATGTGAAACGACTCGCCGACATTTGTCACGAATATTTGCAACGTATATGCCTTTAACTCGAAATTATCAACGATAAAGTGGCACGTGGCAATCAAGAAGTTATCTGTATTTATGTTTGTCCACAGATCTGTTCTATTGCATACTTCTTCTGCACTGTTTAATTCATGTTTTCACGTTAAGATTTTAAGATTTTCGCATTTATTACTTGGCCATGTTTTCAACAATTTTCTACTTGGCAGTTAATATTTTGAATCTAAAAATTTCATTGATAGATCACACGTAATGTCACAGATTCGTCGACTGAAAAATAAAGGAAAAGTAGTAGCTTTTGTTACGGATAATATGAAAGCTGCAATTACATTACGAAATACTATGCGCTGATATGAAGATCGTATACATTGTAAAACTATAATTGCATCGTTACACGTGCAAATATACAGAATTTAATTATGAATTCAAGCATAATTAAGCACGATATTTTGTGCATTTATCAAAGTATTGTATTTTGTGTCAAAGTACTTATAAAGGGTTCGAACCTATTTCACAGAGGTTCGAGTATATTTGAAAGTACTGTTTCTCTTTGCCAAAGTACTTATAGAGGGTTCGAGCCTATCTCACAGAGGTTCGAGTATATTTGCAATATACTTGATCTCATCCCCAAGGGTGATTATTTGTTCTTTCGACGGTAATTATGTATAATTTTTTCAATATTTATAAATGTATACTTTATAACTTGAGTATAACGTTTGAGAATGTTCGACCATTGCCAATAATTTTCTTTTTTCCGTGTACATGGTAAAGTAAACATACGTGCCATGAAAAACTTGTAATCCTTCTTCACGTAGAATGAAAATAGATACCATGGTTTGTCCAGCAAACGAATTACGCAAGTAAAATATCATGAAAACGTAACACTTTGTATTAGCTATTGAATGTTAATTTTTCGAACGTCAAACGGTTAATAACTCAGTAACAATGGGTATACATAAAACGTTCAAAGCGTAGCATGATATAATCTGCTTCTCTGTTGTGTATACGGTTAATGAAATAATACAATACTGCGCAATACCAATTGAAATTTCACGGTTCGTACATCGATGATAATTGCATTTTATGCCCTGTCAGGGACAGAAAGGAAATCATAATTGAAAGGAAACAAATTTGTTGATATCTACGGTTCCAATTAATTCTCCTTTTAAAACTTTTCATGGATAACATGAAAAGTGCTACGGTTTCGAAATATAATTATCTTTATATAAGATAATATGATCAATCGGTGTAACGTTATCTTCTCTGTTTCATTATAGATTTCTCGAATAATTGTAATAAACCCGTTTCTAGAATATAAAGATTCTTTGCTTCGATGTATCCTTCATTGTAACAAAGAATAATTCACGAGATGAATTTGAAGATGTTCACTTGTTCCTCCTTAGAATGTTTGAGAAACAAGTCCGAATTTACTTTACTTCATTGCTTACTTCATTGCATTTTATGGAATAGCAATTAATTACACTTCTGCAAATTATAGCGTAACAAATAGAAAATATTCATTAGTTCTATAGAGTACTTTCTATTTTGTATTCCCAACGTTAATGATATTATAAATATTAAGGTCCATTTATCGCAAGCGTTTTAAAGATACGTTCGAAGTGCCGGTCACCAGTGACCACCATGGCAGTCAACGCGTATCGATTAACAATTTCATTGAGTAGCGTTAATTCGATGTTTATTACACGAACAGTTGATTAAATTCCTCCTCAACAATTCGCCGATTCGCTCAACGATTCTTACATTTTAATTGTTTATGAAATATATCGATACTCTTCGTATTCCATGGTACAGGTGATTTAAATTCGTGTCTTTTAAAACAAAAAATTCTCATTTGTTGGAAGTCACTAGCAAAGATTTCCAAAAGGAAACATACTTATTTATGTTTCCGAGAGGATTAAGATTCTTTTCGATCGTATCGTCTCCAAAGGACGATAGTTATTCCAATATTTTATTTTTCTCGTACGCGTATATGTTTAGAATGGATATTCGATCTAACCGTTTGCCCGTTTCTGTTTGTTTTGTTGCTAGAAAATGCGTACTGTGGCCGTATGGACCGCTTTTGTGTTAGCGTATTCGAGCAGCCCATTGGTGGCCAGTACACGATACATCGATCCGATCTCAGGGCAGTCGGGGAACAACGGCGACATCGTCGAGAAGCGCGTTGACCTGACCGAGCCGACATGCGAAGAATTGAGGGCAATGTGGAGGAACACCAAACGACAGAGCAGAGCTGCCAAAACCAACACCGGATATTCGCTTTATCCTGATCCGTTTACGTATAATATGTGGAAGTCCTACTCCGAACGCGCCAAACCTCCTCTTAATTATCGAGGTAAGACAACCAGGAGACTCCTTTAACATAGCACGTAAGTACGCGTCTGGTAAGAAAAAAACTAACCAAGTCGTAAGAAAACACCAGGAGGTGAAAACAAACGCTTATTTATTCATTATATTGCAAAGGAAATGTAACTCATAATGTATTTTATCAAAATTTTCGTTTTGCGATCGTTCAAATTAGTAGAATTCTATCAACGATTATTTTTTAGAATTTTTTTCGCTAATACAATCCCGTATTAAGCTCGTTTTAAACTTTAAACTACAGGAAATTGTATTTGTACCTTGATTTACATTTTCCAAGATGGACGACAAAAATGTCCGTAAAGTCGACTATTACGCCTCGACGCGTAGTTTAAAACAGAAATCGTTACAGTTTGGTAATATTTCCTCGAATAGTCATTATTCCGAGAATGACGGATCTACTTCTGAGCAATTAGGCTATTTTATTAAAAACCACGGAACGATCGACGACAAAATATTCCTACGAGCGTTTCCAAGATGGCGTACAACGCGACGGAGATTTTAATCTGGTCGATGGCCACAGCCTCTGAAATTTCACGAGTTTCTAGTTTTATTTTAATTAATTTTTAATTTGATTTCGCTTATACTGCATGCCTGCGACAGAGCACGAGTTCAGCGTAAGTAGAAATAGTAGGTAATGGACAGACGTGCCAAGCAATCGTACTCACAGTCGCGCGCGTATCCGAGCAATTTTCAAATTAAATTATCTCGAAAACGAAGCCTTAAATGAACATTCTTTTTTCTCAGCTTACTTTCAAACGTAGAATCACTCTAAACTTTTTTACTATCTGTAATATCAAAGTTATGTGCACAAACGACATAAAAGAAAATAGTAGTATGTACTATTTAAATGTATACAAATATACTTTAAATATATAAAGAATGAAATGAACCAAATTATAAACGTTACTGATACTATAATAGAGATAATGAAAATAGTTGTATGTATTATTCAAATACATCAAAATATATTTCGAATATTTGAAGAGTGAAATGAACTAAATTATAAACGTCACTGATACCACAATAAAAATATGGTAATAATACCTCGAACACGGTTCCAAAAATTATTCCAAAAACGTATCGATAGCTATTATAGTCTGCTTCTTGGTTTGCCCATAATACTATCTTATCTTTTGCCCGTTTAATTAAAGTTCCGCGCAGTTTGCACTTAATGGTTAATAGGCTGCAAGTAGACGCATGCAAAATAATCCAATTATCGATGGGCTGCCTGAACATCGCGGCACTTGCTGGAAACACTTTGATTCAAACTTTGTACAAGAATTACGTAAACGTGTACGCGAAACGTGAAGTTCCAAGTTCGTCCAAGTATTTTACACGGGGTGGGTCGCCAGATATTGCCACCTCGATTTCCGTCACTATTATTACCTACCCGTAGCTAATTGTGTCGCATGGAATCGATTTCGAGATTCATATTCCTGATGTTGGTTCTTTCAGAGGCGGAGATTTAACCTTTAACACGTTGACTGCCAATCTAAAATGGTAAAATTGTTTACGAGACCAAAACTTTGATTTTAGACAATTGTAAACTACATAACTTAAAACTTATCGTAGTACTTATTTTCATAATTTCAGTCAAATTTATGAAGCCTATTCAAATTTATTTTCTTTAACATTTCAACTTGAGAATTAATTGTTTCAGTTCATACATGGACTCTGAATCTCAACTGTATTATTTTACTTAACGTTGATTTTTACCAAATTGGTAAATGGAAATCAACTTTCCTTTAAAGCATTTAAAAAATAATGAACTAATGGAGGATCAAATTATATTAAACAACTATTAGTTCAAACTTGCGGAGGGCTGCAGCGGCCCCAATAATCTACTTAAGGGTTGATAATAACTAAAGGATAGTAAACTACGAATTGTTACTGTCCCCCCCCCCCCTCCCTAAATGGTGCACGCGATAGTTTATTAAATATTTCAATAAATTCTATTTCTATTATTTAGACTTTTTCGTATCGTCAAGCTGTGTTTACGTTTTCAGGAAGATACACAGGAAGGCCACGCAATCGCGCGGGCGGAAACGCTCCGGTTTACGGGAAAATAGTGCACAAGGTTCCAGCCGGAAGCAGATTACGGAACGGAATGCGACAGTTCGTGAGGCCCATCGAGAAGATTTCGCCATTTTACGGAACAATCAATCCTTACTCGTCGTCCACGAGACGACACCTATCCAGTTTTCGTACAATAGGCGGCGGTCCGCCTCCGATGCCCCAAGTTCCTCAAGCCGGCAGGTTTCAGCACTTGAAAGAGTTGCTTCAAGCCGAACGTGCCCGCGAGCTGAAGGTTAACGAACAAATTATTACCTTGAATAACACTGACACGACGCAACTTTCGCTTGGAAAGTTACTCGGGATTCTAAGCTGCTCGAGGCGACAGCTGCTTATTTTCCATCTTCTTGCGTCTGCGAAATAAAACGATATTTATTATTTATTTTGGGGTGTTTCGGTATCTTGAAATTTCGATTCGAGCCGGATATATCTCGAAACGTTCCGGACCATTCGACACAATTTTTTTATGACTCGAGCTCGAAATTCGGATCACTTAGTATTTGTGTGAGAGCTGCAGAAAATTAAATCATTTCCAACAACACTCGTTATTATTGAGGCATTTCGAAATCTAACGACTCACTCGATACAACAATTTACTGACAGAACTGAAGTATAATTACGTTTATAATGTTTGACGACCTCGAATAGTAAATGCAATTTAAGACAAGCTAAATGTAAATATCGTTGAATATATTCCTACGTTGTATCGTAATAACGAGTTACTAATTTGTTTCGTATTTCGTACTTCTGTTATAACTTTTTAATAAAGCTCTGAACTACCTATGTTCACATAACACTTTTTCCTTATTTAGACTCAAGGAATAACCTGGGATACCCTGTACATTGGTTAACGTATCACATTAACGAAGCTCTTAATGATTGTTGTTTATCATTATTATTATCATAAAGGAAATTTCCCGATTCGGTCTCGTGAATTATTCGAGGAACGCAAACGCAATCTGGTAGTTCGAGGAAAAATATTAAAATTCACGAATGATATAATTTTAAAAGACAATCGAAGCATTTCTAATTATGTAAATGATTTTCTAGTCGTTATGAACGTTCTTTTAGGAGCTGCACAGGGCCGAGGAAAATGAAGGAAAGACTGCGTTCGAGGATGCGATGGATGACGAGTTAAATATGCAGCAAAATCGAAAGCAATTCTTGAAGCCGACATTACGAATCCCAACGAAAGTTAATTACGAGTTTGGTCAGGGACGATACACGTCGAATGTGCCAAATATTGGTCAAGCATGGTCGGTGAGTAGATAGCAAACGTGTCATAGGACATAAAAATTGTTCCTTTTATCTTGAAAAATGAATCATAATATTATTATCTTTGAACCAAACGAATTGGTTCCGTCATATTTTTTCGTATCAGCAAAAATAACGAAAATATTAGGATGTGTAGGACGAAAGAAACGCCATGGATATATAGAGTATTCCCAAGTTAAACGATTAAATTGTAACGACGTGTTCGGTAAAAATATTCGTTTGCAATGAATTACTCGCCACAAAATGAAAGTACAAGCTTAGACGCTATTAAATATAGAATTAAACGTTGTATGAATCTCGCGACAATTGTAATAATTTCTCTAAATATATTATGGAAGAAATTTGTAAGTTCATGAACTTATTGGACGATGTAATAGTATTGATCCTATCGGTCGGTTCCTGATGCGTATTTACTCTTCTTCGAGGCACTTTTTCTTCCTCTTTACTCTGCGAATTAAAAGCTATTTTATATTTATGAAATATTTTTACTTTATTCACAAGAAAATTTTATCATAATTTGATCGTTTCTTTCGGGGATACCCTGTATACAGCACGTCTGTGATATTATGCAATACGTGTATACACACTACTGAATCACTGTATACTTAATGGAATCAAATTTTTACGGAATGTTTATTTAATATATTTACTCAAATTCAAACAGAGCAATGGTATACCCAGAGGGGCAGCAAATATACAATAACGCCTCCCTTGTGCTACAAATATCTGTTCGCAATTAATATTTTTTTACGCAGAGTGTACAAACGCTGGTGTGAGTCCAATTTTTCATAGATTGAGATACTTAAGGATTTATATTTAAATAAAATAAAAATAAAACTTGTCAGCGGTGATCGTGAACGCGCGAACTCGTGAACTCGTCAGATCATTGCAGTGCAGCCATCGTTGGGCGCGGTCAGTATAGGATGGGTGACCGCTCGAGAAAATACACCACCCACGTATTGTTGATTTTTATACTGTTTATGTATTGTCTATACCTTTCTAATTGCGCGTTATTTGCCCCTGTTAATATTTAAAGAAACAAAACTACTTCGTTAAATAGAAGTAAATGCAGTTGTAATAAACATAACATTTGGTAAAAGTAAGAATACGAGTGGGAGTAAAATAAGAGTAACTACTAATCTTGCCAAGGGACACAATTGTTGTTTCGTTCATAACAATTAAGAGAAATAATTACAGAGAAATAATACAGTAAATATTGTGGACAGTTGTATGAATAACACTGAAGAAGACATTAAACAAAATTCAGGTGGGGATTTTGAAGCATTCCATTGTACCGCCAGTCTTTTAGAATCAACTAACAGAAAGATGTTAAATAAATATATATCATTTAAAGCTTTACTAAAAGATTGTGACGAAAATGCTACCTATAAAGAAAACAGTATTAGATTTATTGATAGAGTCTCATACATATGTTCGTCACGGTACGGTCTCGAATAAGATAGGATATATATAGATAGATAGATTATTAATTCGAGCCGTAAAAAATGTTCCTAACGGGAGTTCCGGCAGTTAATAATGGCTTTCAATTGTGATTTCATTTCTGCGCCTGACAGGATCTAAAATACAATTATATATTATGAAATCTCGATTGGTGTCGCGCAGTCTTGTATCATTTTATCGACTCGATCGTTAGTCATATATTTGAACACCACGGTGCAACAAATATAAAATATCTATTATGGATATATCGATAGTTTAATTGTAATTGAAACAGAATATATATACGAAGAACAATAACCTGTTACGTATCTGTTTTAATTCAGAACCGATATACAGGGTGTTCAGTCACCCCTGGGAAAAATTTCAATGGGGGATTCTAGAGGCCAAAATAAAACGAAAATCAAGAATATAAATTTGTTGATTGTGGCTTCGTTAAAAAGTTATTAAAAAATTAAATTAACAAATTTTAAATCGTTTTAAAAATTATTTTCGATTGCGGGGATCAATTGCAATCATTTTTGGTGAATAGACATACCCCCGAAATCCTACGGACTTTCGAGAAAAAAATTGAGTAGGTGGACAAATATCGACAAAATTAAAAAATTTCAAATCGTTCTAAAAAAATTATCTTTAGTTGCAGGAGTCAATTACAATTATTTTTGGTGAATACACATACCCCCGAAATCCTACGTACTTTCGAGAAAAAAATTCTTTACCGAAAATGTACTGTATAGTCGGAAATGTTTTTATAACTTTTTAACGAAGCCTCAATCAATAAATTGCTATTCTTAATTTTCGTCTTATTTTGGCCTCTAGAATCTCCCATTAAAATTTTTCCCAGGGGTGGCCGAACACAGCTGTACAACAATTATTTTTGGAACCGTTTCGACCACGATCGTATGTTTGAGCGTTGTCTTATTATAAAATGCATGTTTCTCTTCTAGAGGAGCGAGCCTCAGTCCCGGGAATATATGTTGCGTTAGTACTTGAACTACAAATTGGCGCATCCGTATCTCTGATACGTCCATACACAGCAGGATCGGTAAGGATTCGCATCAGTTTCCCTTGAAATCTCTGACATCTTGAAGCCTACGTGAATCGGCCTCTCGCGTTTCCGGCAGCGTCATCCATCGAAGGAGTTTCCGCTTTCGTCGAGCCTAGATCGGTCCCGCAAGTTGCTCGTTCCTTCCGTTATCTTGCCACACGATTCCCTCTAATTTTCATCCGCGTTCGACCACGCGAAAACGTCAATAAACGGAACAACGGACCGCGAACGTATATTTTCTTAATTCGTTCGAACTCGTAATTTCCAGCCGCGTAAGCTTAATACTATTTTCGACAAGTGTCAACGACGGTGACGCGAACGTATTTTGACACCGTTGAGCGGAGAAAACACCGGGCAAGATAACGAAAGAGAGTGGGAATGGTACCTTTTAACGATCCTCGAGTCATATTGTGTTCTTTATAAATATTTTATTATATACCTTCAACGTACAACTTCGTTGATATTTAAATATATATATATATATTTTTTCATAAAATTATCGTTCAGAGAATCAAAATCTATCCAAAGTACGAAATTTTATTTTCGATTATCTTGCTCGTAAGACTATCGTACGTTGAATAATAAGGTTAACGACGGGTCTTTTCTGACCCACTACAAGCTTGTCAGACATTCACGATTTATTCTGTATTCGTTACACTTTTTACTATGTTTATCGCCATTATTTGTGTACACATAATATCGGGAATAGTTTTTGGAAAAAGGGTAGCTTCTCACGGGATCAGAATTGACCCACTTTTGAGAGCTTATTTTTTTCTTTCGCCATGAAATAAAAAAAATCGTGAATTTATTTTTGGGCAGATTCCTGAAACCGGTTTTTACAACTTTCAACCGATGCATAGAACAAAAAAAAGAAAATGGGTATATAGGTACGACGTCACGAGCATTTCAATCGACGATAATCGTTTCGATATTTTGCTTTGCGACACTTTCGATGCTTGACAAAAATTAAAGATTTCTTTTAAAGCGAATATTTTTAGACTGACATTTTTATAATTAAAAGGAAAATTTAATTTTTGTTCCGAACGCAAGTACCCGGGTTCTAGTCAATTGTTTTATTGCAGAATGTTACGTGTCTTGTCCTGCAAAAAAAAAGTCTTCAGACGTTCGATGCTTCTATTCCGTCGTGAATTTTTGATTCTTCTCGAGACGAAACCCGCTCGAACGAGGCTGCAACGGAAATCGAAGATTAGGATATCGAGATCGATAATCTAACATAATCTGGAGAAAAGTATCGCGATTTCGTGTAAATACGTTCGGGTTTTCTCCGCCTCGTTTGAACATGGACAATAAAATAGAAAGACTAATATTTTGAAGATTTTGACAATATATATATATATATATATATACACACACACATATAATATATATATACATACATATATATATATATATATTTACTTAAGTTAAGACTACAAAGCATAATCAACGGAACTATACGAATGACAATAATTAATCTTAAAAGATATTCTTGTAGCCCGTACGTGCAATCGACACGGATGCGATTTCGATTTCAGAGTTTACGATATGTATGTTAAAAAAAGAAAAAGATAATACTTTGAAATAAGTAATAATAAGCGACAATACGTTTAAAAAAGAAAAAAAAAAGGAGAAATCTGTAATGTACGGATTGAATTCTTTAAGAAAGACGAAAACGCATCGCTCGCGTCTCGTTTCCTCATACTCGAGTTTATGTATACACGATATACTATACATCGATTATGCGTACGAGTGAATTTAACTTTCGATTCTTAAGAACTCGTTTGGGTCATTTATTTCGAATGGCTAAACTGCCCCGGTGACAGTTTTCGAATAAAGGTATCTCAATAACTGGAGATTAAATTGAAAAAAAAAAAAATAAAAAAATAATCATGGAAGCAGATTCTTTTTCCTCGCGTTTACTTGCTATTAAAAACGTTCTATGCCAATGGTAAGTGCTTAAGAATCAGAACTATATAAAGACAATAATTATAAACGTTTCATGTAATCGTATAACAAGAAAAAAAAAACTTAAGTAGGTTAAAAAAAAAAAGAGAATATTTATGTGGCTTAATCCATATCTCGTGCTGAGAATTAATCACTTTCAGCTCCTACGATGCGTACAAAATGAAAACTTCTGAATAATTATATAGAAATGGTTTGATACCGATTGCGGTTTTAATGCCTGATTATAAATACTTTATACTTATATAGATCTATTTGAATACGATACGTACATATATACTATATACATAATATACAGAGAACATATACACACACAGAACTGCGATACATGCATATCAAGGTAACACACATTATACATTATGCAAACTTGTAACTATCACTATGTTCTCATGTATCGTATTGATTGAGTTTTACAAAAAATGGATGTTTTCGGCCAAGGTTCTTTAAATCGCAGAATCTCAGTGCCTGATATCTAAAACTATAGACTGGTAGCAAACTCTTTCAATAATGATTCAAGCTGTTCATACTTTATTTTAAATATGTTAACATAATTGTTATGTTGTTCGGAATGTGTGCAAATATATATATGTATACATGTGGAATTATTAAACGGAAAGAACTATGTCGTGGACAATATTAGAGATAGAAACTTTATGTAAACTAAAATGATCTAATCCAAGATGCGAACGACACAGAGGTCGGAGTATCGAATTTTTTAAACTATAAATCTATAAGAATCCTATTCTACAATAGCTTATTTTGTTTACTCGAAAACCGTATTTTTGAATTTATTAATGTGATATTTAGATCCCCGTGTTTAAAAATTTCAATTAATAAATTAGGGAAAATGCGCTTCGACTTTTCCGTTTAACTATTAATATTTTTGTTTCACGCAATATTTTTTATGTCGTAGAATACAACGGAGACAATAACTAGCAATCGAACAATTAATTACATCTTTCTTATATTAATTCCATTCATCTTACATATTAACAGAAACTTAAATTTATAGACAGATAAATGTAAACTTCTGTTTAAGAATCAAGAGTATTTTTTGAATTTAATATACTTGAACATTTTTTATAAAATATAATTTATATAATGTTTATACGTCGATACTAGATTTAAAGAATGGTTTCCTATTATACTATTTTCCCTGTACTTAATATTTAAATTATTTATCGCTACTTACAGGACTGATTTTAGTATATAAACTATTTAATCTTCATACAATATTTCTAAAACATCTTTTTTATGAATCTGTGAACTAACTTGTTCTGAAACATTGTATGATTTTTAAACGATCGTTTAAGTATGACTCTTGACACTAATAAAATTGCTTTTACTAGTATTTAAGATTTTACTGGCATCGATAACTTTAGCATTAGTGTTAATGAAACGCCTATGTATTTTAACAAATGAAATATAAAAGGAAAAAATAATGGAAACAATTAAAAAGATCGAAACAGAATATAAAATGAGCTAACTGAAAATGTATTAACTGTGTACACGTATTCGTGAAATCAAATAATAAAGTATATATGGCATCTCTGTGTATAAAGAATAAATCATTGTAATAAATTATGTTTAAAATAAACAAGAATTAATTTAAGTTCGTAGATGTGAACGTTTTTCCAAATTCTAATACTTGACTGTGAAATATTAATTTTAGCAAGAATATTTTCAAATATAATCAAATTGAGCCGTTTATTTTGAAAGTGGCCTAACTCCATTTTTCAATTTTTTCCGGTTACCATGGTTACATGTACAACTCCATGTTATTTATCAGTAAAGCATTTCAGGTTGCTTATATTCCGAGCAAATACGATCATTCTTGACACATAAGTTTTCAGAGTTAGTTCAATAATCGAACCGTGTAGTTTGAAAGTGGCCAAACTCCATTTATACTTAAATCAAGATATTTACTATTGATAATGTCGGAAAGCAATGATGAAGGTAATTTTAATTAATTAGTATTTTCAAGTTAACCTCAGTTTTTGGACAATTGCGTTAGTTGAATAACCAGTACGTTTAATTAATATAAAACATAAAATTTAATATTAAATTTTAGAAATTATTTCATCCATGGGGAAGAACAGAACAAGACTATTTAGTTCAGACAGTGAAGAAGAAATAGTAACTAATGATTTTTTAAAAAAATCGAAAAAGAAACAGAATTATAGAACAATATTCGTCTTCAGGGGATGAAGATACGAATAACAATGGAGAAAAGATTGATGAATCATACATCCAAACGGAATTTAGGAAAAAGATATTGTACTCAAACCGGAAATATTGTACCTGAAAAAATGTTCGAAAACAAAGATTGCCGTTGTCGGAATGCTTGCACAAAAAATTACGATGAAGAAGAAAGAAAGAATATTTTCGAGAAGTTTTGGGGTTTGGGAGATTTTAACAAACAAAATGTATTGCTTTACGAAGCTGTCGAGCGCAAAATTGTGGAACAAAGACGTCCAACAAACGGAAAAGGTTCGCCAAGAAATTGGAGTTTTAGCTATTTGTTAAATTCTAAAAACGGAAAAGTTCCCGTCTGTAAAAAATTCTTTTCGGATACTTTTAAAGTAAGCGAAGGACGCTTAAAACGACTATTAAGCTCTGCAAATTCAGAATTGTTTTTTTTCAATTTGAAGCATCCTAAATTATATTGAATGGACTTGGGCACCTTCAAATTTTATAATGAATCTGGCTGTTAATTTTGAAAGTGGCCTAACTCCATTCTTGATAAGAAAACGCATATTATTCACTTAATAATTGCTACTATTTTAATAGGAACTATAAATTTAACACCCTTAGATACACTTAAGCAGTATGACTCATTAGTATCCTATACGTATATTTTTAAATTCATTGAAACGCAAACCCTTAAATATCTCGATTTGAAGATAAATGGACTTAGGCCACTTTCAAAATAAACGGCTCAATTAATTAACAGATTCTTTTGTTAAATAGAATATTTTATACGAGCTCACGTACGTGTGATCTGGCATAGTATGAGAAAGTGGAATGAGGTATCCCCGGTGCACCCGGGGCTCCGTCTGGCATCTCTGGTCCCAGGAGGTGGCACAGGGTGGTTTTGGACTCCTATCGACTAAAAACCACACGATGACCTATCACTCGACCCAGAAAGTAAATTGACATTGCTCGATGCAACGTTTTTCCTTAAAAGTAAATAATATAGTTCGAAAAATGGTAACAAATATTATTTTATAAGTACTCCTGTTGTACAATAAAACACAACGATACAAAATTTTATTGAAACGTGTTTTTACATTGGTAAAAAAATAATAGACGATCACTATTTATGGAAATTTATGGAAGTATTTATAAAAACATTTGTAACACTTATTTTAATTCATTGTCCTATTCAATAATATTAATAGCTTGTAGAGTAACGTGCAAGAGACGCCACAGAACAGCATAAAGCTAAGAGCTTGTAGCAAAAATAGTGGACGTCCAATATAGATATGCAATACAGTTATTTTGTTGTTATTATCAGAGGATTAAATGTTTGGAGAAATATTAAAAGTCAGACAACTTTATTACGTTTCTCTATTACGAAGTGTTTTTTCTCAACATGTATTGTTCTTGGTCAGTATTAGAGTGCAATAACAATTTTATTTTTATAATTTACATGCGCTCTACTTTCCATTGTTGGAATATAATCTATAGATTATTGATCCCGATACATGGCCAGTCTTTCGTAAGAAATATCCGCGGCAATAAAGTCATACATACTAGTTTTTACGACGCTGGATACGAGGGTCGTAATAAGTTTACGACATTTGCAAGATAAATTTCTCTCTCCCCCCCCCCCCTCCACTCCCCTCCCTCAAGTTTGGATCTCTTTATTTATTTATCGATAACGCGTCCAGCGAAGCGCGAAATGATTTTAACGAGACGCACAAACACTGTTAGGACTTTATTTCTGTACAAATACTTCGCCACGGCGAGGCAGCCTAAAAAAAAAAACAAAAACATCAAGAAAATTTCCTATCAACGAAACAAAAGTCTCATAAAACGTCGCGCGTAACGGTTGGTGTCAATATTTGAAAAATAAATTCATTCCTGTAAAAATCGTAAAGTTTCATCGCGGAATAACAAAGTCTGCCGCGACGATAAGATCCGTTACAAAATAAAAGAGGCTCGTAAAAAGCGGTAAACGGTTAAGAAAAGAAGAAAAAATACAAGTAAAACGTTGGTCGAGAGTCGATCTACGCAAGATACTTCCCGTAGATCTGTCCGCTCCTAGTTCGTCTGACCAGCCACGTCTGGCTGCTCTTTCGAGCCATCATCTCGGTTCGGGTGCTCTGCGAATTTTGAGCCTGGACACCGCTCAAACCGAAGATGGACAACTTCAGAATCCTTTTGTGTCGTTTACGATCCACCCCGCGAATCCTGGTGAGACTCTCGTCCGAGAAGTTTCGCTTTAGAGCGCGCCCGTGGCCGCAGACCGAGTCCCCGCAGGCGTCGAAGCAGCTCGTCGCGCTGAAACTCCAGTAAGGCTCCTCCTGGAACTCCGTGGATACTCTGTCGACAGATCGTTACTAACAACGATTTTATTCAAAATTTTTTCCGAGAGAAAAATACGTAGAGAGTTTCGTATCAGGCAAAGATCGAATAAATAGTAATAAATAGACTGCGGATGTTTGTGCATTTGTGGGAAATTTTAAATCTCAACAAAACTACAGAATGTAAACTAAAAAACATTAAAGTAAGATACGAATTATTATATTTAGGGACTGAGACAACCCTCTACAAAACTCCTTAGCACAAACCTTTTCAAGTATCTGAAAACCGAAATTTTTGCCCAAAATAGTGTGAAGCAGACTACCTAATGAATAGTTGACTTTAAAACCTAATGCAGAAAATAAACGTCGATAAGAATATTGTCAAACACAAACGACAAATTACTAAGAATAGAACAAGTAATAATCTCCAGAATAAGAATTTGACAAGCAAAAACCACTCACTTGCTCCAAGTGTAATGTAACAATTAACTATACACCACCTAGTCCACCAGAACCTGTCGCCATCTTGTTAAGATCGAACCAATACTAAAAGACAACTTTCACAAGATGTACATGCTATTTACAAGAATGTAATAGTATCCTATATACTATCTACCTTATTTTAATTAATAGAAAACAAATTTTATTCCATTTGTTATGCTGTTAAACCACGATTTTTGTATCGAACAACCTTACCAAGTTTTCGAGAGTCGAAACTTGTGTCCAAAATAGTGTAAAATAGCTAGTAACCAAGTAATTGACTGTAAACCCTAATACATAAAAAAAAACGTCGATGATTATGAGATAACCCAATGAAATATGCTATTTTTTTGTTAACTCACGTCCACGCTTCGGTGTTAATCCAACAACTCCAAATTCGGTATATTCCTAGCAAACGACCCGTTCAACGATCGGGGTGAGTTATACGTCATTCGATTCGTCTAATTCAGTACATTATTGATATGCATTTCATTATCTGCGGAAATTTGTTATTTTTTTATAAACTTGTCGTAAAGTTACAGTAAAAAAATAAGATTAATTGTATTTTGACAGGTTTACAGGTGGAAAGTGACTGTCGTTACAGTTTCCGAGATACGGGAGATGAAAAGTCAATAATGGTGCGCCTTATTCTAGGCTACCACGTTTGAGCATATTTGAGTGTAAGAAGCACTGTTGTACACTGTCCATTTATTTAACCCCTTAAAACTCAATAGTAGTACTGTGGGCCCTTAAATATTACCCCTTGAACCCTTAACCCTCGGCTACAAAAAGATGATGACGATGAATTACAGATTGCATTTCGTTGGTAGATAACAGCCTTAGAAGACAAAAAGTTTATTCACGATTTCGGAATCGTACCAAACATCAAGTTCTTATTTCTCAAATTCCCAAAAATGAACTGGAACTAGAAGAGGAAGTAATAAATGGTTCCTACTGCATCTGTCAATCCGGTGCCAAAACATTGGGTACATGCGCACATATTACAAGTGTTTTAAGGTTTTTAGGATTTGCTCGTCATCAAAGGCATGCCAAATATTCGGATGGCAATCTTCTAAATGCGACCAGAGATGCCGCTAATAGAGGGCATCAAGGCAATATGAATGTTGAGATTCTTATGGTCGAATAGAGAGAACTATAAAAACGGACCTCTTCAGGACCACATGGTGTGCAAAATCCGATCGGGCAACCTCCTTGTGGTGCACACTGGGTAATGCTAATGACGACGGTGCTTCATGTTTGTACAATGAAAAAGAGAACCATTTTTTACCTTTTTGGCGTTTTTTTATTTTGACTCCTGAATGGGAGTCAGAGGGTCAGGGGATCAAGGGGTAATATTTAAGGGCCCACAGTACAACTACTGAGTTTCAAGGGGTCAAATAAATGGACAGTGTACAACAGTGCTTCTTACACTCAAATATGCTCAAACGTGGTAGTCTAGAATAAGGCGCGCTATTATTGACTTGTGATCCCCCGTATCTCGAAAACTGTTAAATTTACGAGCTTGGGCTCATTGTAACTTTTCATGAAGATATAATGAACTACATCATATCAAAAGTTCAGCTAATTTAACCAGGGGCCATTTTCCATAAGATCTGTGGGGTGTCCTTTTTGCTATTTCTGCTAATATTTCATTAAATAAATCATCACTTTCCTACTATGTTCATTTACTAAATACATAATAGCTCAGGTATCCAATGAAGTTACTCTTCTTGAAAATATAGAATATTGGTAGTATTATATGTGGAGCATGCCTCCAAGTGGTTTCAATTTAATTCGTGTAAGCATCAGTAATGGAATCTTCAAAATTGACGCTGTGATTAATTTTCAAATGGCCTCTGTGATATTGTCTACGACAAAATGTTGATTCATCAATCTCAACAATCTACTCTACCTTTCCAATTGCTGTGCAGTATTTTTATTTAATTTTAGTTATATAATAATATGACATTGCTCATAATTATATGTTAGCATATATGTTAATTTTAAAACATCTGTAGCTGAGTTTGTTTTTAGAAAACCATGTTCTTTGCTTTGCAAATATCTTTATATTATAACGTCTTTTACGTTTAGTTAGATTAACAGATCCTGGAATAGTTATCCTGCATTGCCAATTTGCATATACCATTTTCATAACATTTCCACATCGCAGATAGTACAAGAAACAGAAGAAAAGCAGAAATTGTTTCAGTAATCATTTGTTTCAACTGTCACTCCTGATTTTCTTCTGTTTCTTGTATTTTGTGAATTTTGTTCAACTGTGCTATAAAAATGAGTGAATTAGTAGTTCCAGAAGTATGGACCTTATTTAAATTGCACGAATTTTTTAAAAATAAAGAAGCCTTATTGAAATTTTTGCAAGACAAAAAGTTAATTGCCAAAAATTTTAATTGTCCACAGTGTGGAAACGCAATGAAATTGATAAATGAAAATTGGCACTGTAGAAGAACAATTGCAGCATCTGCCAATGCTTGCAAAAGAAAGCGAATCTGTGATATAAAAATATCTATAAAGCGTGGAACATAGTTCTCAAAAACAAAACTTTCTTACGAAGTAGTACTAAAATTAACTTACACGTTAGTCCATAATTTTGAACAATATCGTATCATACGAGAATTACAATTAAATAAAAACACTGTTTCTCAATGGAACTATTTTGTGAAGCAAGTGATGGCTGATTGGCTACAAAACTCATGTGAAATACTTGGCGGATCAGGCAAAGTGGTAGAAATAGACGAGTCTAAATTCGGCAGAAGAAAATATCATAGAGAGTCACAGGACAATGGGTTTTCGGAGTAATTGAAAGGGAAAGTGGGAAAATATTCCTGGTCCCTATTGAAAGTAGGGATATAGAGTCCCTTCTTCCAATAATCAAACAGTGGGTGTTGCCTGGAACTACAATTATCTCAGATTGTTGGAAAGCCTACAACATTTTGGAAAAAGAAAGGTATAAACATCTCACCGTAAACCATAGTTTACATTTTAAAGATTTAGAAACAGGTGCTCGTAGGAAAACAATAGAAACTACGTGGAGGCATAGTAAACACTTTTTGCCTGAATATTGTCGGTTAGTATTTGCAATTTCACACGTTTTTTAATACTTTTTGTAACATATAATACCATAAATATTTCCTATTTTCAGCAAAAAAGATAATTTCATTGGGTACTTAAGCCATTATGTATTTTATAAATCTTCCAAGCAAGGAAAGGATGATTTATTTAATCAGTTATTAAAAGAAATTTCACATTTGATTCTGTAGAAAATCAAAATATACCAGACGTAGATGATAATGAAATTTAATAATAAAAAAAAAGTTAAACCAATGCACTGCATACAATAGTAATTTATTATATTGTCTACCCGTAAACACTGTTAGAGGAGGGTGGCAACATTTTTTACTGTTGCTGCATGTACATACTGTCTACCTATAAGTACTGTCTGAGTAGATCTGGGTTATATGGTTAATTGTTGCGGCACATACTGTCTACCTGACCAACTCATGCAAAGTCTATGCGTAAAAAAATGATTTTTATGCATACACGTTCTACATATTCCCATTTGATAATGTAGCATTATCAAATTAGATCAATCATTTATAATTTGTAACATGAACATAGCAGCGATAGTCACTTGTTTCTACCTGTGCACCTGCCAAAAAATGTACTTAATCTTACTTTTTTACTGTAACTTTACAAGCAGTTCATAAAAAAATAACGAGTTTCCGCAGATAATGAAATGCATATTAATAATGTACTGAATTAGAAGAATCGAATGACGTATAACTCACCCCGATCGTTGAACGGGTCGTTTGCTAGGAATGTATCCCAAATTCTTTCGCGAGACTTAACCACGTCCTTCGACTCACATTTCGATACCAGCGGTCGCGTTATCTCGTCCTTCGTCTTTCTCGCATTTGGACGTGAAACATGTGAACATCGCGATGAGAAACAAAATGGCGCAGAGAACGAAGAAGGCCAAGACATCGGCTGTCATGTTTCTGGAGGCGAGCACCTTCGAAACCGAATAGTCGATCTCGTCGTTGGTCGAGACCAGCCAGAGGAATTTGTACAGGATCAGATCCTGAAACGTATTTCGTTATTATTCCGTTCTCATTTACGATTTGTCAGTCATCGTTTCAATCATTGCGCGCAATTGAAACGACAGAACGAGAAGGTTAATCACGCGATCTTACCTGTAAGTAGTCGAATATCTGATAAACAATTATCTGCACGAGATAGTAAATGTCACTCAGATTGTCCATCATCGATCGCTACTGGCCGATCATTTGGTGGACGATTTAAATCGATAGTCGTAAAAATTTAAGCCATTCTCGGACGAGAAATGTCACGCTGCTCGACCGATTGCACCGAAATTTGACAAAAGCTTTACGGGTACGAATTCTCACTGTCATTTGTTCGATTCGTCGACATCGATCCTCTCCCGGAAGTCCATTTTCCGTCGAACGATAACGCACTGATGGAGAATCGAAGCTCGAAGTACACGAAAATAATTTAGTAACGTACTAACGCCAAAATTTTTTGTTGCAAATTGAATATTTTTCAGATTTCCCACCATTGATAAGACGTTTGAGTTTTACCATTCTTTGTTAGCAAACGTTGCAACGTCTCCAATTTATTATTATTATTATTCATTTAATTCTATTTTCTATTTCCTCTTTGTGAAAGTTGCCTTTTGGCTGGATCTTAAAAAGATCCTTTCCATGTATCCTTGTCTTCAAAATGATGACATTTGTATGTGTCTGAAAATGAAAATTTGCCTGCTCTATTTCTAAGAATTCTAACATGAGAAAGAGTTCAAATTAAAATAATTGTATTTGCTTTTGTGAGCTAAGTCCGTGTGGATTTCTAGTACTCGGAGGAAAATATCGTTCGTGGACGCGAGGGTTGTAAAGAAACTACGTACTATGCAGATCGATTTCAAAGCCCTCAAAAATGAAAATTCCTTAGAAACGTTCGACGATCGCAGAAAAACGATAATACCGAAGTCTTCGAAGAAGCTCGTCTGATCTTCCGCAAAGTGCCAGGCTAAAGGCGTTAATAAATGTATTTAGAGGCGAAGAAAATGAGCGTCTCTGACGAAACCAGACTCTATTGTTTGATTTCTTCAGGCTGCTGGCGGTAATCCTTTAATCGAGAACAACAGTGTTTGCCGTGTGACGTCAGGAAGTTTGCGATTAAGACGCAGTTCTACTTCCTACGGTATCACGCTATTTTCCCTAATTTTGTAACACATCTACACGCCTAAACAAACAGTACATCTCGTACCAACGATAGAAATATCTGTCGTTTCGATGATCGGTAACCGAGCAAGTTTATTGAGAAATTCTTGTGGAAGAGTGAAATTATTTTTACTGTGTCTGTCTTTTATCCTAATCATGACGTTTTCGACTAGTAGGAATTATCGTACTAAGTAACTCACGATTGACAATTGAGTCTCTCATTCGAAGACTCGTGTTCACGTTGAAAAAGAAGTAAATTTAACGCGAGCTAATAGCTAGAAACGATAGTATACGTACATGTTCGATCGAAGGCCTTGAACGGTACTCGAGCTAACAGTTATGGCTAATATTTCCACGTTTATCCTTCAGAATAATTTGCTCGGTTTCCTGCGATCGTTGCAGTTGGGAAATAGTAATCGACATGCACCCACCAATTACATAGTTGCAACGCAATATTCGATGATTTGACAAACTTTCGAATATTTGAGTCAGCAAAGCGTTCGAATATAAGTCGAATATTATTCTTTTAATTTATTTATTTTTCATTATTTTAATAGACCATTTAATAGAGCATTGGTATTATTGAAACAGACCAAATATATGAATAATGTTTAAATATTCAAATGTACGTAATTCATTCGAAGCATTCGGATATTTGGAAACTATTCAAATACGAAACAATTAGAATAATCCCAGCCCTAATCGAAAGACGTCCGTATCGAGCCGACAAACGTTTTATTGCTTTACGATTCTGACCTATTCTTTGCGAGATGAACACGATTATGGTTCTTTATCAAAGGCTTTCCTCGCGATTGAGAAATGATGGTCGAATTACGGTAAGTTTTTATTATCCCAAGTTTATCGCGACGATGGTACTCGACGAAATTCCCCGTATCATGTACAGGTTGTTTCTAAAATAAACGATCGTAGGTGAAGTTTAACTATAGTACTAAAATAAAAGAAAAGAATCAATTTAAAAAATGACGACACTTTAAAGTTTAATTGCCTATCATCGAAAGTTCCAAATTGTTTAAATCAAGTTGTAAAAAATAAAAACGATTGAATGCCCGTTATAAATTTCACATTGAACGTTTGTGTGAATGTTCTGTTATATAAACAGTATTGTTCCCATTGAAGTAATGTATGGAAATATATACAAAGTGTCCATTTCCTTTTGTAGAATGCTATCTGTTTACAATTGTACAGTATGAAATTGACATAATACGTATAACAGTCATCAATCATGTCCTGTAATTGTGCAGCATCGTGGCAGTCATGCGGAGTGTTGTGACCGGAGACTGTACACGACTTTTCACGTTTATGCTCGACGAAATGACTTCGATAATAGCTAGTTGGATTTGTATTAAATTGTACTATAAAGTTATATATGTATACAAAAATACAGCATTCTGTTTAAGGACATTAACTTGATGTTGAAATCTCTGCCATTTTTTCACTGACGAGAGAACCATTTCTGTCACATCATGCCACCTTTCGTGCCAAACAACTTTTATTGAAACATTTTTTGAATATCTTTCAACGTTTCTGAAAGATTTCGAATAATTATTTATTATCCTTAAGAAATTGTACTTTTTATTCGAATAATTTTGCATTCATTATTCCGGCAATAATACGAATAATTATTTGTTTTCATTAATTTAGCAGCACTATAATACACATTCGGTATTGTCTACATATTTTTACTTCGTCCACTTGCAATATAAATAAAATTGCATTAGAACAAATTTTCAGAGAAATCCTTATGTAAATAATTTTTTATTCGAATAGTTTCTTGTTCAAATAACTTTTTGAGGCAAATAAAATTCTATTCTTTGGCCTGACAAAAGGAGACTTGACCTGAACTCAATTAAACATTTGTAGGAAATTTTAGTTACAAAGGAAAACGAAAAAATGGCGATCGACAAATGTGGTCTCAAATCGAATTGGAAACTTTAGATAAATTAACAGAGTCGATGTCTAAAAGGATATTTCAGGGGATACAAAATGTAGGATCTACTAAATATTAAGTTCTGTTTGTTACCTTCTCAAATATTTATCAATTAAGAAATTTAAAATTATGAACATTTATAAATGACTCTGAGGAAAAAGAACAATTTTAATATTCCTTAAAATAGCGTTGCAAAATTGTAGCCAGTTGCTTTTATTAAAATGAATTTTTGGAGTCTAAAGGGTTAATATTAATAGGAGTTTATACGTTCATTTCAAAAACGTATAACGATAATTACATAAAAAATTTCGAACAAAATGAACATTTATACTACAAAACTACAGTGAATCTGACGTTAATAAGACGAACCTATCATTATTTCGTTCACTGTACGTACCTTCAGCGACTGTCGGCGCATCCTGCTTTAACAGAGAGCCACTACGGATGAAGTTTGAAGAACGAAGGAGAACGTTTCGCGGCGATCATATCTAATCGACGTGCGCGTTAAAAGCGAGGTTTACTTCGTCGATGTCGGTCTTTGGGACAGCTCGGTGACCAGACTCCATCGGACGAATCGTTCGCAGAGCGTGACTCCGTCCTACGGATCGTCCAAGACCACAATTCCATGACCTTACGAACAAATTGTTCACCTCTACGCCCGACCTCGAGCGATCCCGCCCTCCTCGTCGGTGGCTCTCCGTTCCAAGGAACACGGAAGATCGTCTGCAAGACTATTCGAAATTACATAACAACCTGGTGACATCTTTTGGAAGTGCGGTTTTTGTTCCAAGTATCGCGATTATTCGAACCTGGCCATTGTCTTGCGGCAGCGAAGAGCAAGTCGCGGACGAGGAAACATTCGGTGATGGATTTTCACGCGTTAATGCATCAGTGTCTTTTTACGGAAAGGATATTGTCGCGGCAGTGCGTTCCCTCGAGGGGAAAGAATTAGCAAACAGTGAACGATCGAAGGAAATTTTAAATTTTTCTGGAGAATTCATCGCACGGACGACATGGAGAAATTGGAGAACGGAGTTTATGTGAGACATTTCGTAACGATGTTTCGTAACTATGTTTCGTAACGAAGGGCGCAGAGCGGAGATTTTAATTTACGGGACCGAAACGTGTTGCAGATACAAAATGGTTACGCGAACGAGGCGTTCCAGATGGAAAATGTTCAGGGTGAGCAGAAGGGGAACGATTTCGTGGACTCGGTGAAATCGAAAGGGTCGAACGATCTGGAGAAACCACCTGCGGGAACTGACAACCCTGTACGTAATATCGTCTGCTTGGAATTGGTTCCAACGACCAGCGACTAACGATTGCTTCCAGCATAGGAACGATAATAAACCACCTGTCCGCGTTCGTTTACTCTTCGACTCGTCTGTGCTCGGTTTTCTCGCATGACGAATCATTTTCCCGCTTATATTTGTATGACACCTTCGCTCGTGCAAACACTAGAATAGGTGGTAAATCATTTTCGCACGAAACGCTGGAAAAATCAAGAAATAAACACGGGCAAACTCGCGAAGCTTGGTCTTCTAATTGCTTCTCCAAGCAACTCAAAATAATCGATGGTTCCGATCAGAAAATCAGTACTCGATCCTGAAATATAAATTTGGATCTGTTATCAAGTTCGAACAATTGCCGGGTCATTAAGTGAATTTTATTTTTTGGGTCACACACGATCCACAACTGTTCATTTTAATTATGGGACTTAAACAAAGTGTCCTCTGTGTAAAAGTTTGCACTTATACGCATAGAAAAAAAAAATAACATATTTAAATTGCATATAAAATAATTATCGTCAAAATTAATGGAGATATTTAGATGGTCTTGTTTAGATAAGACAACAATTATATATCGAATCGACTTCGACTTGAAACACTGTTTGATTACAGTTACTGTAATCATTTTGCCAAGTACGTAATTTTAAAGCAAAAATATTTAAAACTTCTTAAACAGTTCAGCTATAATAAAAGGACAATTTTAAGAATGCATACGTTTATAAAATTCTGAAACTATTCGATTATAACGAATGTTTGAAGGTAAAGTATTTTTATAAATGATTGTATAGATATATTTTTTGCATTGTTTCTTTAGAGAGCAGAATGGGGAGGCGGTCTGGAATTTTTAATGGCGTGTATAGCCACTTCCGTGGGCCTTGGGAACGTTTGGAGGTTTCCATTCACTGCATACGAGAATGGAGGCGGCGCTTTCCTAATACCTTACATCATTATTCTGATATTTGTGGGAAAACCTTTTTACTACTTGGAGGGTCTTCTGGGTCAGTTCACTAACAAATCGTGCGCAAAGACGTGGGCCATGGCTCCGGCGATGAAAGGTGATCAACGCTATGAATTTCATCTATCATCTTTTATGTTAACGCTATAACTATCCACGATTATAGTGTATCTATTTGCACCAAAGAAATGAAAACGATAGAAATTTGAAGAAATGTATAATACAAATAAGTGTTCACTCATTCTCATATAGAAAATTACAGCAAAGAAAAACTTTTGGTCATTTTGATTGTTTTGGTATTTCCCAGTGCTAATATGGAATACATATCTCAGGAGTCATCAAGATTTATAAATTGTAAACGTAAAATAGACTGTATAAAAATATATATAAAAGGTATAACAGCCACGTTTATATACCATAGAAGTATGAAATGAGTGGTTCAATGATTAATGGAATATGCTAACCAGTGCACTTTCTCGAGCTGTACGAACACTCTTAATAGATCTGTGTCGCGGAGGTAAATAGAGCTGACGCAAATGTTAATTCCAGGGTTGGGATACGGTCAGGCGTTCGCAGCTACATGCGTAGTCTCTTACTATTGCTCTTTAATGGGTTTGACGTTGTACTATCTCGTAGCCAGTTTTCAACCAGAATTACCTTGGTCTTACTGTAGGCCGGAATGGCAGGGTCAGTGCGTCGACTCGGTTCCGAAGGACGACATCGAGAATCAGGCCATTTTTCTAAACAATGGTACCCTCCGCAGCTCCGCGGAATTGTACTTCAGGTTGGTGATTCTTTGACACGGACAGAACGCATTAATTACAGTAAAAACAAGCAGTTTTTATAACAAAATAGGTTTCGGGGTAGGATTATCCCTAATACTTAAAACTTTTCGTTCGTACGACTGGAATTATTTAATTGTATCTATAGTTCGTTTGTCATAATGTAGCAATATTGCAATCTTCGAAGATCGTTGGACGACTTCGTTTCTTAGAGTTATAATAATCAAGTGTCTTCCATATTTATGAGCGGTAGTATAGTTTCCTGAATCGTAATGGCGCCATGCGCACTATGTATAACACAGTGTGACATACTTAAATTAGATTTATAAGGAACGATGCACGATAACTAGTCGCACGTTTATCTCGATCTAAGTCTCGAGAGCAGCTGTTAAGACAGATCGTTGATAAAACGGAATCTCTATTTACTTGCATAAAAACTGGTATAATTCGAATAGAATTATACATATTTATCGCATTCAGACATAATCGTGTGCCATTCATGACGGTATTAATAGATGGAGGCGTTCAAATTATCCACGCTTTTCCTCCATTTGTATTGTCAAACTCCCCCCACATCATCATATGCAATTATTTTAAACACGAGTTTAAATGTAAAATATTACGTTGGCACGTTTTTATAATTATCTACATACACATATATCTTTCGAACGTAGAGTATTTTTTTAAACAATTCACGACATACCAAAATGGCTTCCTGTCACATGTTTCACAAAGCTACATTGTTGCTCGGTTCCCTCCACTTATTTTTCGATTTGTACTAAGTAGTCATTATGTTTGCCACGAGGATCTAGAGTTATTATCTGTAGTTTGCCCATTCAGTTAATTTTCTTAATCTGATGGCTTTCTCGAGATTTACGCGAATCAAAAGCATCTTAGCCACGCGACAACGATGAATTTGTTTAGGAAAATCGTTCTGAACGAGTACGACTCCATCGAGGATGGCATCGGGGTGCCATCTTGGCAGCTGACGATCTGCCTCTTACTGAGCTGGGTAACGATATTCGTTGTGCTGTTTCGGGGTATAAAGGGCACCGGGAAGGCTGCATACTTCCTGGCGATATTCCCCTACATTGTCCTGATCGGCTTGCTGATCAGGTCGGTGACCTTGGAGGGTGCAGTCGACGGGATCCTCTTTCTCATCACGCCGGATTGGGACAAGCTCTGGCAACCTAACGTCTGGTACGCCGCCATTACCCAATGTTTCTTCTCTTTGTCCGTCTGCTTCGGACCTATCATCACGTATTCATCTTACAACAACTTTGGACACAACATAAGCAGGTAAGACTTTTGAATTTGATTGATACAAAAATAAAATTCGTTTATAATCACCCATGAATACTTGATTCAAAAATTTACTGAAGAAAATATGACTTTAGAGGACCACGTCAGAAACACCTTGAATTATCCGAGAGAGACCCAATTATATAACTTTCGTGTATTTTCGATAAATCTCAGATGCAGTAAGAAGGGGTAAATCTTTCTAGTTTCGTCCCATAAGATTGAGATAACGGATAATTATATCTGTGATTGCAGAGACGTATTGATTGTCACTACACTGGACACTTTCACGAGTCTGATCGCTGGCTGCACAATTTTTGGAATCCTTGGGAATTTGGCGCACGAGATGGGCACCACGGATATATCGAGTGTGGTGCGAGGCGGTACTGGCCTCGCGTTTATCTCCTACCCGGAAGCTTTGGCCCGTTTTAGGGTAGTACCACAGCTTTTCGCCGTCCTCTTTTTCGTGATGTTGTTCGTGCTGGGTATCGGAAGCGCGGTGGCCCTTGCCGGTGCTGTTTTCGCCGTTCTTTGCGACCACTATTCGAAAGTGACTCACTGGAAGCTGGTACTTCTGGTTTCTTGTTTAGGATTCATCGTCAGTCTCGTATACATCACGCCTGTAAGTATAAGACTTACGTATGATTAACGAGAAGAATTATATTTAGACAGAATTAGTATAATCACAAGAACGAACAATTTAAATTACACTGGACGCAAATTGTTAATACACAGCAATTACATCTGCTGTCTCGCTTTCTCATTATGCAACAAACAACAACACACGTTAAACAAATCGACTACGCTCGTTTAATCGCTTTGTGAAATTTATTTGAACTGCGAAGAAAATTTCCTGCACAGGAAGTTACATAAATTACGGAAAAATTCTTCTAATATTAGTTCTTACTGCACACTAGAGACAGACCATTTTAATACCTTTGCTATTATCAATGTAATACGCAAACACTCATTTCTGACTGGATAGCGCTTGCAAATTGCAAAAGTCCATTAAATCTATCACGGTAAATATCTAGCGACCTACGATAAGTTTTAAACTACTCACAGTAACTTTAAAGCGACGTATTTATATACAATAAATGATTGTAGAGACAATGTACAATAGCACAGATAATTAAGATGGTTTCCAATAAGTCCTCTTATAATATAGTACTACCTCAAATATCGTGAATCAATTTTTACCTAAACGCGTGAACCGACCATTTGTTCGGATACATGAAACATTTGTCCGTTTCGATATATGCAACGATTTCTACAGATATACAGGTATATGAATCAATTTCTACTCGAATATATAAAACGATCGTTTGCACGGATATATGAATAAAATTCTATCCAAATATATGAAGCAATTTCACCCCTGCGAAAAATTTTAATGCGAGATTCTAGAGGCCAAAGTAAGACGAAAACCAAGAATATCAATCTCTTGACGAAACTTCGTTAAAAAGTTATTAATAATTAAATTAAAAAATTTCAAATCGTTCTAAAAAAATTATTTTCGGTTGTGGGGATCAATTACAATCATTTTTTGTCATTACACATATCCTCGAAATCCTAGGCACTTTCGGGAAAAAGTTCCTTACCGAAAATCTAATTAGGTACCTTTCGACGAAAAAAAAAATTTCAAATCATTCTGGAAAAATTATTTTCGGTTGCAGGGGGTCAATTACAATCATTTTTGGTGAATAGACATATCCCCGAAATTCTACCTACTTTCTAGAAAAAAATTCGAGGAGGTGTGAAATTTTACAACGAAAAAAAAAGATTTCAAATCGTTCTGGAAAAATTATTTTCGGTTGCGGGGGTCAATTACAATCATTTTTGGTGAATAGACATGCCTCCGAAATCCGGCGCATTTTCGAGAAAAAATTCGGTACAAGTGGAACTTTAAACGTTAATAACTTTTTAACGAATCCTCCATCGACAAATTGGTATTCTTGATTTTCGTCATATCTTGGCCTTTAGAATACCCCATTAAAATTTTTCCCATGGGTGGCCGAACACTCTGTATAAGAAATAATTTTTACCTCGTTAGATAAAACAATTTCCAGATATACTACAGATGTAGTACGAGGCGCTTGTTTGCCTGGATATATAAATAAAATTCTACCCGAATATATGAACCAATTTTTACTCGGTCATATGAATCGATTTCCATCGAACACGTGACACAGTGTCGGAGTGGGGGAAAAAGTTGATCGACGTTCGATAAAACTGGACTAAATCTGATCTTCAAGGGTGGTCAATGGTTCGTAACGCTGGTGGACTATTATGGTGGTACTTTCGTGGCGATAATCGTGGGCGTTTTGGAAATGGTAACGATCTTTTGGATTTACGGCGTGTCGAATTTCCTGAACGACATTGAATTTATGCTGGGGTCAAGACCGTCGTGGTACTGGAGATTCTGCTGGGCGTTCGTCACGCCCGTGCTGATGATCATCATTCTAGTGTACACGATCGTTACTTACGAATCACCCACGTACGACGGTGTACAATTTCCACGATACGCCTTAGGTTTGTAACTCGTCTTAAAGTGGATGTGGATAAATAAAACTGAGTGGGAAATTGAACGGAATGTTTGCAGGCATTGGATGGTTCCTGTTCTCTTTGGGAATTCTCTTGATCGTCGGTTTGATGGTTCAGAAGCTGGTACAAAAGAGATCGTCGTCGTTGATCGAAGTGAGTCATTTTGTCACGAGCGGTTATACGATTACACGAACTGATAAGTTGGCTTGAATTCATTCAATATTTATATAAAACCATTTTTTTAACGTTGAACAAAATTTTAAGAGGTTGAAATTACTCGAAAACATTAAAATTTCTCTTCTTTTCGAAATAACTTTAAAATACTTCTTGAAAAAACTGTGCAATTTTGTTTCAGCTTTCTCTTCATATCTTTTACCATTCTAAAGTTATTTTACACCCTTTTAAAGCATCTTGCAGAACAAAAGAAAAAAGAATAGTATTGTAAATTTGAATAGGGAAGTTTGATAACTACTTTTGCGAGTAATTTTCACAAAAATAATTAATTTTCACGGTCGATGTCTGTTTCGTAGACCGTCAAAGCAGCGTTCCGTCCTTCTGAAGAAAAGTGGGGCCCGAAAGATCCCAAGATCCGCCTGGAATGGAAAGAATTCATCGCGGAGAGGAATTTCAGTCAGCGAAGCGGTTTCGTGGAGACTTTTTTTAAATAGTGTCAAATAAAATCGAATTCTGTACAGACTACTTGCACATTTGTGTGATTCAAGTGAACCTAAAAACTCCTCGTGTCCCTTCCAACGATTCCCAGGAATAGAAACTTAATTAGCTATTCCTGAAAATGGCGGGTATTAAGCAGTTTCTCGTATGCAAAGTGATTTTAGAAGATCTCATCCAATCGTAAAGATATTGCACTCGTTTCGATGACGAACAAATATTGTACGTTGCATCTTTGCTGATTCTTCGAATATTCTATTCGACGAGTAACTTTGAACGGTTGCAACTTAGCAAGAAAACATTCATCGTAACGATCAGTAAAGGATTTAGAAACACCCTGTATAGTCTAACGTTTGAAGATACAAGAATCTGACCGATAATATCTGATTTAACACGGTCACCGCGTAACGTTGTTGTCTTGGCGCGCAGAATGCAGGGCAATTCTTCTTAGAAATGGCTGGCCTCAGGTTGACAAAGAGAAAGTCACTATTAATTGCTGCATTGGTTATGCTTGATAGCGTTCGTAGATTAACATTAAGAAATAAAAAACCGACCACAAGGAAAACTAGTAAACGTATTCTTTTAAGAAAGAACGAGACTCTAGTGTAACGCTCACTTTTTAATACGCTTTTGCACAGTGCTTGTAACGTTAAACCTATTGACATAGTTTTACGACCGAACGGTTCAAAGGTTTAATAGATATTTAACGTTAAAATTGCAAGGAAAACATATTTCTCGGTTGGATTAGTGATTTAGTCAAGGACGAAATTTTTTATTATAAATTTTTCTTGTTGTTTAAGGTGCATTACGAATCAGTACGATTTTCGAGTAATTTCGACAGTTTAGATGGACAATGTTTTCACCAAAAATTAATACTTAAACTGAAAATGTTTGTCTCGAAAAATCAAGATCATCGTAATTGTTTAAATTCAGACTATACATTTTTGACTTTGTAATATGAATTCATCGACCTAGTATATTATGGCTCTGAGACGACCTTGTCTTTAATAAAGTTTAATTTGCAGTTATTTGCATTATCTCATGCTCGTTTTTCGTTTAATTTTTGTCCGAATGCGGCGACTGGAAATTTTTAGGTCTAATTTACGACGCATCTAGAAATAAATTTTGAACAATGAATTTTGTTTAACAGTATGAATTACATTTTTTTAATAAGTACGAGTTATGTTTACAAATCGTACGATATATCTCATAAAATATTTCATAATAAAGGGATACAACTGCATACTTACCAATAAAATGGAATTCACACGTTGCAAATATGTATATTGTACTAATAAAACGTAATTCGTACTATCAAACGATTAATTTTTTTAAATATCTGAGAAAGCTTTTTAAACTATATCTCACCATTTCGAGCGCTATAATTTACCAAAGCCTTTTAGAAGGCGAGCCTTCTGCACTCTTTTAATATTACCTTTTGTGAAACGAAACTTGCATTCGACAAGTATTTTGAAGTAACGTTAAAGCTAAAAAATTACGTAAAATTACCAGGATCCCACTAATTAAATGATTAAAACAGACACAATGGACGTAGCGTTAGAGAAAAGAGTTTTTGCGATTCTCAATGGAGACACGTTGACCATGTAGATCCGTATCGTCTTTCCTGTCGTGGATCGTTTGACACGCTCGATTTACAAAACAATCCGCAATTTACAAAACCATCAGCAAACAGAACATTCGGATCGCGTCCGTGGCATTCCTCTAATCTGTCGTATGCAAAAATCATGACGCCGTGCGTTGTATTTGTAAAAGACGATCGAGAGCCTTCGAGGTCGCGTGCCGGATGCTGATTTCGCGTGTCGGGTGCCGTTCGCAGACAGCCGAAATATCCAATTAGGCGATACCGTGAAAAGTGAAATTGATAAGTGGACGGTGTTAACGCGAAAATGAAAATATGACACTGCCAGTTGTCAAGATTTCTCACGACACACGGTCGATCTAGGTGACTAAATGTCGTCGATCAGTCTTTCAAAAGCTCTTGCCTCGTGAAGATCGCCGAAGAGGGACTCTTGCAAGCAGCGTGCGTTGGGTGACTATGACTCAGGTTCGTATCTTTTTCCCCCGACGTTTCGAATTATAACAAATAACGAGTCGCGGTGAATAAAATAGAAATTGCAGCAATTACCTAACGAGTTATTAAAAGAACAATCGTTACGATACGACATCTTTTTAATCCAAAATTTGCTCGAATTACCTGGAAAAAAATTCTATTGAGATAATATTTTGTGAGAATCAAAAAATTTGCCAACGAAACGATACGTAAAAATTTGAACGTTGATTGGAAAAAAGGCCTTACAGTGGTTTCAATCGTTTGACGATAGTCTCCGAATTGTTAGACTTGATAAACGGTTCTTAGAAAGTGCAAATGATTTATTGCTTTAAATATCAAATTCATTTCGAGAAGCTAATCTAAATTGCAGTCGTAAAGCTGTATCGTGGCTTAATTTTCAGTTATCTTAATAACAACGTTGGCCAATGTTGAAACGTCTCTAAGAAATCCGACGATTATACACTTATTTTTAGTTTCAATTTGTTCCCAATAATTCTGTTCTCGCAATAAATGTTCGACGCGTTCTAAGCCGATCGACGATTGTTTAGAAACGTTCTTCCTTGTCCGACGGAATCGTAAATGGAGCATTGTTCCGGTGAGAATATTGCTCGTAACAAATTCAACGGGATCTCGCCGTAATTGCTCTTTAATAGCTCGGTTGCATGGAAGCATATTCGAGAGAGATATTCGTTGATGCGTCCTTACGTAAACGGCACAATAATCGAAGAAACCGGGAGTGTGAATTTGCAACGAGCAATTTGTTAGATAATAAGAAGAAGATAGTCAAACTATTGCGTTTCCGTTCATAGAACAATTTCGCGAGCAACGATGGTGTGGCTGGTTCGTATAGGCTCTCAGTAATATCCACGACCGACAAGCAACACGAAAATAGGGTGAGTTACCTTTTAGGATCTATTCTAACTCGAGTCGAACGTCGAGCACAACTCGAATCACCCACGCTCCCACGCACGAGCCACTTTTAACCCTCGAATGACTCACTGGGATCTTTCGTAACCCTAAGAAATTTTTTACTAATCATTCGAGTCGTTCAATCTTTTAAATATACCACAAAATATTACGAACGTTAATAAATCTCCTCTCGTTTGACGACTCCATTTTCTTTTTTCATTAAAATGTTGCTCAATGGTGTACTTTAGTACGTTGTTTCAAGTTATTTATCGTCCAAAAAGCCTGTCAATACGATTCTAATGTTTGATAACGCGAAAATATGTAAATAATTGTTCGATTCGACGAAGAACAACTGCACCCTTATACAGGGTTGCTGATTTATCAAACACAGAGGTATTTGCTTTAATACGTTGTTTCAAATTATTGATAACGCGAAAATATATAAATAATTGTTTGATTCGATGGAGAATAACTGAACTTATATACACATTTATCAAATTCAATGGTATCAATGTTCGTACTGTACCAATGTTCGTAATCGTACAAATTATTTGATTCGTTTAGCAGCCGGGGGTTGGAGATCCTCCAGACAAAAACGAGCGCGAGCAATGGACGAACGACATCGAATTCTTGATGTCCTGCGTGGCGTTCTCGGTTGGTCTCGGTAATGTTTGGAGGTTCCCCAACACAGCTTATGAAAACGGGGGCGGTGCGTTCCTCATACCTTACATCATCGTCCTCTTCATCATTGGCAAGCCTATTTACTACATGGAGATGATCTTGGGACAATTCAGCAGCAAGTCGTGCGTGGAAATTTGGTCCGTGTCGTCAGCCTTCAAAGGTATGTGCAATGGCCGCTCCAATCCAGGGGTTGAAGACCTAAAATTTCTAGCCCTCTCACAGATACTTAAGGGTGGCAATTAATTGTATAATAGACAAACTTCAAAATACACTTCTCATATTTACACTAGTGTAACTGTACGGAATGTGAGAACAAAAACTCTACAGAGGATAAATATTTATTCAATTTTTTTTATATTTTATTTTTAAATTATCCTTATCGTTGTGTCAGATACAGTTTAAAAACATTGCAGAAGTCACTTTTTCCTACAGTAAACGTTTCTGCGACATAGTACACGTATGATTGGTCAACCTACCCCTATGTTTGTGTTTCTTCGTCACTTCAGGGATCGGTTATGGCGTAGCCGTGTCAGTCTTCTCGGTGGTCACTTACTATTGTTCCCTGATGGCATTGACAATGTACTACCTGTTGGTCAGTTTTCAACCGGTTCTTCCGTGGGCTTTTTGCTGGGAAGAATGGGGCGACGGTTGTTTCGACAGCACGTCAACCAACAACACGACTACGAACGTCAACAAAAGCAGCTCAGCCGATTTCTTTTTTCGGTGAGTGTTAAATCTATGTCTCAAATATCATTATAAACAATCATCGAGTCGTTGCATAATTTCTGTTCTATTTTTGGGTAAAATTTCAACTTCCAGAACTTTACAATTAGATCTATTTAATTAATGTCAACTATTTGTCTTCGTCTAGAAGACAGTCATCTTTAATATTTATAAGTATTTACAAAAGCTTTGTTGGGACAACAATAGATCTTATCCTTTTGACTGCTAACACTTTTCACTATAGAAATTTGTGTCTCGAACCACAGTTGATTATTTTCCATCAATTGATTAATTTACGTCGAAATAATTATTTGTAACTACACTTAAGAGTTAGTGCAACATTTATTTTCCAGCCAAGTGGTCCTTAACGAAGCCGGAATCGACGAAGGACTCGGAGAGCCATCTTGGAAGCTGGTCGTCGCCCTTTTCGTCAGCTGGGTGTGCGTTTTCATAGTGATTAGCAATGGCGTCAAGAGCACCGGGAAAGCTGCTTACTTCCTTGCTCTGTTCCCATACGTGATCATGATAACGCTTCTGGTGAGGGCAGTGACGCTCGAGGGATCCGTGGACGGCATTATATTTTTATTCACGCCAACCTGGGAGAAAATCTTCGATCCTTCCGTTTGGTACTCGGCTGTAACCCAATCGTTCTTCTCCCTTGGAGTCTGCTTCGGTGCAGTCACCATGTACTCCTCCTACAACCGATTCAATCACAACGTATTAAGGTAATCGAAATCGCATCTGATCTTCTACTTCCGTCTTGATTCTTGACTTTGATTCGAACGAATACAATGGCGACGTTGCTACTTGTTCTTCATTGAATGACTTACACAGTGCCATCCTGGCATTAGAAACTGTATATACAAAATATATAAATATTCCAAGTGTCTTATATTTTTGTTCAGTAACATTTTTGTGGAGAAAAGAATATTTGTCTAATTTTAATAATTTTAATATTTTTCTAAGTCACGTCACAAAATTGCATTTGGTATTGCTAGTTATTCATATTCTGAGTCTCTTGTGTCTTTCTTGGGCAGATTCAAAGGAAACTAATTTTTCCAGAGACTGCACAGTAGTGACGACCATGGATCTGGCCACGAGTTTGATAGCAGGGACGACGATCTTTGGTATCTTGGGTAATCTTGCTCACGAATCCGGGAAAGACGACATCAGCACAGTCGTACGCGGTGGTACAGGTCTTGCCTTCATTTCGTATCCCGAGGCACTTGCTAGATTCACGGTGGTACCTCAACTCTTCGCCGTATTGTTCTTCCTGATGCTGTTCGTCCTGGGAATAGGCACCACGGTGGCCTTCACCAACGTCATCGTCAGCATCATCAAAGACAAATTCCCGGAAGTTCCAAACTGGAAGATCTCTGCCGGTGTTACGAGCTGCGGCTTTTTAATCGGAATCGTTTACTGTACGCAAGTGAGTCTCATTACGTGTTTAAATTTCATAAAATACTGAACAGTTGAGAATTCACTTACAAGGGATGTTAATTTTTCTTACAGGGAGGACAATACGTTCTAAACCTGGTAGACTACTTCGGTGGAACGTTCATCATAGTGTTCTTGGCTTCCTTCGAAGTGATTGGAATTTCTTGGGTATACGGTAAATTATTCGCGTTTCCCACAGATTACGTCAAAGTCCACGAAAGAATCGATAAAAATTACAATGAGCTACAAGATATATTATTATTCATCTTCGCAAATTTATTCTTAATAGTCGTTATTATTATTCATACAAAATTAGAACTTTACAATGTTCAAATAAACCGTTTCTATTAGTCAAATCCACAACCCTCTAGGCTAAAGTCAGGGATTTTTTCTATTTTACAGTATCGATTTTGAAAGCTGTTCGATGATTTTGTAAATTGGAACAAACGTGTCCCGTCAGTTTGTTTCATTTTTCCCAAAAAGTGGATTTTTTCGTTGGCTTCGCCCTTCGTCCTATAGTTTTCTAATCGATTCTCATCGCATAGGTATCGATAACTTTTTGGACGACGTAGAATTCATGGTTGGCACCCGACCGTCCTTCTACTGGAGGACCTGTTGGTGTTTCTTGACACCTCTGACTCTCTTTTCGATTCTGCTTTATTTTCTATACGGGTTGACGCCTCTCACTTACAACGGCGAATATTATCCAACTTCCGCTTACGGTAAAAACATTGTTACCCAAAGGAAACGTACGATAATTATGCTATACGTATTTTTATTGTTCTGATACTGTTTCAGTCGCTGGTTGGGTTCTTCTGGCACTGGGAGTGATTCAGTTTCCACTCTGGATCGTTGTCACGAGGATACAGAACAAACATAAAAATGCTTTGGACGTGAGCAATTGAAAAAATAACATAATACGATATAAACTATAATTTCTTTATTTTTATTCGTGTGATTTCAGATCTTCAAACCGAGTTCCAATTGGGGCCCAAAAGATCCGAACAAGTACAAAGAATGGAAAGACTTCAAGGACGCCAAAAGGATATCGAGGATGAACCTGAGCAAGAAACGACTGAGAATAGTGGAGTTGTTGATTGGAGCAGATTGATAGCGACTGTACTATTAAGAAATTCGCTTTAAGATCTGGTCTTCTAGCTACTTCGATCGTTACCATTCTGTAGATATCTCCATACTGTATATTGATTATTTAATTTCTAAATAAATATACTTAACTGTCACGTTACTGTAATGATATTTACACCTAAGTTTCCTATATTATCGTGTTTGATGGCCATTGCGAAAATGAGAACCAATCGATCAGTTTCGTTGCAACGTTTTGAATCAATTTTTATCGGTATTAATTTTGATCAACAACCTTTCCTGTAAGTTATTGATCTTTGTTGAAGTTCTCTTTGCATCGATTGGTGAACCACTTTAATGCCAGATTAAAAGTGTTCCTTCCGTTTTATTTCATTTTAACACGCAGCAGTATGCAAATCAATTGGAGCCATCTGGGTTGCGTCCTGAGACTCCTTTCTTTCGTTTTCTGTTCTTTAAAAAGTAACCAGGCATCCTTGTACTTGGTCTTCCTTGGCCCCCATTCTGACGTTGGTTGAAAGGACGCTTTTATATTCTGCGACGGAAACAGGAACGATTGGTAAAACAACAAATAATCAACGCGGGAAGATGTTAAAAAATATTCTTTGGGAGACACTCCACGAGTATTTCACTACCAAGCATGGTACCTGCAAAAATGGCAGACGTCTGTTCTTCACCATTTCCGCTACCATCCAGAATGGTATTTGGAAAACGCCGATGCAGAGTATAATCACGCCAGCCACGTGTGCCGACGCTGGATAATCTTTTCCGCCATAAGTCACTGGCGACAAGGTTGCAACAGTGTATATAAAAATTATTATCAAAATCAACGGCGTTACGAGAAACCAGCAGACATTCCAATAGATGCTCGTTTTTTTCTCCAACATAAACTCGATGTCGTCTATGAAATTTTCTATACCTGTCCCAACAAGATTAGTTATAAACAGTTAGCTGGGTATTATTTTTATTTATTTACGGGGTAATCGTCCTTTAATAAGAAACAAATACATAACATACCATCCATTAAATTACGATTAGCAATAAATAAATTTTAGATAGAACGTATATTTATGCTGCAATAAAGTAACTATTTTGTAATAAAAATAATATTTGTTTGAACTATGCAAGAAATGTTCTTAAAGCTGTAATTTATTTTTCGAGGTGTAACTGTAATAATTATATAAAAATTATGCGAAAAATACGAACCGTACAACCATACTACCGCAGTGATTTCAAAAGACGCCAGGATAAACACAACGAAAGAGGTGCCGTAATAATCGACCAACGTAAGCAAAAATTGGCCACCCTGTGAGCAAAGAGAATAGTCAGAATAGTTAGACACTATACAATTCATCTTCTGACTATGCAATATTGTTTTAAATCATTTACGATCACTCTAAAATTTTGTACAAACAATGATTATCACACGAATATCATTTATAGTTTCAGATAGTCGAATTCTATTTGATTATTGATTTCGAATTACATAACTCGAATGCAACCAGGCTGTTCAAACGTTACATTTAATCTTTTTTAAGTTTAATCGAACGTTCGGGCTGTTTGGATAATCGAATGCTCGACTTGGTTTGAAAAAAAAATGAATTTCTTTTGATTGCGATGAAAATGTCATACGTACAGGCGTTACGTAAACTGTGCTGACGGCAAATCCCATCGAACACACTGAAATTACGATTTGCCAGAGTTTTACATTTGGAAGTTTGTCTTTTAAGGCTATAACTACTCCCGATACCATCCCTACGTTGCTACCGACTCCCAGAACGAACATCATCACGAAAAAGAGGACCGCGAATACCTGTGGAGAACAATTTAAATTTGCACAGCTCTCTGACCAAAAATATTTTCTTACGGACCTCCGTTATAGCAATAATCGTGCGTTTACCTGTGGCACAACATCGAACTTTGCTATCGCGTCGGGATAAGAAACGAACGCCAGACCAGCTCCAGACCTCACCACTTTGTCAATATCCGTAATACCCATTTCGTGAGCCAAATTACCAAGAATTCCAAAAATCGTGCAACCAGCTATCATACTGGTCACCGTGTCGAGGCTGGTCACGATCATCGCGTCCCTAAAACGCGTCAACATTCGATAAAATTGCAAACAAACAAAATTAAAGCTATTAATCTTTCAGTATCATTAATACAATGATGTATCTCTTCGAAAATTACCCTAATGCTTAACACTATTTCTTTGTTACCGGTTACTTTCTATGATTTGTAAAACAAAGATGGTCACTATACGCTCTAAAAGTTTCGTAAAAATTGGAGAACCGAAGTTTTGGCGCGTTTTCTTCGGAAGAGAAAAGAAGAATTCTACCTGTAGATATTGTGTTTGAAGTCGTTGTGCGACGAATAGGTGATGATGGTGCCGAAACAAACGGAAAGCGAGAAGAAGCATTGCGTGACAGCAGCGTACCAGACGGTCAAGTCCGAAAGTTTCGACCATTTTGGCGTGATAAAGTACAAAATCCCGTTTCCTGCGCCATCGAGGGTGACTGCTCTGATCAGAAGACTGACCAGTACGATGTAGGGAAAGATCGCGAGAAAATAGGACGCTTTTCCAGAGCTTTTCACGCCCTGGAACGTTATCAGGATCACCGATAGCCAGCTGCCAAGCAGGCAGAGCGTTAATTTCCAATCTGGCAATCCGATCCCATCGTCGATGCTGTCCTTCTCCTGGAGTACCACTTTCCTGATATCGAAAAGTGTAACCTTTAAATTTCATTTTAATTAAAAACACATCTCTCGAAAAATGTTTACTTACGAATATCTGCTACGAAAACTGACAAAAATTGTGCTAAAAGTAATATGTTACGCAAATTTTATCTTTTTGTTACCGTGATTTTGTTTTACGCTGTACGGAAATGTTGTTTAATACGTTTCAGTAGGTATCCACAAGTACTACTGCACAAATAAATTTCATTGAAATATACTCACTATTGTAGGAGTTATGGTCGTTTGAAAATTGGATCAGTTTTATGGACTTTTTCTCAATTTCCGGAATTAAGACACAACTCTTCCAACTTTCTTATAATTTCTATATATTCGTCAGCAAAGTACGCGCCGTTTGCCTTTTGAAACATTATAATCCTTCAATCCGATCAGGACTTGTGATTTTTTAAACATTCGCATGAAATTTCGGGGAACAATTACTGGTAACGAATTTTTTTCTCGAAAGTGCGTAGAAATTTGATGATATGTGTATTGACTAAAAATGCTTGTAATTGACCTCCGCAACTGAAAATAATTTGTCCAGAACGATTTGAAAATTTTTTTTTCGACGAAAAATTTAGGCACCTACCACCTGTCGATTTTTAATAATTTTGTTTGACGATGTAAGGAAATTTTGTCTAATACTTTTTTTGTAGGTAAACGTGAGCACTACTTCAGGAAAAAATTTCATTGAAATGTATTCACTATTGCAGGAGTTGTGGCTGTTTGAAAATTGGACCATTTTTATGGGGTTTTTCTAACTTTACTGGGTCAAGGAACCACTTTGTCAATATTGTTAGAATTTCTACATATTCTTCACAAAAATACGCGTAGTTTGCAATTTGAAACATTAAAATCGTCCAAACCGTTCAGGAGTTATGACGTTTTAAAGATACGCAAGTCGAGTGACATTTCTGGCCTGAAATTATATTTTCGGTAAGGAATTTTTTTCTAAAAAATGCGTAGGAATTCAGGGGTATGTCTAAACACCAAAAATGATTGTGCTTGACCCCTGCAACTAAAAATAATTTTTTTAGAACGATTGGAAATTTTTTAATTCTGTCGAAAAATTTTACACTCTCGAATTTTTTTCTCAAAAGTGGGTAGGAATTCGTGGGTATGTCTATTGACCAAAAATTATTGTAATTGATTCCCGCAGCCAAAAATAATTTTTCTAGAACGATTTGTATGGTGTGCTCGTATACCTCGTCTGTGATTTAATGATTTAATGATTCAATAAAAAAATGTCTCACAAAAAGTAAAGTTCTGCCGAGCTTTTAAACTGTTCGTCGGTCACCAGCAAGTCGAATACGTTCGCACCCTCGGACCGTGCTCCTTCGAATGCGCCCATACTGTTCGCGCTTATGTTCGCCTTAGTGCTGGAATCCACACAATGGTCGCCCCATTCCTCTCTGCACTTCGCCCAGGGTAGCTCGGAGGAGAAAGATGCGATCAGGAAGAACAACGTCAAAGCCATCAAGGAACTGTAATACGTCATCAGCGCCACGTTCGAACAGAGTTGGGCCCATCCAACTCCTAAAAAAAATACACTTCCATAGTTTCCAAGATGTGGATCGGTATTATTTCTACATCAAATTGTAGAAATGTGTTGTGAGTCAATCGGGAGTACAAATATAATGAATGAAGCATTGTAAACGTAATTACATAACGTAGGAAGACGAGCTAAGGATGAATTATGCGTTGTGTAATATTTTGTGAGATTGCATCTGCTAATGTGGCTACAGAATTATTAAAACAGAATACAAATAGACGGATAAGCAAATGGACAGCTCGAAAGAAGAGTCGATTATTAAAGTTATTAAGAAGAATTATATTAAAATTAGCCCTTTTCTTTCTAACGATAAGGCTACACGTTGGTAGTCGTCTCTGAGGAGTTTTTTCTTAGATTTATAGGATTTGAATATATTTTGATTATATTTTTAACTATCTGTAAATCTTAACTGTAAACGAATGAAAATTACCGACGAACGCTGGTGAAAGGCTCCAAACCTTGATGGACGTCGAGGACGAGAATTGTCCTATGATCATCTCCAAGTAGTAAAATGGTTTACCAATGAGGAACAGAACGATTATGTATGGTATAAGGAAAACACCGCCGCCATTTTCGTACGCTGTGAACGGGAACCTCCAAATGTTACCAAATCCGATGGACATGGCGATGCAGGACATCAGGAACTCGATGCTGTTGTTCCAGCCTCTTTTCGCTTCTGTTTCCTCGGATGTCACCGAATATCGTGCAATCGAGTCTCCGGAGTCTTTCCGGAAGCCATTTTGGTCTTCTTCGTCCGCGACAAATGCTGCGTTCCGATGACCGTTTTGAACGCCATTGCTCTACGAACGAAAGCAAACGTATTCGATTACTTTAAAATAAAAATCGATCAATCTAAAGTTGTTATATTATTTTTTTTCTTTAATAATTGTGTGGCCTTCGGTGTGGTGCATGGTTGTTGTCAAGTTGACCTCGACTTTTTTAATGAAAAAAGCATTATAAACATACACTTTTGTCTGAAACATTCTTTGACTGCACTATTGGAAATGCCTAAGAAAAGGTGACAGAGCTTAACGAAATGAAAATAACGAAAACTTGCGATTGAGCGTTGCTACGTAATAGTGATTCTAATAGTAATTCCTTTCTAACGATAAGTGGATTGGTTTAACGTTAAGTGAAATGGTTTAACGACGAGTGGTTTTTCAATTTCGATGAAAAACAGATCATTGGTGAAGTATCGACACTGCCTTAAAAGATTAAGCACAGATAGCATTGTCTTCCGTGAATCGCACGAGGCACAATACTTGAAATTATCAAGATCATAGTTTAATAGTTATCAGGGATGATGCACTCGAAACCTAAGTAAATAGCAATTTTATTTATTATTAATTCACCGATCATTGTAGATGTATTTAAAAAATACAAAGGATTCAATATCGAGAAATAGTCGTCCATTTTAAACAGTCGTCAATGGCAACAAGGGTCAATTAGAGATGAATTGAATTTTAAACTTTGTCGTTTAATACTGGGTTGGCCAACGAGGAGAAAATTGCAACTCCATAAGCTTTCTCGTCTCATGGAAAATTAGGTATACATATACCATTAGTTTTAGTTTCTCGACATCTACCATTCTGCAAAAGCTGATCAAAAAGAATAACGTGTCACGGACGTTCCATATTCAAGATAGCGGAGCATTAGTTTTGAGCTCTTTATGGAACCCATGCGGATTCTTATCGCGTGAGTAAAATCTTGCTATCGCCAGTGTTTCTGTGGCAGACAAAATACAATGAAAGCCGTTTATCACTTCCTGCAACGCTCGTGGTGTAACCAATCGTAAATAAAGCGAACCAATTCGCGTCTCGAAGTTGTTTATGTAAGCTTAGACTGCGTTTTAGAGCATAAAACCCGTTCCCATTTTGCTTTTCTCGGCCAAATTGCGATACAAGAATGAAATTACGCGATTAAAACAGCTTTAGAAATAATAAAACGCGAACTTGAATGTATGAGCGTTTCCTAATAAAAAGAAAACAAACTTGGTACACTTTCGAGCGTAAAAGAATTAATTCGTAGCCTATTTTTATTGCCTCAGCGCTGTACAGAATCGTTAAACGATACCTGCACCATGAAAAAATTATAGAATCGCAAATATTAACGTGGCAAGTAATCGATGTTCCTTTTTTTTACTTATTTATTTACTCTTTGATAAAAATGTTATGTGTGAAAGGCGAATGTCTTGACGCCGAAGACGAAAAAAAAAGTCGCGTTTTTTGACTCACCGTATACTTGCGCATTTGATAGTCGAGGATGAACGAAGCACAGGATGAAACGACAGGATGAAGACTACGAGAACAAAGAAATTACGATTTCTAGAAACGGGCAAATCGATTCTGCCCCGCGCTTTTCGACGATCGACGTTGCACGCATCAGCTTTTATATCACGAAACGTGTGTCGATTCGTACGTGATCAAAAAACCTTGGCGATAAGGCGATCCTAACATTTAGATTACACTGCAATTCTATGCACACTGATAAATGTACTACTATACTCTGTTTATTAATGTCACCAACACACGGTGATAAAAATACTGATCTTAGTTGGGTAGAAATAATTTTTCTCTAAAATTTTAATCTTATTCTATTTAAACAAAAAATATTATAACAAGAAGAAAATATCGTTGCGAACATGGACGTTGAAACGAAGAGAGAATCGAAATTGGACAAGGTAATTTGAAAATGTTTTAATCTTTGATGAATTTCAGTCTTTCGATCAAGTATAGATATGAAATTTCCAAATTTGATATTTTTTTGATGTAACGTGTTGTTTTTGTCTGACTCAACTGCGAAATGAGAGATGATTATTTAAATTAATGAAAACATAACCCAAAAGTAACCTAATTTACTTATTAGTCGCTGGATTATTGTGTTATTATTGTATAAGTTACGTATAATTTTAAATCTATAACACGTGCATAAAAAAGTTGTATTTTTCTATGAATTAGTAACGATACAAAAACATTTTAATACTATTCTTAAAGCACTCAAATTTAGAGCAACTAGAAGAAGACGATTCAAAAAACACGAAAAAAATGATCAAAGAAGCTACGATTGGATTTCCAGAACATGCAAAAGAGGTTTCCAAAGGACACAACGAAGCCAAAAAATCTAAGATACCTCAAAAACCAGATAAATCGTGTAATAAAGAAATACAAAATCTATCTAATGTCGCGTCAACTCCGAAAGAAAAAATTGCAAAATTCTTGCGCGAAAAATCGCTAAGCCAAAGCCTGATCGCTACTTTACTGAAAGTTGGATTCACCGACGAATTTCTTAGGTAAGCAAATTTTAAGCTAAACGTTCGACACGCGCTAATAAAATAAAATAAATAAAAGCTAGTAATAGTGGTTTATGTAAAAAATTAATTCATCGACGTTGAAGACTCTCAGCGTGATTTACATCCAAAACTTTTGAGGAAATTCTGTTTCTATGCGTCTTAAAAAATAATAGACTGCTGAAGGCGATAGGATTCGTTGAGGAGGACATCGAAAAGCTTGAGAAGTTGTGGGATATGGAGAAGAATAGAGAAAACACCGATTCGTCCGCGTCTTCGTCTTCTTCCTCCGACGAGTATTTGTCTCCGGATGGGATGTACCTGAAAAACTCATTGAGCAAGCCTTTGTCACGTGGCATGTGTGAAATTGTTTCAAAGAAGCCCTTCGATCCGGTCGAATACCTCGGCCACTGGCTACTGAATTACAAAGTTAGATAATAAGCTAAAGCTAGATTTTAAAAAACAGTTAAGGTGACCTTATCCTTTATCGAAAAAAAAGTTTTTTTATATTAGAATTTTTAACTGATCAAAAACTGAGGAAACATTCTTTTCTGGGATTATCAGAAGTATCTGAAAAAGGTGTCTGCCATTTTGTATACAATTTCAGATATGCGAGGAACGGTGCAGGAGGCAAAGGGAGTTCGAGTTGGAACTTATGATCGAAAGAGAGAGACTTAGCTTACGAGTCTGTATAGCTTTTGCATTCTTTTTTATCTAAATTACTTCGCGTACATTTATCAAAATCGGTGCAACTACTAATAACACGCTTATTATTCTACGGTGGAAAAAAAACAGGACTTGGAAGACAAAATAACCGTGTCGATGGAACACGAGGAGGAGGAGGAAGAGTACGTCGACGATTGGAATTTCTTGCATTATGAATGATTCGAAAATCCACACGTTAAGAAAGTATATTTCTATATCGACTCGTGCAGTAGTGTCGCGTTAATTGACTGGAATTCTGTCTCGATAGATGACTAAATATGATCTCGAATTACTGCCAACTAACGCGACGCTACTATACAGGGTGTTCGGCCACCCCTAAGAAAAATTCTAATGGGTGATTCCAGAGGCCAAAATAAGACGAAAATCAAGAATACTAATTTGTTGATGGAGCCTTCGTTAAAAAGTTATTAACGTTTAAAGTTCTGCCCGTACTGAATTTTTTTCTCGAAAATGCACAGGATTTCGGAGGTATGACTGTTCACCAAAAATGATTGTAATTGACCCCCGCAACCGAAAATAATTTTTCCAGAACGATTTGAAATTTTTTAATTTAATTGTTAATAACTTTTTAACGAAGCCTCAGTTAAGAAATTGATATTCTTTATTTTCGTCTTATTTTAGCCTCTAGAATCTCCCATTAAAATTTTTCCCAGGAGTGGCCGAACACCCTGTATTTATCGCACACCTTTAGTAAATGCTATTGAAAGCGTACTCTAAGTATTTTAAAGGCAGTAGTATGGAAAGAAACTGTCGCGTTAATAAATAAAATTGAGAGTTTAAATACTTTTCGCGGCAGTTGTGTAACATAAATCATTAAAACTATCGTGTCACTCGATTTTCTGCTTAATACTGTACTCCACGACACTGGAAAAAGAAACTACAGAACTCCCGCTTTCAAGTGACAATGTTTAGAAAAATATTTACTATATTCGTGCGTATATCGTTTAACTGAAATATCCAAAGCACACGCAGTACGTAAAATATACGTTTTTAAACCCCTCTAACGACGAAATATATTTCAATTTGAGTTTCGCTTTTCTATCCTGCTTATTGCCCTCGGTTCAAGATAAAAATGGCTGCCTACTGCGCTCGTAAGTCAAACAACAGTTCCCATTTTGGCACTCGAAGGCAAGAATTACTGTATCTTCGAAGATGGCGGACATCGGAGAACGCTTACGATTTATCGAATATTTTGTGACATAATTTATTTGTCATCGAAACTTCCAACGAATTTGGGCGTCCGTTTCTCTTCGATCTAAAATTATAAAACATACTTTGTAGTGATTACCAAAGGGTTAAACGATAAAAAAAAGCGTTGAAGCCTACGTCTATACAGGTACGAACTATTTACAAGACGGCAAACTGAACGAGCAGGGCAAAAATGAACAAAGAAATGCAATGGATATTTTGAACGCCGTGAAATGTCTTCAGAGGAAGAGATAGGAAGGGAGGATGTTCCTATTTTCTTAGATCCGTGAAAGTACAAAACAGAGTGAGGTAAATGGTTTCAAAGCGGAGAGCCAGAAGATTAATAGACTCGAATCCATTGTATCGCTCACTTCTGAAACTGTTCACCGGCCACTGTGTGCCTTTATAATCGATGTATGAATTACTATAGAGCGAGAACGCTCGGTTCTCTTTACACGAGCTTATCTTCCCAACTGAGTATCACGTAAACGAACTGCTTCATCCTCGAGCATTCTCGTTTCTCCCGTATTTTCCGTCTGATTTCTTTGAATTCGCGCCAGGAAGCCAGATGTTTCGCGTTCTTCGGCCCCCAATGCGAGGATGGCCTGAAGGCTGACTTGATCATCTGCAAGTGCATAAGTAGTCACGCGTACAGCTATTGTCGGTCGAAATTATTACTCGTACCTCGGGAAATTTCAAGTGCCTCTTAGAGATCATCGTGTATATCATCCAGAATGGAATCTGTAATATCCCGAAAGCGCAGATGCTCCATCCAGCAGCTGTAAATCAATGTTTTTCGTGAAACGGACCATTCCTTAACACTAGACCTACCGACAATTCATTTTCAATTAAATAAATAATTTATAATCGAATTTTGTCGCACACCAGTCGTATAATCGATAGGAATTGCTGAAACTTTTTTGGGTATGTAGCGTCAAAGTAAATTTCAAAATAAACATAGAGGACAGCATAAATTATAGTAGGTGATACGATCATTAGATAGAGAATGAAATGCCCTTTAAAACGAGCGTCGTACAAGTCGATAGCGTAATTAGTTCCGGAGATATGATGATTTTAGTTTCAAGTCGATGCGGTGGCTAGTTACAGATATATAAGGGTCCGAAGCGTTTGTTTACTTTCTTACTACGGCCTTGTCAAGGTCGTTGACCGCACGTGCGCGTAGTAAATAGTAAACACCACGTCACTCGGTCACTCGGTCAGTGGGTCAACGTGTGAGAAGAACGTCCGACGTGACGCGTTAGACGGAGACAGCGATAGTCGAATTAAGAAAAATTACCCCTTCACATAAATTACGATATCTCGAAAACGGAAAGCCGGATCGCCAAAACCCAAAAGCTATTTTAAAGAGGAAGGTTTACCGCTTCTGATAATGGCTCAATTATGGATAAAGCACTAGTAATTTCAGAACTGCACGCGTCTAAAGTTTTTAGTATTTTTAATACGCGTTGTTAGACTGTTCTACCATAAAATAGTCATTTGACCGATCTTGTTAGATTTAGTGTTAACACGAATCTACCCACGAAAGGCAAAGAAACGATTCAGAGTATTTCTTTTTTCAGTGGGGTTTCAAGGTCGACTGCTAAGTTATTAGAAACCAGATTATTTTACACTATCTTGGATTCTTATTGAAAATAATCCCTGTAAAATTTATTAACGATGTTTTACATAACACAGCTTTGCACGTTCAACCAAGTATTGTTCAGCTCGAGTATTAATTAATTCACTAGTATATAAAACATCGAATAATTCCTTATTCAACGAATAAAATAAAATTCATGCAATAAAATTTGAAATAAAAATTATTTTGAATTTCAATGTACGTAGTTGTAAGAAAGAAGAAATAAATTACACGAAATTATTAATACGTACCGTGTGCACTGTACGGATAAGAAATACCGCTGTAAGTCAAGGGTCGCAAAGAGATCAAGCTGTAAATTAAGATGACAGCCAGCAAGAGGGGGGTGATGATGGCCCAGCAGAGCCTCCAATACGCGGACGGCCTTCTTTTCATCATGTATTCTACGTCGTCTAAGAAATTTTCTAATCCGTACACCCAGAAGATACCAGTTATCTCCAAAGTGGCTAAGATGAAGACGACGAAGGAGCCAGCGTAGAAGTCCACCAGCTCCAAAATGAATTGCCCACCCTATTGCCAAAATTCAAAAATTTCTTTTGATAGAATATTTATTCCTAAGTATATTAAAGTACAACTTGGGACTCGATACGATACTTACGGGTGTACAGTAAACAGTTCCGACGGAAAATCCGAATATAACCGCGCCAAGTACTATGTACAAGTGCTTCCAAGTCGGAAATTGATCGCTGACGATGGTGACGAGAGAGCCCACCAGGGCGATAGCGCTTCCAATGCCAAGAACGTAGAGCATCAGGAAGAACAGCACCGAGAATAGCTGCAAACAACGGTAAAATCCTTGATACTACGTTCGTTATAATAACGAAAATGCTCGTTATTTCAACGTCCAAGAACATTTGCGATGCTTATTTTTTTAACGACCTCCTACGAAGGAAGCAGAAAAGAAGAGAAATAAAATGAAAAAAAAAAAACTATTTTGGTACGTTTATACGTACAAAATAAAAAAAGAATTTTTAAGTATTTGAAAAATTGTTTCTTCGAAAAGGATATCGTTGATAAATATTAGAAAACTATTTTTCTTCCTCGTCAATTTAAAGAAGTTTGTTTAAAGGTAATTCGAGAACAGCGAATCGATTTAATTTAAATTTAATAATCATCGTAATGTCGAATCATTGAAAAGACAAAGTCGATAGCAACGAAAATAAATATTTAAAGTGTCAAATGAATTTGGTGATCGTTTATCGTGGACCAGCAAGGCGTTAGACAATTATTTCGAGCGTTTGAAGGCTCACCTGCGGCAGAACAGTGAATTTTGCAATTGCGTCCGGGTAAGAGACAAAGGCGAGACCGGTTCCGCCCCGAACAACATTGCTGATGTCTTCTGTGCCGAGTTCGTGAGCCAAATTCCCGAGTATACCAAAAATGGTGAAACCTGCTATGAGACTGGTGAACGTATCCAAGGTGGTTACCACTATGACATCTCTGAAACAGGTTGAATGATATGCTAGTGCCTTACCAGAGAACCGTGTTTAAAAAACACACACGTACAGGTTGAGCCACCAACTGTATACACTTAAAATACTCGCGTTAAAAAAGCGTCGAAAATATACTGATTTCGAATATTACCCTTTACGAACTTTTTCAACAATTGAATGTACCCATCTTGATCTATGCTTGCTCCCCGAATTCTGTGTCATCCTAACCACGGTGACCTCTGCGAAACTTTCTAAACCTTGCTAGATCTTGTCAACCGTTCTTACTACTTTCAAAATTCTTAAAAGTCACCTCTGCTGGACCTGCAACTACACCTATCTCCTATTGTTTAAAACGAAAGAGCTACGTCGGGAGTTAGTGTTCCATCTTACGTAATAAATCTTCATGGAACGCGTTCGATCGTTCCGAGTATCAGCAGTTAGACGCAGAGCTCGTGACCGAATTGTCGTTTTTCCTGATGGAATCTTTCATTTTACGGGGTCAAGGAACAACTTTCCGAATATTCTTAGGATCTTTACACATTCTTGACCAAAATACGCGTAGTTTGCACTTTGAAACATTAAATCCTCCTATCCGTTCAGGAGTTACGATTATTTAAACGTAGGCACGAAATTTCGGGGAACAATTTCTGGTCTCACATTTTATTTTCGGTAAGGAATTTTTTCCCCGAAAATGCGTAGGATTTCGGGGGTATATATATTCACCAAAAATGATTGCAATTGACTTTCGCAGGTGAAAATAATTTTTCCAGGACGATTTGAAATTTTTTAATTTCACCGAAAAATTTGTCCCGCAACTGAATTTTTTCTCGAAAGTGCGTAAAATTTCGAGGCTATGTCTATTCACCAACAATAATTATAATTGACCCCTGCAATCGAAAATAATTTTTCTAGAATGATTTATAATTTTTTTTTTCGTCAAAAAATTTAGACCTACTTCCTATCGATTTTTCTTAAAAATTCGTTTTTCATTTTTAATAAATTTGTTTGACGCCCTACAGAAAAGTTGTCTAATACTTTTTTGTAGGTAACCATGAGCACTACTTCAGAAAAAAATTTCACTAAAATATATTCACTATTGTAAGAGTTATGGCTGTTTTAAAATTGGACCACCTTTAAGGGGTTATTCTCACTTTACGGGGTTAAGGAACAATTTTTTCAATATTGTTAGAACTCCTACATATTCTCCATCAAAATACGCGTAATTTGCCTTTTTAAACATTAAAATACTCTAATCCGTTCAGGAGTTATGATGTTTCAAATATTCGCATTTTCGGGGAACCCCAAGCCTCAGATTATATTTTCTATAAGGAATTTTTTTCTCGAAAATGCGTAGAAATTCCGGGGTATGTCTAATCACCAAAAATGATTTTACTTGACCCCTGCAACTGAAAATAATATTTTTAGAACAATTGGAAATAACTCTTAAAAATTCGTTTTTCATTTTTAATTAGTTTGTTTGACACTATACGGAAAAGTTGTTTTGTACTTTTTTGTACGTATCCATGAGCTCTACTTCCAGATTAAAAGAAATCCATTGACTATTGTAGGAGTTATGGACGTTTGAAAATTGGACCACTTTTATAGGATTTTTCTCACTTTACGGGATCAAGGAACAACTTATCAAACATTCTTAGAATTTCTACATATTTTTCACCAAAGTACGCGTAGTTTGCACTTTGAAACTTTAAAATCCTCCAATCCGTTCAGGAGTTATGATTATTTAAACGTAGTCACGAAATTTCGGGGAACCATTTCTGGCCTCATATTTTCTGATGTGATGCAAAACGGATTATCATTTTTCCTGATGGAACTGTGACACTCGTAGTGCGTCGCGACGATTCCGAGGTAAAAAGAAAACGGGGCCCTCGATTCTAACGATGTTAGCTTCTCTATTCAAGCATTATTTTATATTCAAAGAGTAACCTGTATATATTGTGTTTAAAGTCGTTGTAGGACGAGTACATGACGACACCACCGAAGCACACCGACAGTGAAAAGAAGCACTGTGTGACAGCAGCGTACCAGACGTTCGCATCGAACAGCTTCCCCCAATCCGGCTTGATGAAGAAAACGATCCCGTTAACGGCGCCGTCCAGGCTCACCGCTCTGATCAGCAAGCTGATCATGATGACGTAAGGGAAGAGAGCGAGGAAATAGGCCGCCTTTCCCGAGCTCTTCACGCCGCGCGCCAATACAGCGAATATGCAGCCCCACGCGAACAGCAAACAGATAGTCAGCTTCCAATCGGGCAAACCGATCCCGTCGTCGATCGTCTGCTTCTCCTTCAACACTATTCTCCTGTCGGAAAAACCGTTTCGTCGCGAATCAGAACACGTTCGTCCCTAATTTCCATAAAAGGAAACGCAACGAGTTTGGTCAGGATTTAGGATCGAGACCGAGGGAATCTACCGTGAACCAATATGGCGGCCCTTTCTGCAGAACAGACGCCAAAAGCTCCAAAGAAGGACTTAGGATAAACGTACGCAATATGGAATATTGCAAGGCTTCAACGAACCCCTTAGGCTATCATAAAAATGGGTATCAGTCGTGTTGGAACGAAGCAGATTTTATTTTTTATGAGTGTGTAAAGTTTGTTCGAAGACTGGGAATGTAGTAGGATATTTTGACGAAGATAAGTAAGTTAGAAAGCATCGTTAGTTACTCAGTAAATAAAAACAAAGTATTTCTTTGGCACTCGGAGCTTTAGAGGTTTCACTGTTTAATTACATTTATAAAAATTGACAAAATCACAGGTGTAACAGGATATAACGGGGAATGAAAAGGGAACTTACGCATCAACTCAATATAGGAATCCTCATAGTAACGTTATCTGAATCTGAACGACGATTATGTTCGCTTTAAGACTCACCTGAAGTAGAGTTCAGCAGAGCTAATCATGGAACTTCTGTTTCGTCCGGTGACGTTGTAGGATCCCCCAGAATCTACGCAAGAGTCACCCCATTCCTCGAGACAGCTGGACCAAGGAAGTTGGGATTGGAAGCTTCCGACCAGATAATACAGAGTCGTAGTCATCAGAGAACTATAGTAAGTGCCTACTGCGAGCATGGAGAACATTTGGGCCCAGCCTACACCTCGAAATCCTGGCGCTACAATTAAATTGTTACTTCGATTTACCTTAACAAGAATCTCTTCTAATGTAATTTTTTGTCTCTATCTTCTACTCTTTTAAACCCAATTACATGGGGCATACTGTATAATCTACCCAAAAGAGTTTCGAAATTAAATATTTGATTGCAACATATATTCGTGCCATTTTTTTCAAATTTAAATTTTTCCACCGAAATATTGTAATATATTTTGACAAAGTATTATACACCGTTTGTAAAATTTTGTTTAAACGCTCTTTTGGAAAGTTGTATCATTTTATAATATAATATAATTTTATTAATCCAATGAAATTTTCTAGATTTAGTTTTAAAATTATTTCCATATTCGTTGTTCTCCATTTTTTTCTTTCGTTAGAGAAATAAAATTTGAAAATAAACGCCACGAATGTATAGTTTATTGGACGTATCGATGAATCTGCACCTGCTGCCCACATTTTCACCGACGATCGGCTGCAGAATTGCCCCATTATCATCTCCAGGTAATAAAACGGTTTGCCGACCACGAAGAGGACGATGATGTAAGGTATAAGGAAAGCACCGCCGCCATTTTCGTAAGCGGTGAACGGAAACCTCCAAACGTTGCCGAGACCGATGGACATGGCGATGCAGGACATCAGAAATTCCAATCCGTTGTCCCAGGTCGGTCTATCTGCTCCATTCTCCGCGGTAGACTTCACGAATTTTAAATAATACTTAAATAACAAGTCTTCGCCGCTTTAAGGAAGTATTTCCATCCGGGGGCGTCGATTTTTAAAATAAACAATTATTCCATAATTATACAGTAAACATTTTAAAACTTATCTCGCGTGCTTAGTCATTTTTCAATGTAACACGGGGTACAATTTTCGTGCAATAATCTATCTCATTAAACAAGTTATTGCACGTTTCTTGCAGTCTATCTTTTTAAGTGGCTACCATGGATGTCTCTAAAATAGATCGATGAATTCTTTTATCGTGCGAAACAAAATTATGTTAATGTTTGTAATGAAATAAACAATTTTACTTTCTCTTTAATTTAACAAATTTTCCTTCGTTTTGGTTCAGACGATAACTATTGGTCTGTAGATTAATATCATTTTTTAATTTAATTAACGAATCTCCATCGATCCAAAGGTACACGATCCAGCTACGATGGTCTTTAGACGTAATTTTTGTATATCTTATACAAAGTTGACTCTTATAGTTGCTTTCTTATTATCGTCGCGTTGTAATTGACGAAAAAAAAAACATTTTCCGGCAGACCTCGAGCGAAAATAAAAATGAAAGATTCGAATTATCTATGGGGATAGTTGGTGGCCTTGTACAGGCGGTATAATCTGAAATATGGTACCATTTCCTCTGGAATTGACGGGGAAAGTCGTAACTTGCGGTCATCCTGAATCCCATAATCGAAGCCGAAATTCTCATCGCCATGCTTCTAAAACGAGAACGAAGTTCCCCGGTTTTTACAATTTGCTAAAGGTAATTTTTCAATTTTTTTTTTCTCAATTTTGACTATTCGACTTCGATTCCGAAATAATCGTATTTTTTACCTTCTCAGCGATGCTGTTCGCGTTCGAGGTTTGGAAATTCGTCGTCGAGTGGCCATCGTCTCCGACGAATGCAGCATTTTGTTTTCCTTCCTGTAAAAATTAAACGAATCAGGAAAATAATGTTAAAAACAAATTCAAAACAAGAGGATAGTTGCTACAGAGGCTTGATATTTATTTATTCCTCGTTAAAAGTTAAACATTCGTCAAAATTTGCATTTTTTATCTCTATTTATAGTTTTTATATTTTTTGTTTGTCCCCACCTCTTTGAGTTCTATATCAGATAGAGTGTGAATAATTAGCAAAGCATTTAGAATGTCCTAGCTAATAAATCGTGTTAGCAGTGGTTCGTTGCACTTGTCTTTTTATTTCAGCGCTATTCTGTCGCTCGATGATTATTTACAGCGAACGAACCGTGACACGGAACAACTAATTCCTCTGCATAACCGTTCTTGTTGTCGTTTGCAAGGACACTTTCCAAAGTCTGCAACGCTGCACGCTATTCTAGTCATAAATTATGCATCGTGATCCTCCGTCGAAATTCAAATAAGATACTTCAAACATTATTTGACAAATAAAATAATATATTATCTTAACGATTATTTTACAAGTAATTTATTTGGAGAAAGTCCAGACCTCTCTAATAGAAGCTATGGCTTCAACTGTCATCTGTTTCTAATTACGTAGATGTTGTTAAAACTAAAGAGTAGTTCTTCTATTCTTCACATTTCTTTCAAGCTTAGGCCATTTGCACTCCACGTTGAAATTATAAGTTTCTCCAAGTCCTAAGCTTTTGAAGTTTTTTAATTTAGTTATTTTTCTGCATACAATTGTTTAGCTCTCGCAAGATTCTCCTCGCGCCATAGACGAGGATCGTATCTCGGTTTTCACTATTACTAAATTTCGTCGTTACGGTTACTTGCCACGTTCACTTCCATGGTGAAACTAATATTAACGTCGCAATATGTAACTTCGACTAGACATGTTTATAAAATCTTCTCATAGAAGTTTGATCTCCGTCATTCTTCAGAATATTTTAGTAATTACCCTAAAACTGTTACTCGAGAACGTGTCCTCTCACTCTCGTAGCTTTGGCGGTATTCCAAGTAGCAATTTGTTATTTTTCCACACTATACACATCAGGGACGAGAGTGAGAAATAGAGAACCAGTGAAAACCAGCAAGATCCAGTGAGATCCAGCGAGAGCAAGCAAGACACGGTCAACACAGTGAGAGTAATTATGAATGAGATTTAATTGAAATTATAATAATGAGTAGTGGGGATAACCTTGTAACAAATTCTTTAAATAAGAATATCTCCAAAAGAGTAGTTAAATTATTATAATTTACAGCGTGTAATAGACATTTAAACGAGTAAGCAAACGTCAGCAATTAACTTTCACCGACACGTTGACTGTCATGGCGGTCACTTACTTTTTCTTCTTCCTTTTGTTCTAGATCATTGTCTAATGGTATTATCGATATTACATAAGTGGTCTTCTTTTTCTATTATGGAATATATGCAAAGTATACCAAAGTATACAATAATATGCAATAACTGGACTTTCATAATTTTCCTCCAATATGGCGACCGAACAACACCAAGCTGATAAACGTGATTGTCTTGCATTCCATTGTTTTGGGGCCGCATACCTCGATCGTCGTCGCACGCGAATACGCTCGATTCATTGTTAATACACGCGACATTCTTGACGTTTCAGTCGATCAGAAACGTTCGACTATTGCGTCAATCTAACGTTGCAACAATCGCTCGACGAAAGTTGCAGTTCGCGATCGTCGTACCATACGTAGCAGAGGCTATCGAATTAACAGAAAAATCGCGATTCGAATTTGTTCTAGCCTATCCGATTTCCATACATTACATCAGATCCGTCGATGAAAGAATTGCCGTGTAGAAATCGCGAATGTTAATTAATGGAAATTGGATTAGATTACAGTGAATTTTGCTTCAAGGACAGCGAAGATATTATACCAAATACTAGGAAATAAAACGTATTACTAGACAGGCAAATTCTACCTTGAAAAAATTTAACATTTACTGCTTACTTCTTTACCTTTTTTAATTAATTATTGCTACTCAATTTCGATATTGTTATTCCATTTTCTTTTATTTCTAGTTTCTCTTTTTTTAGTTGCCTAATTTTAAGCCCAACTACGAAGGTTGCACATAAATGCAATGGACATTTAAAAAGCGATACAAAAATAAGTGTCAATTCAAAAAAATTAATGTTTCGTGCACAGTAATTTGCAAATTGAAAATTCCAAAAAATGTTGAAACCTGGAATGCAATTATTCGAATATTCCGCTCGACGAGCTACGTGGATCATCGAGATTCTAATGTAAATTGGATGAATGTGTATGTAGAATTACACGACTGATTGTAAAAGTTACGTTCCGTTTTGAGCAACATTGAAACGCTTCAGTCGTAGAATCCTTGAAGGCATTCAGGTAGAATTGCACACGACAGCTTGGAATTTATCCTCGTTTCACAAGGATCTACGACCATCGTCCAACGCATGATGGTGATTATTACCTTTTTGTTACATAAAGGAAGCCGGTTCTGCGACTTGAATCATTTTATAGCAAACCTAATACCACGTGTTACCGGCTTCTCTGAATAACTAAACGCCCTTACGGTGAGTCACAGCCAAAATCGTACACCACATATGAAAATATGTTTCATTCGAAAAAAGAAGTTTGAGAATGATTTGGAAAAAAAATAAGGCAGACATATATTGTAAATATATCTGTATTTATTGTGCAATAATGACAAAAGAAATGAATGTTGCTTAACATGAAAAAAATAAAGCTACTATAATACGGTGCAGAAAACATCTCACAGCTAAAATCGTACGCTATTTTCCCATCTGGTATTCCCCTCCAGGAATCCCCAGAAAGAAAGGAAGAACGTTAAACAAAAGAATTGTTTTAGCTTGCTAATAAACGTTGTATTACATCGAAGCAAGGAAATAAATCGTAATAATAGCAAAAATGAAGCAAACGACATTAAAGGCGCGGGAAATTGTCGCGAAGAACTTTCAAAATGGGAAAAGCTATCGAGAAATTGTAAAAATTATTGGTAGAAATATTAGCACTGCTCAATACATTATTAAACGCTATAGAAAAGAAAATAGAATTACAAATAAATTAAGAACATCACCGAACAAAAAATTTAATGCGTACGATGAGCGATGGATAGTTAGAAAAATTAAAAAAAATCCAAAGCTGAGTGCACCTAAATTGTCGAACGAGGTGGAAAAATATTTACAAATATCTGTTAATCTAAAAATTGTAAAAAGAGTACTAAGAAAGAATGATTTTTATGGGCGTATAGCAAGAAATAAACCATTTGTCAGCGATAAAAATAAGAAAAGGAGACTAGAGTTTGCGAGACAGTATCTAACTAAGGATTTTAGTTTTTGGAACGAAGTTATTTTTACCGACGAAAGCAAATTTAATCTTTTTCATTCAGATGGCAAAGTTACTGTATGACGTAAACCTAATGAAGAATTTAAAATAATAAATATGAATCCTACTATTAAACATGGAGGTGGGTCAGTGATGGTTTGGGGGTGTATATCAGCTACTGGAACAGGAAATTTGTAATTGATTGAAGAGAACATGGACAAATTTGATTATTTGAATATTTTAAAAACAAATCTAAAAAATAGTGCCGAAAATTAGGAATTTTGAATTGTTTTAAATTTTATAATGATAATGACCCAAAACATAGGTCGCATATGTGGTAATTATATAACTGCTCGAAAGTTATCAATACACCTCCCCAATTCTCCTGACGTAAACGTAATTGAGAATATTTCGCATGAATTAGAAGTAAGGATTAGAAAACATACGATTTCTAATGAAAATGACTTAAAAAAGGCATTGCAAGAAGAATGGAACCGAGGATACCCTACAAAGTACTAATTTTTAATTTAATTTAAATATAAAAGAATATTCGTATTATAGTAACTTAATTTTTTTTATGTTAAGCAATATTCATTTCTTGTGTCATTATTGCGCAATAAATACAGATATATTTACAATAATATGTCTTCCTTAGTTTTTTTCCAAATCATTCATAAACTTCTTTTTTCGAATGAAACATATTTTCGTATGTGGTGTACGATTTTGGCTGTGTCTCACTATAGTTACTTCCGGTTGGACTCCTTACGAGCGAGAATTTCTTTTCTTTTCCTTAATTGACATTTCTCATGTATCAACTAAAACATTTACAGCGGTTTTATTGGAATTAATGTGGTTTAAATGTGCGTGGAATAAAATTTCGTTTCATTTCTTTTTTTGCAGTAGAAAGAATAAAGAAAAGGTTCATTTAACTTTTTTTTAAATGCAATCAAAACCTTTTGACGAGTTCTAATTGTCACAATCTTCGTTCACAATGTTTTGTTTGTATTTTCATTCGTTCCAAAATGGCGGAAGCGCGAAAAGTCAGATGTCGAGGAGAAACGATGACAAATACGTTTAGTGCGCGATGAGAAAGTAACAATGAGACTTTCATTTTACTTTTTATTTTCGGAAACGACGTTACGTCACGACGAAAGTGATTGTTTGCACGTTGTCCTTGCTTTCTCGGTTATTAGAGCCTTCGCAGACCGAAAGTTCCTCGATCTCGTGCGAAAGAACCAGAAGATCGTTCTCGTCGCGAGTTCGTTAACACTTGGACAGTCTGTTATCAGGTGACTAATTTTATTAATCTTGTTAATATAAATATTTTGAAGACGATACTCACTTTGTGGACTCGTCACGCATTGGAAATAATTGCACATTTCTGATCTGCTTTTCGATGCATTGAAAAACATTTTCAGTATCAAAAACGGAGATGTATAACGCTATAGAAAAATCTGCAGTGCATAATCTCTATTTTGTTTGAATATAAATTTACGATTTTTTTTTTTAATAAAAATTGTCATTGTGAACTGCTGGCGGCTGCAAAGACTCGGTATTGGTTAACTTGACCTTGTTTATTGCTTAGCAACAGCTCTCGTTTGTTACTCTCTTTCTTGACACAGTTTAGTATATCTCTACTTTCGTCACAGACTTTACTGCCTTTTTTGCTTACAACGAACCCTATGAGCAACCGAATTCGTTGATATAAAAATTTATTAATTCAGAACTCTAATGAGAGTGAATCACCATTGGGAAATCTCGTTGTGGTAAATATTCTTCATTTTCTTATTCAACACTCGCTTAGTGCTAGAGCTAGGAGATCACGAGGCCAAGAACGTGGCTCCGGTTAGGATTACCAGCAGGTACGGATTAACCCTTTGCGATCTTATGTCGAGTGTGACTCGACACCACATTTCGAAAGCAATGGCGATTGTTGCAAAAATATTTCCCATAGCATTATAATTATATGGTATACTTTGTATACAGTCTGTGCGCAGGGTTAAACTAGTAACTGGACCGGACTATAACTCTATTTGGTACCATTAGGTTAGCACTATAGAACAGACAATTTCGAATAGTGAGTTTCTCGAAATTTTTTCGCGACTTTTCGTTAGCACCCCCTGCATGCCAACTTTAAAGTTCTTCTAGATCCGCTACTGATCTGTACAATTACAGTCACGCATTAATCTTCGTAAAATGAGCTACGTACACGAACAAAACACGTTTCTAAGCAGTATAAGAACATTCTATCTGTATTATTATAATCACGCGATATATCGTGAGACGCGAAATTTAAATAAAAGAAATTCTTATGTAAGAGAAATACGGCAATGGTAGTTGACTGTCTACGGTTGCTCCAGAAATTTAAATAGTAATTGCATAATAGTAGACTCAATATTTCATAGAATTTCGAAACGAGTAGGGAGGCAGACGACACGTTCTAACATTTATTGCACAAGTATACTACTCGCGTGTGAAGATCTGGACACTCTAGAAATATTATTTCAAATAACATGTTTATCATTTTACGGTTTCTTCATTTTCTAAATACAGTCCCTTTACGTTATTTTGTAAAATAACTTCTAATTTTTTATTTGACGATTTTATTCACAAAATAAAAACAAAAAATAAATAATAAGTATAATAGAATATTATTTTGTTATAATATTAATGATAAATTATACTTGTTACGTATTTGGAGCACTATTTCTGTTATACATATAAATCGATATTTCGGTTCATTAGAAACAACGTTGCCGAAAATAAAAAACTGAGATGTAAATAAAATTTGCTTGGATATACTTATAGATAGTAACGATCCTTGATAGGCCTTGACCAACTAAACGATGAGTAAAATTATTATGCGAGCAACTAAAAGATTTAACTTATTATATGAAGTAACAAACGTCAATTATGTCATATACTTCTGCGCTTACTGTTGAAACTTCTACGTAATATGAATATGTAATCTACTCGTACTTATCTACCTAGTCACGTATAACAGAACTTTCGACGATAAAGATAATGAAATTGCCAAACTGAGACCTGATTTTGATGTCTTTTTAATCCTGACAATTATCAATTACGTTATAATATTTCACGAGTTACACCACTCTAAATTTTATTAATTTTCCACTTTATAAGTGTTATGATCTTCCATTGCAATGTAAACATCGTCATTTCTTTACGTTACTTAACGCTTCTGTTATGTCTCTTTCTATAACTTTCGATATTTCTAAAAATACCATGTTGAATGCCTTGAAAACTAGTATGTATATAACAGGACGCGGATACACTTTATTCTTCGAGTATCCTTGTAAGAAAAAGTCAAGTGTTGGGTGACCGCCGGTGGCCATAAAGTTGGACCTCGTGTACCAATCAGTCTCCATAAGTTCCATTTAAATAGCCAACACAACGATTATTCCGATTACATTTAATAAACGAAATGAACGTATTTACTATTTCATCGCTCGTAAATCCACAAAATTATCAAACAAGAAAGTTAATCTTGCACTGATCGATATTAAACCTAGACTCGTGTTTACAAACATTCCAACGCATAATAGTACAATGTCTAAATGAAAATGAATAAGGATGCATTGAATAATTTAGTAGACAAAATGTTATAGCCCTTGAACTATCAGGTTTAGGCACCATGCCTTTTGCACTACCAACTTATAAAATAGATTATCATGCTAAAAACTACGCGTCAATTATGTCATGTCCGTCTACGTTTGTCGTTGAAACTTCTGCATGGCTCGTTCGAGCATCGTGCAAGTTTGAAGACAAACCGGAAAGGAAACGACTTAACGGATGCTCGATGGACTGTTGGATAAAAGGTATCGTACCTTTTGCATTTTCACGGATTCACGACTAAAATAAATTAGCCCAACGTTGGATACCGGGTATCCAAACAGGTGGTAGAGTTTCGGCGATATGGAACACGCGACGAAGCTTAAACTTCAAACTCCGTGACATGTATGGCGACCGATCACGACAGGTGTAGCACCTTCACGGGAACCAAATAACCACTGACGTCGCGATCGCGGCACGCTTGTCATGACCGTAATCGATGGTAGGGATCGCGAACCTAAACACGACCGAAAAGGGGGAAATACTTATTTCCCACTCTATTTCTACCTGTCCCTTTCTACCTCGTACGCAAAACACATTACGCGACGTACAGAGGATTAAGCATTTAAGTTTCGTACATCTTCGATATACATTTCAATAGATGCGATAAACCGAAGGTTCCCGGATTTTTATCATCAAAATTCAACGTACGCCATTGTTCTACGAACAGTTGACCGGATAAATAAATCGAAATAAAGAATTTTATCGATCGTCATGATCGAAGGATACGTACAGGAGGCATAATGGTACTGACACTATTAAATACAATTCATCATTGGACAACTGGATGTCAGTGAATAATAGAATCGGAACCATAATTCCTGGACGAGTACATTTTTATCGCCTACTTTTGTGATTTTTATTACCTCGTGTACTTTAGGGGACATTGTCGCAGACTGATAAATTTATCCATAAATCTACGCTGTCGTTGCAATAACTTTCATACCTTTTGTAACGAGCGATTAAAATGCCACGTGATTTGATCTAGGCTCGTGAGATTTATAACCGTTCTATAAATTTTACTTTATAATATTTTATAGGTAGAGGAAGATACGATATTAAACGTGGGGGTCTAAAAATTATAGAATAATCCGAAATATACAGATTGTTCGAGGGGATACGAATAGAAAAGTCCTTTACCATTTTCCAATCTGATGCTTCCTTTCAGAAATATCGACAGTTAAAATTCATGGGTCCGACAACGGCGCGCGCTATTTAAATTCCAATTAACTGAGCGCGTGGTCACACACACGCAAACACGCGTCAATACGCGTATACCGCTGAATGGATCTCCGTGAAATTTGATATATCGTTACACTTTCGTTGTTGCGTGCCCAACATTTTAATCGTATTAAAAATAAGAAACTGTATGTTGTAAAACAAAGAAAGCATTTTTGGGACAAGCCGTGTATCTTTTCCTCAAATCTGCAACGGTATATTCGAATTTCGTAAGACACGCTGTATATAAGGGTGAGGGTCACTTAACTCGACGACCTTAACACGTTGACCGCCTTGTGTATCCAATTGGATACGTGCCTATGTCGACCCAGAACGTCGCGTATATCAATTTGAATGGACACATATTTTCCATTTACTATCACTCGTATAGTAATCGAGAACATTCCATTGACTTTATGTGATACTTTCTTTCAAGTTTGGTTTATCATTAACCTATTAGCTATTATGGTTCTCGTTTGCACGTTTTTACGCTTGCTGATTCGACTGAGTCTGTAATTAGTTTTTATATTTCGTATTTCTACGAGTGTGGTTCTGAGACGGCAACGAAGTGGGGCTTGCGTTGTTCATAATTTTGGGGAAAACGTCAGTCGGTCAAAATAACTATTAATGATTATGATGGTAATTTCCACGTGATGTGCAGCTGTCTAAAAAGTCCTCGATTTATAATGGCGGTCCTGATCGCGAAGGTCATTATTGACGAGTCCAAAATGCAACGGTCACCGCAATCCTTTTTCTACCTACAGTCGCGTCGGTATTTAAGTTGACACTTATCATTTTTATAAAATAGCCGTAAAAGGATACAATAAAAATAAATAAAATACGAAATGTTTACAAAAATAAATTTATTCGTGTCTTAAGTAAATAATGTCACCTTATTAATTATGTTCATTTGAGTAACAATAGCATTAACAAATATTTTCTAATGAACGTCTATCGGAAAGTAAGTTGACAATGGTTATAAAGTAAATTATAATTCTATAAGTAACAGTAAGAAAAATATTTAATAAGCAGTTTGATACCCTTTGGCTTTAATTACTTCCAGTAAACGATTTGGCATACTGTGTATTAATTTTTTTAACGTTTTGGGCTGTATTTCATCCCATGCCTTTTTTAGTGCGGCTATCAATTTTGGTTTTGTATAGCGGTCCGATTTTGGTATTTTTCGATCGAGTTCGTCCCATAAGTGCTTAATCGGATTTAAATCAGGGCTCTGCGGTGGCCAAGAAAGCAGCAATATATTGTTTTCGTCGATAAATTTTTTAACGATCTTTGCAGTATGTTTCGGATCGTTGTCGTGTTGGAATATGTATCCTGTATCTGGCCCAAATTTTTGAATTGATGGAAACAAATTTTCTTTTAGAATATCGATGTATTTCGCTGCTGTTAATATACCATCAATAACTGTTAATTTTCCTACATTTTCATTGTTGAAGCAGCCCCATAACATTATAGACCCTCCACCGTGTTTCACGGTGGAGGTGATAACATTTTGTTTAAAAGCTTCTCCTTTTTTCTCCACACATATTTCCTTCGTTTGTTTGATTGTAATTCAAATTTTGACTCATCACTCCAAATTATGGATTCCCAGAATGCAGTCGGTTTATTAAAATGCTCTTTTGCAAAATTTAAACGTTTGCGAGCATTTGTTTCGGAAATGTGTGGCTTCTTCCTAGATATTCGACCATGCAACCCAGCTTCGTATAAATGGGATTTTATTTGAGTGGTCCCTATTGGCAAATTTAAATCTTCTTTGATCTGTTTGGCAGTAATAAATGGTTCCTTTTTTGTTATTTTAACAATTTCTCGATCCTGACGGGGAGTTGTTTTTCTTTTTCTTCCCGTTCTAACTAAATTTTCAGGTTTCCCAGTAGTCTCTATCTTTTTATAAATTTTTCGCACCCCTTCCTTTGATATCCCAAAATCTGTGGCAATCTGTTGCAAACTTTGGCCTTTTCTCCTTCTTTTATAAATTAATAATCTTTCAGACTCGTGTAATTCCCGTATTTTCGGCATGCTACAAGTAACCCATTCTTAACAATAACAATACATAACAAAAAAAAAACATTATATAAGAGACTAAATACATTATCAAATTATTAAATGCGCGTTTAATAGCAAAATTTTATTAATGAAATAAAAACTTGATTACGTCAACTTACTTTCCGGCGAATCAAATTTAGGAAATATTTTTACAGATTGACTGTTATTTGATTGTACGCGGTGTTTTCGCTTTGACACTCACTGGTATACTGAGGCATTTCTTGTACATAATGTAAACAATGTCAGAATGTACGGAAGGACGCGTACAAGTGTTTAAATTATGGAACAATATCGTCAATACCAGAAATACAACAGCGTCAACATAAATACCGCCGCGACTGTACGTTGGGTCTCAACGATTGCTATATTCTGCTGAATAAGCCGATTGACATACTAAACTAAGCTATAATAATTTTACTTCTCTAACATTACGTTTTTATTTGTTTTCAATAATTTAACCGGTTTCGAACACTGACAGAATAACCAAACTTACTGCAACTTTATCGCATGCATAACCAAAAATTATAGACGTGCATAATTATTAACAACAAAGAAGCTCTACCAAGCTTCCGACGTATGGATATTTGTCTAGCCAAAGACTTATGTTTTTCCAATTCCCTTATTTTTACTTCAAATGTTAGTATCCTATACAATGCTTGTCAAATAAAATATGTATTTGGAGTTACGCCAAATTGATGATCCATTTCACCAGTTATTCCAGTATTTTTCCTCTCTTTAGAGCTTCTTTACTCGTTTTGTATAAATTTCTACATAATTTTCTATACCAATCGAACAAGGACCATACGACATGCGTGTTTACTTAATTTTAATAATTTAAACCATTTTCAATACGCATGCGCGAAAAATTGTGAGTTTTATTTGATAAAGGTTATGTTGTTCGGCTAAAATACTGTCAATTAGAAGTAGCAGAGAAACAGGAAGCATAAGACAAATCTGGAAAATTTGAATACGTAAATAGTCTACATATAAATAAGTAATGGATGACGAAGCCGAAACGTATAAATTGTGGCGAATAAGGAAAACAGTAATGCAGTTATGCCATGATCGAGGTTATCTCGTTACGCAGGATGAATTGGATCAAACTTTAGAACAATTTAAAGAACAATTCGGTGACAAACCAAGCGAGAAAAGACCAGCACGCAGTGATCTGATCGTTCTAGTAGCTCACAATGACGATCCGACGGACCAACTCTTTGTATTCTTTCCCGATGAACCTAAAATAGGCATCAAAACTATTAAAACGTATTGTCAACGCATGCAAGAGGAAAAAATTCACAGGTAACATTCTATCAAACGTTCAATCCTACTTGATAAGTCAAACATGAATTTTAGAATTAGTAATCTGATAACTGTAATATATTATATGATTTGTTTTCTATAATAGAGCTATCATTGTTGTGCAACAAGGAATGACACCATCAGCAAAACAGTCACTCGTAGACATGGCACCAAAATATATATTGGAACAATTTTTAGAATCAGAGTTACTCATTAACATCACAGAACATGAATTGGTACCTGAACATATTGTACTTACACCTGATGAGAAAGAAGAATTACTTACCAGGTATAAGTTAAAAGAGAATCAATTGATGCGTATACAAGTTGGTGACCCAGTGGCACGTTATTTTGGCTTAAAACGTGGACAAGTTGTAAAAATTATTAGACCCTCTGAAACTGCTGGAAGATATATTTCTTATAGACTTGTATGTTAAATAAAATACCTTTTTTTATCAAAAATGTGTTACAAAGATGTGTTACCCTAAAAATGAAGTACTTAGAGAATACATAATTTTTACAATTATTATGTAATTTGAAATAATGAAATGAATAATGAAAAATGTATAACAATTATAGAGTAAACAAAAAAGTTCATGTTTTCAGATAGCATTTTATTATGCCACAATTGTATTTAATAATTACATAATAAATAGTTTAGTATTAAGTATTAGCTATACATCAGGCAGTAAATAATTATTAGCATTACTCTTCACAGCATTACACTTTGATCATGATATAAATGCATTTCGATTTGCTTGTCATTCATAAAATTAAAATAATAAGTGAGTGGTATAACTTTGTACAGTCTTTGCAAACAGCAATAATTCAAATCAAGATTAGTAGAATGAACTTTGTTCAAACATGTATTTTATTACATCTCATTATTATACATTTCTTGGTCCAGACATATCATGGTATACTGTTGTCATAAGACAACTCAATTCCCGATTCATTTAAGCAATTGTACACGCATAGTTAAGAAAATATTCATAACAAGTGTACGTGTATATTGCTTTATTTGTTGCTGCTTTAATGTCTTTATTCAAATAATTGATACAAAATATTTAACAAACAAAAAAATTGCAATACATGTACAAATGAATGCTAATATACACAGATTGTCATAAAAACTGTAAAGCATATTCACAAATTAAAAAAAGAAAAAAAAAAATCGGGAAAATAAATTATGTATGAGAATATTTGTTAAAATGAGCAACCTTTAAGTACATAAGGCAAGTGAATCTGTATGCTTTGTATTTCTTAAAATCTACACTACTAATCTTCAGATGTTTCTGACAGTTTTTTAACTATACTATATCCGCATTTTCAATAACATTAACCATAAAGCTAGAATTAAATGGATGAACTTGCGTTCTAACAATTTATTTTGAACCTAAGCAACCGAACTTCGCGGTTTTTTTAATATTAGACTTTATAAAAAGCAAACACTAGAATATTCTTTGTTTCGGTAAATTTCAATTTTTCTCCCAATCTCTTGATATAATACTCGTTTTATCAGGAACTACATAAAATATAATAAATCTTCACTAAATGTATTGACGGTGTAAAGTGGGTCAAAACTACATACGTTAACGCCTATGTCCGTAACCATAATTTTGGGTACAATACAGAAACGGGTTTACTCTGGGGTTGCTGACGCGAATTGACCAACATCGACTTTTATCGATACTATGCTTTACATCGATACAATCCAGTCGTTAACAAACGCTTTCATCGTCAATCTGTTCGTGATTGTAAGGGTTAAATTGTTCGTGAAACAAACGCAATGCAAATTAGTTTTGAACAAGTGGCGGAAGTTATTTCCTCTATTCATGGGAAACGAAGTATTAAATGTGTGTCCACGTAAACATAGTGTCGACAAAAGTTAATACCGATCAAATCGTGTCGGTGAAACAAGCGTCGGCGACCCCAGGGTTATACTTTTTAAGAACCATAAGGTCATTATTGCAGTCTTTTGGATTAAAGAAAGGGTATGTCTTTTTAGAATTACTTTTTTTTGGTTCCATCTATTTTATAATACAATGCATGCACAAGCATATAGCGTTAATTGTCTAAAATGTATATGCAAAGCAGTTATTCGAACTAAAATACAATATTATCACGTAACGTAGATAAAATTTCTGCTGTAATCAAACTGTCGTGGTTTATGGGCGTAAGTAAATAAAGCATGCAAATGTAATTAATATAATATATTGTTATCAATAAAATGTAACATAACGAATAATAATATAATAATAATAATATTAATAATAATAATAATTACACGATACAGCTACGTATTTTCATTGTTTACACAGAAATACGAAAGCAAGATTTACCGAAATGATCAGATAAAAAGAAAATATTTAAAAAAATGTACACGAACTTACGCTCTTTTAAAAATTACATGTTTTGCATTGTACAGACCAGTCGTGTTCAAAAGTCGAGTCTATTTCGCACGGCCTATTCTCGATGTCGTATCGCTTTTTGGCATCTCTCAAAAATGCATTTACAGAATAGAAATTTTCATTAAGAAGGTAACATATATCACGAAATTAACTGAATTTTCGACATAAAAATTTGTATTTTCTTATTTTGATACTCTACGTTTTATTCTTTTGTTACTATTCTAGCACACTACAAAGAATAAATCAGTCACTCGTTGTACTCGAGTTTCAATAAGAATATATAACATGTACTATGTTCGTGTAAAAAATTGTATTCTCGTTCGCTTTTCTTCGTCGTAACATTTCTAGACAAAAAAGACACAATGTTCCAAAGTGAAAAACTATGTTTCATAGAATAGTCGGTAATTGTAAAAATATAATTCTCCCATCGTATACGTACGATAGGGGAAAAAATCAAAACGCAAAATAGCTTGTTCAAACTGCAATTATATATCTTTGCTAATACTTAAAAAGGATTTTCATAAAAAGACGTCAGAATGGTTATTCAACGTGCAGTCTGAAAGTACAAGTCTATATATGATACACAGCAAGAATATCTGATATAGTGGTGTCAGATGTATCTTAACCAATGGAAGAATACTTTCTTCCTAAAGTATTTGTAAAAATATCCACAACATAGAGGCATAATAAGTGTGCATTTTATGCCAAAAGGCGACGCGTTTAATGCTATATCTATATAAAGTTCTTGTATCTCACGTAAGGGTAGCTTACTAGGCTCTTTATCACCAAGGTCCCCGTTCTTCGAACAGCGAATTCGTATTGAAAAATACAATGTTTATTACAGCCCTGTAATAAACCTGTCTTTCGAAACAATATGCAGTTTCGTTTAATATGGCCGATGCTCCTCATCATTGATGTACACAATTGATGTTGTACGTTCCCATATGAATACTCCCATTAATGGACTACCAAGAAATAGGAAACACTATTTAAAGATTCGTTTGTCACGCGTAAATATAGTGAATGTATTTTCACATCTACCTTCTACTCGATTACTTCGCGGAACTGAAATATGAGATGTTTAAAGATGTATCTGTTGTACACACACACAATGACTATTGATAACTTCGAATAATAGTATCGGTCCCAGTGAAAATTTACTCTCGCTATTCCAATGATAACAAAACAAACTTGCTACCCCGTTATGCGCTACATCAAGGAACTCTACGTACTCGTTTGTTTACGTAATTACTAAACATGGAGAATTTATTTCAATGAGACCAACGAAGAGTGCTAATGGTATATTCAACCAAGCTAGACAACTCGACGTCTAGACCACCAATACATCCTGGTAGCCCATTCGATAGGCGGAGTTTGCAAAATATTGTTGATTAATTCTGCAGTAAGTCTGATCCTGTATATGATAGTGGTGGGATTAAGAGGTCGATGCCTGTGACCTCTGTGTGCACATGAGGCCTAAAAATAAATAATTTCTACCAGTCAGAGATACAAATAACAATAACGAAAGAATTACTCGAAGCGCAGCACATATTTTTACCTAGGAGTGATATGGAGTAACATATGTAGATGGAAACAGACCCCGTCTATTGCCGATCTCTCCGTGCCACCAATGTTGATCTGTACGATCGGTAACGGTAATTACATCTCCCCTCTTAAATTCGAGTTCCCCGGGTTCCTGTGGCGCAAAATCGTATAATGCTTGCACTAGACACTAGAAAAAGTACAACATAATTGTTACAAACAACCACCGTGACAACCATCGTGTTAAAAAGTTATAATGTAATTACTTCTTCTGGAACCATATCCCTTAATTTAACATCTTGCGAGCGGGAAACGGATGCCGTGCGATGGTATTCTACTAATTCATTAAGACTGTTAAATTTAACCACCCAGAGAAAAAATTTGCCTTGAGCATCTCTCAATACTTTAAAATGTTGAACGCCATCCGAACATCTGAAAAGAGAGTCAATAAATGTTGCTTGACATATTTCTTAATTTGTATACACAGTTTCTCTTAACAATCTTTTACTAACTTAACGGACAAAGAGAAATCACCAGGAGAACTTTCACTAATTCTAATAAGAAAAGCGCCTTCGTGTTTGTTCATTAATAATCTTTCTGCATCTGCTCTGGTTATCCTTCCATAATACCAGCTGAAAAAACAAAGTACAAGGAGATATAATTTTAGAGTAACATCCTTGTAATAAATATTCAATAAAAGATACTGAAAATATATTTATATGTTAAAAAGCAGGAATACCCACTCATGGTTCTTCATCTCTATGTAATTACTTGGAATGAGACCTTCTCTGGAATCTAGTTCAGCTCTATACCAATTCATGTCATCTTCCATATTTAGAATCTGTAAAAATAACACAGTTGCCATAATTTATTTGTAGCAATGAAAATTATGTATGCAAAACAAAGTTTCAAATTTCTTTCAACATACTTACTACTCTTTAATCATTGCTTACAAAATCAATTGAAAGATGCAAAGAATATTTATATAGGGACAAACACAGATTTTGATCAGAAAGTGACTGTATAATTAAATTGAAACATGTATATTGTAGTTATTTTTATTTCTGTTACACATAAATAAGATTATACATAACAATTGATTACTTTCATTTTCATTATTAAAGTTAAATGCTGTAATTGATACATAACCTTAAAATATTAATAAAAAACGTAAATAAAAAGTATCATGACAAGGCATAACATTATATTTAGATTAAAACATATACATATAATACAACTGTAAAAAGTTTATTTTTATTTAATATAATTATGATATTGCAGGAGTAATTGTACAGCAAATATTTTAAACATAAATGGTCATAAACAATAACATTCATCGACTTTTTGATCTCCAGAATTTCTTTTCGTCATCAAATTGACACAATGAAGCCAGCAAAACTTTGAGAAAAGTGAAAAATATCATATAAAAACGTTTTTAATAAATTTATACGTCATTCGTGTTTAACACAGAAAGGTAACATTTCGTCCGTACGAATCTAATAAATGTACATCGCCCAAATTTCAATTCAAGAATGGTAAGAATCGTAGGAGGAGAAAACTTATCATCATGATAACATTAACAAACTTTCCTGTCACGTATCTTGTAAGAAAGTGTTTTAGAAAATGCTCGGAAGAAATATCTGTGGACGAATTGTCGACAACAAAGTCGGAACACATTCGAAAACAAAAAGAAAAACAACGAAGTATCGAAGAATATAAGTTTATGGAACGTAGCGCATTGTCGCGAATATCCTTAAGAGACACGCGATATCCGCTCGCACGAAAGCAGTTCGAGAAGTTCGTGATCGGTAAATTCATTGAGAAGTAATAGGGAAAATGCGAATGTCCGCTTGCACTCTTGTACGTCGAGGATTAAACGTCGCATCGTGACGTACGATATACTAACCTTCAGGATCTGGCTCCTTCGAAAACTAAGCTCATCCTCCGCAGTAGCCGTGAAATCGTGCTTCGCTATCGCCTCCATTCTGCTTCCTCGTCCCTCGAGAGCAAGAACGAAAGAGAGAGGCAGTACTATATCCAGTCTTCAAAGGCAGCGCTAAAACCAGCCGCCTTTGTTTGCCAGTGGGAAGAAATTATGACAGATTCTGGTCCTTATTTATTTCGTACGGAGGTAACCACCTCCGATTAATGTTCTTATACTCCTGACGAAAGACACGTAGGTGCTTACGACGGGACACAACGCGCGACACACACCGACGACCACTTGTGCTTTTTCCTTGTCCGTGCGATTTTCTGAATCAGTCCTCCGAACCGTCCGCTTTGATCAATGGCACGTTGGCACATACATATTAGACGCGATTCGGGCGCTGTTCGGGAATCTGTACCTCCCTCGAGTCACTTTTTACGGTTGAACTGTCAAAACTGAAGGTACGGTCACGCACTCGCACGACTGTCCATCACTCGCCTTATCAGACATTACACTCTCAACTCTCTCGCTGATCTCGCTCTTCGTGTTTCGGTCCACCGATGCGCACTGGGCCACTGCGCACTCCGACGTCCAGATTTGCCTGCCGTCGAAATGTAAATGCGTTCAATGCATCGAACGCCGATCGAATAGCTATTAGATACGAGTTAAATGACCCGAACACAATCCGACGCGGGCTTTTCTACGCCACGAGAAGAGGAACGCGATTATACCGGACGAAAACTCCGGCGTACTACTTTTCTGTGGCGCAGGCGCGCGCATGCGTGATTCGAGAATACTGCGTCGACTGCTCCATCACCATTTTGTACTATACAAGATCGTCAGAATACACATCCACGTTCCGACTTTGCAAAGCTATATTACTTTAAATTGATTTCAAACCGTAAGATATTGTTGTTAACTTTTTACTATTACGTTATGTTTAAATTTCGTATTATCAATGACACATTTTATATTCCATTGGTATAGCTTGTGCAAAACGGACGACTAAAATTGGGGAGTAAAACTGTATCAATAAATCAATTTCACGGTTTTTTAATCGTACCGATAATTATGAAAGCGATGTAAGTAAAGAAACCAGAAAAATAAACATTTTTATTTGTTTTATACTACATCAATTTATATTCAAATATTATGGAATAATTTTTTCTAAGTAACCATGAAACAGGCAACGTTACGAAGACGTTACTTTCATATTTATCCATGGCAATTTCACGTCTAATTCGATAGCGATGTAAGTCATTTACTTCTTACGTAGAGTGAGTCACAAAATTATTGATCTATCTATATATTTAAAAAGGAAAACGTCAATCAAGTAAAACGTAAACCCTTCTCCATGTTTGTAGCAGTTTCCGCTGATCTGTGTTTTTTCAGAATGTTAGGATATTTATCTTAATCAAGAACGTTGTCGACATTTGTCTTAATTAAAAACGCAAAATAATAAATACTCACATTTGTTATTTTATAATTTGAAAACATGTCGAAAATAAACTTAAACGGGAATTATGAATAACAAATAAATTCCAGTAGTGGTTTAGTGTTGGTTTACGGTCAGAAGTATAATTAAACGGTTTACCGATGAGGAAAACGTAACTTTTCCACGAAACGGTCATTTGGAAAAATCAACAGATCGAGATAAAAGGAAAATCACCAAGATAGTACAAAATTCCATGGTTATCTCCACAGTATTAACAGCATAAGTAAACAAGGAAAATAATATAAAGATACAATTTAGGCTATCCGGAGAGTTCTTAAAACTGCTGGATACCATTGATTAGTAAAATTAATATAAAAAAAAAAATTTTAATTTGAAACTACGTATTTATATGAATAAATATAAATATATTAGTATGGGGGTTTATGAATACATATATTTAAAGAAATGTGGAAAAAATTACTATTCTAGCACGAATAGTACAAAACATGCTGCTTACATTATCCGCCAATGGATTATTTTTAATGCACCTCGTCCATTACCAACCCCTCCTCCATTCCCAAATTTAAATCCGATGGAGTACATTTGGAACGAATTAGAGAGAATAATACAAAAACACTCTGTACAAAACGACTGTTTAAAGATGCTGTTTCAAAACAATGGAACGAAATAAGTCCAGAAATAACACGAAATTTAGTACATCCTTAGGCGTGTGCATTCAACTTGCACATAGTACAATTTAACTGTTCTTCTTGTAAGTTGCTAAGAGCTCTATCAGGGAAAGAAAAACGAATAACCGAAGATACGTAATAAGGTATTGCGCACTTTTTATTTTCCATCGTTTCCTGCAGTTCAGAATAAATTACAGTAGGATAATTGAACACTGAGCACGCGATAATGCTGAATGAAGACCATAATCGTTATGCAAATCTTTAACTCATTGCATCGAGGCAAGTTTTGCAATATATTGATTAACAGAAAAAACAAGTTTATGTAAGTTAAGTCGAATATTATAATGTATGTAATAGTTCAGTAATGTATAAATATGATATCTAAACGACTTTAGTTTCACAATGGAAAGTACATATCGTGCGCCATGAAATATTCAGGGGAGAAAAACAAATTAGAAACATAGCGTTTAGTCGTGAAATGGACGAGATCATTGTCAGTTATCACGTGCATTGTAAACAAACGTGTAGTGAAAGCAGGTTAGATAGTAGTTGCAATGTTTATAAATCTCTTCATTGTTACTGTACATGAACATGTTTATTCGATCCACTAATAGGTTTGAATAGGTTTTTGAATTTTATTCGAGATTGAATTTATAATTTATTTGTTTATAAATAGCCGTGAGGATTCGCCCAACGCGTGTCCAGAAATTATGTTTACAGAAAAATAATTGTTCAACTCTTATCTACGATCAACCGTTTCGAACGGCGGATCAATGTGTTGGACTATTGTTACCCCAACAAAGTGCACGTTTGTTTTGAAAGCGTAAAAAAAAAACGTGCTTATGAAGACATCCAACCTGCGGTTATTGTTTAATAGAGTAGAAACGATTGACAGGATGAAAACACCGTCGATCCTATATTAAGCGCGATGGTCGATAATTGTTAGATAGGAATAGGTGTTAATGGATTAATAAAACAGGCGTTATTAACGCCAATAAAAATATGTGTCGTCAAGGTCTCTGACGGCGTAACTGTCCTTTTTTTTTTTATATCTTTCCTATTAAAGTTTCGTTAATATTCTAAAAATAAAAATTGTACCAAATTTAGTTACCGAACAATGTGCTGTAAATTAAAAAAGAAACAAATTTATACCAGGGGCAACGACGAGTAGCGTGCTTTAAAAGATGGAGTCCGGAACCTTGAACCAACGCTCGCAAAACAACCAAGTATCAAGGATTTTCATTATCGATACGATTCAGGCCACCGTAATTGAATAAAAAAATTCCTAGTAAATCCTTACCATCCCTTTAACTGCAGCTCGTCACGCAAACAAATGGCATTCGGCTTGTTCGACCGTGTCGGCCTCTTACGTAAGGTCTCATCGGTGCGGATACATTGTTTATTTGGGTTATTGTCTTATGTTAGCGTTACGAACGGGGCCCGATGTTTTTAGAAATGAAGCAACACCGCGCGCAGCCACATATAAACGCGGTCGCGCGGAAATTGAATTGTCCTTTGTGCGACTGCAGGCGATGAAAGCGAGGATGGATTGTATACCACCTTGCAAACGAGCTATCAATTAGACGTAGCTGTGTACTACAATTTGCACGACAAAAGGATCCGAATGGCGACGTATTGCAGTTCTGTCCTACGCGCGACGAGATATCCATATCACGCATCGTTAAAAATTAATTACAGAATATCGTTTTTCAAACGAAATTTATGTTTTGAATGATAGTTTTTACAGATCAGGAGCGTCGACCACGTTTTGGTTCTACAGCCAATTTGCATTTTACCGCCACTTTACTGCTGATTATTTTATAACGAAGTACAATTGTCCCTCGAAAAACACGATTTTCAACAATACGAATTTCGTTTTACGCGGTTTTTTTCGCGAACTTTGACGTCATCGCCGCTACGAAGCGCTCGTAAGGCCCGATGCAGACGAGCGACTTTTCGCCGCACGATTGTGCATCTGTCTTCGTTGTTTTCAGCTGGAAAAACATGGCTGATCGTCGTATTTTTTCAACAGTATTACGCACGAAATAACTGGGGAACGATAAGGCGGATCGAACAGCTAATGGAGCAGTTAATCTACCGACAACTACATCCACAGAATAGAACTATGGAAGACCTAACAGAAGAGACAAAAAGATAAATAATGAACCAATGAGATATGTAATGGAAACAAACATTATGTACCCAACGGAAATCCATCTGCAACTCATTCTACGAAAACTACGTGGTTGCTTCTACCCTACAAAAGAGAGAGTCATCGTTACAAGAATTAGAACAGGGCATATTGATGACGATCCATTTTTGAACTTAATTGAACAAGATAGAAAACTCATTAAAAAATAACTTGGCGTTGACCTGACTTAACGCAAAATCTACTGAACGAATTTCGATGAAGCCGCCTTTATTCTGATCTGTATATGTACATCAAGGAACAGTGCAGGTTATTTATAAGTTATTTATAATAGTCTATTTGCAAAGTAGACTATTTATATATAGCCTATTCATAAAATAATCTATTTATAATAATGTATTTATAATAATCTATTTATAAAGCAGGCTATTTGTAGTACCGGGATAAGTAATATACAACTACTATAAATAGAACTTAGTTGTCTTTTTGGTACCGCGTCACGAGAAATTTAGAACGTATCTCTAAAGCAGTCCAAGTTAAAATATCATCTATACTAAATTCTTGCAATATATCGTCGATGTCTTTAATTTTCACGCGTTCCTACAGTGCTCTGGGAAAGTTTCATTTAAAGTAGCGATTCTGCAAGCCGATCGTGAGACGCGACGGAAATCCAGAGCGTCCTATTATACCATTTTCCAAAGCTTTTTTTGCAATTTAAAATAAACTCGCGTTAAATCGCAAAGTACATATACCGAGCGAAAAGAATGGCCTTCTATATTGCCAGATGAAAAAGGCCATTGTGGGGGTTATGTTCGTTCTGTCGAATCTTGAACGAAACGAGCCTTGCCAGCACCGCGATCAGAATTTTTATGAAATAGTCGGTGGCCAATTTATGAATGTGCGCGTATTCCGCTTCCTGTTCAAGATTTACAAGCGTCGCAGATACACGCTTCCGCCCACATTCAATGAAACTTTCCGAGACGTTCGCACGCCATTCGATCAAGCTAACCCTAGCCTTCGTTCCCAATAACGAATGCGGTTTCCTGTTTCTCGGTTCTTTGATAACACGTTCCTTCGTGGAACGAAACAAACGTGTATGTGATTAGAGACGTTGAGATACAAATCAGTTCAAGCCAGAGCCGTATCTAGGTTATGGTCAACATGGCACCGGCGTTTGTGCAAAGCTGCAATTTTGTTTACCAAAAAATAGTTGCGTTTTTCCTCTCGAATTACTTTTCTTCTTACATTGTTTAAAACGAAGAAAGCGCGACCGTGATTGTTACTGACAATGATAATTTGTAAGATGTGGTTTCGACAAGATGCTTTATTGAGATCGAAGTTTAATGATAAAATTATTTTTAAAATACGCAACTGTTTCTTGCAGGTTTAGGTTAAGACTCTTGTTTATT